CATTTAAAATAATTAATCCAATCTGTAGTACTTGCACATCATTCATTGTCGGGCTGGCACATATGTGGTTCTCTGCAGGAGATCACACACTCTGTTGTGGAGACAGTGGCTCCTAGTCCACAAAGCAGCAGGAACTGTGTTCAGCACAAGTGGCTAGCCCTAGAGCTTGAACTTAAGCCTTCCCACTGGTAAATAAACATTTTCTGCTACTGAGCTGAGCCCATCCTCTGGGTTCCTGGCTCAGCATTTTATTTATTTTTATTTTTTATTATTATTTTGCTTGGGGGCCACACCTATCTGTGCTCAGGGCTTACTCCTAGCTCAGGGATCACTCCTGATTGTGCTCAGGGGACCATCTGTGGTGTCAAGGATCAAACTGGAGTTGGTCATATGCAAGGCAAAAATACTTTAACCCCTGAACTCTCTCTAGTACTTGACTGGACTTTTAAAGGGAGGATAAAAGTAATATATGCTCTAATAGAATCAGAGAAGAAAAAAATTGCAAAAAGTGGAGGGGGAGTGGACAGAGCAATTGTACAGTGGATAGGGCATTTGCCTTGCACATAACCTACCCAGGTTCAATCCCCATAACATATGGTCCCCCAAGCACTGCCAGGAGTGATTCCAGAGTTCAGAGCCAGGAGTAACCCCTGAGTATTGCTGAGTATGACGCACAAAAAAAAAGTGGAAAGAGGGGTTGCTTCATATCAAACCCATCTGGATTTGCCAAGTGGTGATTATCTGAGATTAAACACTAGGAGATAGGGGCCCTGTCCTCAGGTGTTGGCTGAGACACAATAAATTATTTGGGCAGTTTTGAGTTTTCTCAGTCAGGTACTTCAAGGGGGAATCCTGGAGTTAACTTAGAACCATGGCTTTGAACAACCGGTAAGGACATGGTGGCTCAAGTGTATTGACCAAGGTTGGGCCTAGCTAAGAAGATGCCTCGGAGGAGCATGAGACCATCTCAAGGACATGAGCACATGAGCACATTTCCATGTTACCAAGGTTACAAAGTATCACTATGTAAAGGAGAAAACCTTTGCTTTCCAGCGAACCTTGGCAGGTGTTATTCCAGATATCCTCTCTTCTGAAGTCTCAGGTCATACCTTTTCCTCCTGTGGGTTATGTCTCTGACTTTGTGAAGAAGTTGGCCTTGTCCACAGATTAGCCTTGACTTCTCTCGTAGGAAGAAGGTCTTTCCTGCTCCTTAGCTTTAAGGGCTGAAAGTAACTTCTAAGCTGGTTCCTGGAAAGAATGAATTCCTTGGAAATTCTTAAGACAGTGGCATACTTCAAGAAGAGCCCTGCCTTCTGGGGGTGATAATTGTCAAAGGAATTGTTTATATTTGGTGGTGGGGTAGGGTAAGGGAGTGATACCCAGTGTTGCTCAGGGCTTACTCCTTACTCCGTGCTTGGGATCACTCCTGCTGGTTCTCTGGAGATCATATGCAGTGTTGAGGACCCATCCTGGGTTGCTGCCTGCAAAGCAAGTGACTTACCCGCTGTTCTATCTCTTGGGCCGCCCAAATGCAACTCTTTTTAAAATACCAGTCAACAATCAGTTTGTTTGGACTAATATTGAGTTTTAAATAAATGGAATCACCACCAGGAGTAACTCCTGAGTGCAGAGCCCGGAGTAACCCCTGTGCATCACCAGGTGTGACACAAAAAAGCAAATAAATAAATAAATAAATAGAATCATCAGGTTTATGCTTTCTCTGCATGACTTTTTTCCCCTCAGGTAAGTATTTGTGAAATTCATTTATATTGATTACTGTATGTACAAAGGGCAAAAAAGGCCTTGGTGGCAATAGAAACCTGGTCTCAGAGGCAGGGCTATAAATAACAAAGACTGACATCCATAGTTGTTTGTTGGCCTCCTTTGGAAAACTCGTCACTGCTCCTTTTGTAAAGTTGTGATTATAAAAGTAATATAAGGTCAAGGATATAGTTCAGAGGTAGACTGCTTGCTTCTTAGGTATGGGTTTTTTGGTTTTTTGGTTTATTTGTTTGGATTTTGGACTACATGAGGTTTTGTTTAGGACTTACTCCTGACTCTGTGCTTAGAGATCATTCCTGGTGGAGCTTGCAGAACCACAAGGTGCTGGAGAGCAAACCTGGGTTGGCCAGATTCAAGGCAAATACCCTTTTGGCTGTATTATTGCTCCAGTCCCTTGCTTCCCAGGTAGGAATGGAGCCCTGGGTTCAATCCCTAACACATAACAAACAAATAAATAGACAAGTAATATGTATTTGTTGCTAAAAAAATAAAGTTTTAACAGTAAGAACAGCAATAATATGGTTAACAGCAGAAAGGTAAATGGTAAACAATGCAAATCTCTTCTTTCATTGTCCATACAAACTCACTTCTCAGTAATTATCGTTATAGCACTGTCCTCCCGTTGTTCATTGATTTGCTGGAGCGGGCACCAGTAACATCTCACAGCAAATTGTGAGACTTGTTGTTACTGTTTTTGGCATATCGAATACGTCACGGGTAGCTTGCCAGGCTTTGCCATGCGGGCGAGGTACTCTCGGTAGCTTGCCAGGCTCTCTGAGAGGGGCAGAGGAATCGAACCAGGGTCGGCCATGTTAGCTGCATGCAAGGCAAATGCCTTACCCGCTGTACTATCTCTCCAGCCCAATAATCATTATTATTACTAATAATAGCTTACATTTATTGAGCAGTTTCTATGTATAGGGTATGTTCTTAAGCATTTAATTTTTGTTCATTTATTTTTGACCTCCCAAGAAATGTGTATGGGGTCCAGTTGCCACTAACAGATACTCAGCTGACCAGGTCAGGAGGAATCAATATTTGGCTCTGCGGAGGTCTCCAGGCCATATCTGAAAAGGGGCATGTCCTATAATGCCACAGATTGAACCCAAGACCCTGGTTTTAGCACTTTGAAGTTTGGTGAAGGTCTGTACTGTGTCCTTGCCAACATTTGATTAGAACACACACATCCTTTTTATTTATTCATTCATTTATTTATTTTTTATTTATTTATTTATTTTACTTTTTGAGTCACACCGGCATTGCACAGAGCTTACTCCTGGCTCTGCACTCAGGAATTACTCCTGGTGGTGCTCAGAGGACCATATGGGATGCTGGGAATCGAACCCGGGTCGGCTTTATGCAAGGCAAACGCCCTATCTGCTGTTCCATTTCTCCAGTCCTATTTATTTATTTTTTTGCATTTTGGGTCATACCTGGCTCGTGCACTAGAGAATTACCCCCTGGCGGTGTTCAGGGGACCATATGGGTTGCTGGGAATCTAAGCTGGGTAGGCCAACGCAAACGCCTACCCACTGTGCTATCGTGCCAGCCCACACATCCTTTTTAGAAGTCCAAGATGTGTGGTGTCAGATTGGAAGAGATTTGTCCTTTTGGGACCAGAGAGATAGTACAGCAGGAAAATGCTTATCTTGTGCGCAGACCATCCAACTCCAATCCCTGGCACCTCATATGGCTTCCTAAATTCTGCCAGGAATGATCCCTGAGGTGGAGCCAGGAGTAATCCCTAAGTATTACTGCCCTGGTGGGGCCACCAAAGCAAAGCAAAACAAAACAAACAAAAACATATCATATAACCATCTGATGAACAAAATTAAAAGACTGATAATATCAAGTGCTGACAAAGGTAAAAAGTAACAAAAATTTTTCTTATTTTGTTTATTGTGTAAATTAGTACATTTTCTTGGAGAGTAAGTTGATAATATCTCAAATATACATGTTCGAGGACTAATAGTTTTCTGTTTTTCAAGGAAATATATAAGTTGCATTTTGGCATTTCCTGTATTGTACAAAAAGCATCATATAAAGTACTCAAAAATATGAACAAAAGTGTACAAAAGCAGTGTAACATTGCACATTTTATTTTCTTTACACATAAAAAATGCACAGCTAAAAACGTTTTATTTTAGGTACCGTGGTTTGCAAAACTATTAACGTAGAGATTCATAGGTAAAACATTCAGGCATCACATCCTCCATCAGAGTCGCTGCTTCCTTCCACCGTAATCCCACGGTCTCCCCCATCCCCCTCAAGCTTTTAATGTTCTTTTTAATTTTTTTGATTTCTGGGCCACAACCAGCTGTGCTCAGGTTCTCTGAGTTCAGGGCTCCAGGATCACTCGTGGTGGAGTTGGGGGACCAGATGGGGTGCGCTGTACTATCTCTCCAGTCCCTGATATTCTTTTTTCTATTCCAGGTACCACACTGCATTATGTCACCTACGTGTGAGCGTCTATCTCCTTTTATTTGCATTTGTCTAATAATGAGCCGATGAACACTTTTTCATAGGCCTGTTATCCTTTTGTACATCCACTGGTGAAAATGTCAGTGATCGCTCCTTTATCTAAGGGAATTGTTAGCTGTTTTTAATTGCTGAGCTGTATCAGTGCTTCATACGTTTTGGATATCAGTCCTTCATCTGATATATGATGTGCAAATATTTTTTCCCATTTTGAAGGGTGTCTTTTTATTGTAGCCCGAGTTCTTGTGCTACAAAAATCCTTTTTATTTTGATGTAGTCCCAATTATTTTTATTTTCTTTGGAATAAAATCTTTGAAAACACCGCGGAGGGTCCTAGAGCCTTATTTTTCTCGGCGCAGTCGATGGTTTTTTGCAGTTCAACCAAGCGGGCTTGGACCAAGTCTTTGCGCAACGCCCTCGCACAACAAGAAAAACGAGCCTCGGAGCGGCGGCCGCCTCCAGCTTGGGCACCGGGTGAGAAAATTGCGACCCCCGGGACTGTCAGAGCTGAGCCAGACCGGCGGGGCGGAGGATGCGCCGCAGGCAGCTCCCGCCCGCACCCGCGACCGACAGGCAGCCGAAGCCGCCCGGGCCGCAGCTCGGCGCTGCGTCCAAGCCCGGCGACGAGGAGAAGCAGCGGGCGCCCGGCCAGAGGCTGGCGCGCGCGGCGGTGTGGGCGTGGGCCTGGGCGTGGCCCCTGCGCGGGGGCGCGCGCACGGCGGCGGGAGCGCGGCGCGCTGGCTGCGGCGGCGACGGCGGCGGCGGCGGCGGCGGCGGCGAGCGCGGCGCGGACGGAGGCGGTTGCTGCGCCGGGTACTGGGGCTGCTGCTTGAGGCGCAGGCGCCGTGGGTTCCGCCCGGCCGTGGCCGCTGCTCACTCGGGGCTCGTCATGGCGACCCGGCAGAGGCCTTTCCAGCTGGTGGTGTTCGGCGCTTCTGGCTTCACCGGCCAGTTCGTGGCGGAGGAGGTGGCCCGGGAGCAGGCGGACCCGCAGCGGAACTCCCCGCTGCCCTGGGCCGTGGCGGGCCGTTCCCGGGAGAAGCTGCAGCGGGTGCTGGAGACCGCGGCGCAGAAGCTGGGTAAAGGGGGGCGTGCTGCCGCGGGGGTCGGGCTCAGAGGGCGCCGGCTCGAGCCCCTTGTTCCTGGAGTGTGGGGCCTTCAAGTGGCTGGAATCGTGCTTCCTTCCTTGCGTGCGCTCCCGGGGATCTCCCCCATGCCCTGCTTGGACCCCAGGAAGGGGGCGATGCCCCGGGAGTGCCGTGATCCCCGCAAGGTTCCGTTCCCCAAATGAAAAACCACCAAGCAAACACAAATGCTTGCCCCGTGTGAGTTTCTCCGCTGGCGAAGGATTGAGAATTTTTTTTTTAGTTGTAATTTTCCCTCCCTCCCCCACCTTTCAGCCCTCCGTGCAGCTGGAGGCTTCTTGATCTTTGGTCGGATGGAAAAGTAGAGAACTCTTCCAGATGGGGGTGGACTCTTCATCTGCCGTGTGTTGGGGAGGTGGGAGAGAAACCTCGAGCTTTGCTGCTAACGTTGTTTACGCTTGCTTTTATTTGCTCTTATTTTTATAAAGGACTTCTATTATTTTTCAAACGCACGGGCCGTTTGCGGTCTTCATCCAAACACTTCAACACTTCATCCAAAAAAAAGTATGTGTTCCTTAAGGGAGCATTTACTTACTTATTTATTTATTTTTATTAGTGAACCACCGTGAGGTACAGTTGTAGACTTACATATTTTTGTGTTTAGGTTTCAGTTATACAATGATCAGTTATACAATGATCAAATACCCATCCCTCCACCAGTGCCCATTCTCCACCACCAATGAACCCAGTAGCCCCCCCACCCCACCCTGCCCCACCTCTATGGCAGGGCATTCCCTTTTGCTCTCTCTTTCCTTTAGGGTGTTGTGGTTTGCATTAGAGGTATTGAGTGACCATCCTGTTTGGTCTATAGTCTACTTTCAGCACGCATTTCGAACCCGGAGTGAGTCCTCCAAACACCCTTTACTTGATGTTCCCTTCTCTATCTGAGCAGCATTTTCCCCCAGCATGTGCTGTGGGCTTCCAAGTCATGGAGCAGACCTCCTGGTACTTATCTCAACTATTCTTGGGTGTTTGTGTCCCATTCTGTTACTTTATATTCCCCAGATGAGTTCTTATTCTTTTAGCATTTGTTAGGTCTATTTTTATGGGGACCAGAGTGTTGGTGCAGGACCTTGAGGAACTTGTGTAGGCAGCAAACCTGGCTCAATTCCCAGTACCCCATTCCAGGCTGGGGGCCCAAGAGCCTTCCAGGAGGGATCCCTGAGTGCAGAGCCAGAAGTAAACCCTGAGCACCGCCAGGGCCCAAACTAACAATACAATTCCCCCTCAACATTATTTTTATGAAGTGGTCTTTTCTGTGGCAGGCTCTGTTCAGAGTTCCAAGGACACAGGTTCTTCCATCCCCCTGGTGTGGGAAGAACTCTGGGGTTCACCGGCTCTTAAATTTGGCCTTAATTTTCCACCCCTACTCTTCTCTCCCTGCCCCATCCCTGCAGGGAGTAGCAGTTGTCACTATTCTGGTTATACCACAATCTTCTGTTTAATGTTTATCTCACCTATGAGCCCACAGTCAGGCCTGGGTGGGGTACAGAATCGCTACCTTTGTGCTCTGTACAAAACACTCCTGTAGGCTACTTTCCCTGCAAGACTGTGCTGGCCAAACCTGAGCAGTGCAACTTTTGGATCTCACTTTGCCAAGAGAATTTATTACTTAAATCTCTCCTCTTTCCCTCTCTATATCTATATCTACATATAGATATGTATAGACTATATATATATATTTTTTTCTTCTCTTTCTCCCTCCTTTCCCCACCCCCCCAACACTCTTGTGTGCAATCCAGGCATCTACCAGTTGAAATGCCCAAATCCAAGTTAATGCTGGGAATATACTTTGACCCAGCATAAAGACCATGCATTACTCTGTTGATTCAGATCATTTGATTATTTTTTTGAGCCTGCATGTTCTTGCTTAGATTCTGCTTTTCACCTTAGGTCTCTTTCCTTCTCATTATTTTGGGGTTTGCTACTCTCTCTCAATTCTATAATTGTTTCATATGTTATTTTTTTTTTACTGAATCACTGTGTCACACTGAGATACAGTTACAAAGCTTTAATGTTTGAATTTCAGCCATACAATGTTCCAACGCCCATCCTTTGACCTGTGTACATTTCCCATCACCAATGGCCCCATATCCCTCCTGCCTCACCCCCGACTGCTTCTATAACAGGCATTTTTCTTCTCTCTCACTCTCTCTCTCTCTCTCTCTCTCTCTCTCCTTTTAGGCATTATCATTTACAATCATATGTGTTTAATAGTTCATTAGAAGCTGCAATTCTTGGAAGAGAGTCAGGACAGTCATTTACTCAGCATCTGAGTGATTGTAAAATTGACTTTTTACACAAGGTTGTCATATGTTCATTACTTGTATTAGGTTTTTTTTTTTAAGGTTAATGACCCTCAGTATTAACTCCATTTTCTTCCTTACCTTTTTCTTTTTTAAAAAAATTATGTGATTAATCTGTTTACAATAGCCAGAATCTGGAAAAAACCTGAGTGCCCGAGAAGAGATGATTGGTTAAAGAAACTTTGGTACATCTACACAATGAAGTACTATGTAGCTGTTAGAAAAGATGAAGTCATGAAATTTATATACAAGTGGTACGACATGGAAAGTATCATGCTAAGTGAAATGAGTCAGAAAGAGAGGGACAAACAGAAAGATTGCATTCATCTGGGGAACATAAAGTAACAAAATAGGAGACTAACACCGAAGAATAGCCGAGATAAGTACCAGGAGATTCACTCCATGCCTTGGAGGTCAGCCATATATGCTAGGGGGAAAGGTAGCTCAAATAGAGAAGGGAGCACCAAATAAAGGGTGTTAGGAGTATCCTCCCAGGATGGGACATGCATGCTGAAAGTAGACTATAGACCGAATATGATTGCCACTCAGTGCCTCTTTTGCAAACTACAACACCCAAAAGGAGAGAGAGAACAAAAGGGAATGCCCTGCCACAGAAGCAGGGTGGGATGGGGGTATGGGAGGTGGGAGGGATACTGGGATCAGTGGTGGTGGAAAATGGGCACTGATGGAAGGATGGGTGTTTGATCATTGTATAACTGAAACCTAAATACAAAAAATTTGTAAGTCTACAACTGTACCTCAGGTGGTTCACGAATAAAAAATAAATAAAATGATATTTGAAAAACAACAAAAATTATGTGATTAAGAATGCTTTCATGTTTGAGAGGGAGAGTTTTCTTTCACTGTATTTAGGAGATTTGTTAATTCTGATGATAATTTTTAAAATCTGAAAAATATAATGCTGTCTGGAGTATTTTGCTTAAAATGATTTATATCTAATTTTAGGAAGACCAACACTGGTATCTGAAGTTGGAATAATAATCTGTGATACCACTAATCCAGCCTCCCTTGATGAAATGGCTAAACAGACATCCATTGTCCTGAATTGTGTAGGACCAGTAAGTAATTGTTCCTTCTTTTTATTCGAACAAGCAGTCCATTCATTCTAAAAGCATCTGGTATATTCCCAAGGAACATAAGGGTGGGGAACAGAAGAGTTGGTTCAGGGTCTTAATCCCCTATGGAGAATTTTCAGTTATCAGATACATATATGACCAATCTCTTGAGATAGTGTTTTTCTGTGACACTTAGGGAATGTGTGCTGGTTTGTATTGGTGACAGCTTTACCTTACTGGTTTGTTATTATTTTTTAACTCATATGGTCTTTGTTTTTTGGGTGTTTATTTGTGGTTTTTTTTTTTAATGGGGCCATTCAGAGTGGTGCTAGTGCACTATGAGGTTTTGGGGATTGAATGATTGAATTTGGGATCTCCTTCTTGCAAAGCATACACTCTACCTATAATCCATTATCTATTAGGCTTTTGGGGGGTGTGAGCAGTAGTATTTGGGCCACATCCCACAGTGCTCAGGAGACCATTTGCAGTGCTGGAATTAAACCACGAGGCATGACTGTGAGCAAAGCATACACCTTAAGCACTGGACAGGTCTTCGGCCCCTAGTGTTGGGCTTGTGTCCTCACTACTCTAATGAAACTACTCTGTTGGAATTTGGTTCCCGTTAGATCCAGTCAGCAGTTGTTCAGGTCTCACCCCACCACTCAGCAGGTGTCCCAGTGGGTAACTTTTTCTTTTCTTTAATTAGCTTTGGAGCCTTGCCCCCTCATAATTATCCTCTTGTTTGCATCTTTATTTCCCTTTTTCCTTTGTTGGATCTTTTTATCCTTCTATAAATGCTCGTGGCCTCTGAGCATGTACAGTAGGAAGTCGTTGATTACACTTTCCAGGTCAATTTAAAAAAATTATTGGGGCCGAAGAGATAGGCCAGGGATTACAATGCTTGCCTTCCTTGCTGTCCCCATTTTGGTGCTAGACACTGTATATGGTCCCAGGCACCTCTCGGAGTCCCTGAGCACAGCCCTGTGGTCAAACCCCTCTCCTCCCCAAATCAGCGTTATTGTGGTCAGACGTATGTAACATGAAGCTCTTAACTTTAAATATCTGTTAGTGGCATTAAGTACAGTTGCAATATTATTTAACCATTACCTGTCTTATAGATCTTTTTTGTTATTCTAAATAGATTCTCACTGGACTATATTTTTTAAAAAGTTTTCAGTGTTTTTAGTTGGGGATATGATGCTCAGAGACTGCTGCCGGCTCAGTGCTTGAGGGTTGTTCCCAGTGTCCTGCGGGGAATGAGTGAGGGGGAGGCATGGGGCACTGGAAGTTGAACCTGAGACTCCAGCATGCAAAACTTGCTGTCTAGCCCTTTGAGTTTCCTCCCCATGGCCACTAAATTTTAAACAGTGTTGTACTTAGTATAGGATAAAGACTCAACATTACAACAAAATTCATATTAATAAATAGAATGAATTATACATGGCACTCAAGTACTGGTTCATGAAAGTTTTTGTTGCATTTAGCTATGTTTGTATGGAGCTGCTAGGTGAAATTAGTTCCACCGTGTAAATTGTGGTCAATAAAGTTTAGGGTGGGCAGAGAAGGTGGGGTGCTTGCCTTACATGTGACTGACCCAGGTTCTATCCTTGGCATCACATTTGGTCCCCCTTGTCCTGCCTGGAGGGGTCCCTGAGCACTAATCCAGGATTAAGCTGTGAGCACAATTGGGTGTGACCCTAACCACCAGATCCCCATCCAAAAAATAAAATAGGGTTCAAACTGAACTCATCGTGGGGAGAAGCCAAAGGGGTCAGGGTTTGAAGGGGGAGGGATGCTGGTGGGAGGTGTGGTATTGGGACATTGTATGCACGAAACCCTGTCATCAATAGTATGGCAAATCTCGGTGCCTCAAATAGAACTATTTTTGGAAGAAAGGTTTGGAGAAGGCATGACCTTAAATGCCATCTGTGTGCTGATGATTCCTACATTGATTAAGTTACAGTGAGGATCTCTAGCTGTTGCTTAAATTCCAGATTGGTAGGTATAGCACTGTAGCACTGTCCTCCATTATTCATCGATTTCCTCGAGTGGGCACCAGTAACATCTCCCTTGTGAGACTTATTGTTACTGTGTTTGGCATATCGAATACGCCATGGGGAGCTTTCCAGGCTCTGCTGTGCAGGCGGGATACTCTCAGTAGCTTGCCAGGTTCTCCAAGAGGGAGGGAGGAATCCAACCCAGGTCGGCCTCATGCAAGGCAAACGCCCTACCCGCTGTGCTATTGCTCCAACCCTGGTAGGCATAATTGCCTTGTAATTGTTTCTTAGATGTTTATACTTAAACAATTAAGTAGTTCAGTGTTTTAGGTTTTCACCCCCATAAACCTGCTATTTCATAAACTCTATTTAGATTGTTATTTTAATTTTGTAATATGGATAATAATTTAACTACTCAGGGGTAGAAGTATCAACAGTTTGTAGTCATAATTTGTATATTCGTAGTTGTGCTTCCCCCCGCCCCCTTTTTATTTTGATTTTTGGGGCCATACCAGGCAGTACTCAGTGCTTAGTCTTGTTTCCATGCACTGGGAAGCATTTAGTAGTGCTTGAAGTATCATATGCGGTGCCAGGGATTGAACCCAGGTGAGCTGTGTGCAAAGCAAGTGGCCTACATGCTCTCCTTTGTCTCCAGCCCCTGCAGTTGTTTGGTTGATGTTTGTTTTGTTATTTAACCTGTTTGCCTATTGACCTATTAACCTGTGTGGTGTAAGATAGTAAATCTTACTCCGTGTGCTGTATACAATTCTCTAGGAGAGCCTACTAATCCAGGATTAGTAATTCGTTAATTCTAGCAATCCAGAAAAGATGAAGTTTACCTTAATAACATTCTTCTTTTTTTAAATTAAAATTTTTTGTCTTCCCAATTTTTTGGAATTATTATTTTATTGTTCATTTCAAATGTAAATTGGTTACAATAGTGTTAACTCATGGTTTTGATGAACAAGAATAGAATCCAAAGACATACTGAGAAAACATGGGCAGTATTCTCTAGGATATAAACCTCAAGGTGTCTTTAATGATTTGACTCCATTGGCAGAGACACAAAAACAAAAATAAACAACTAGGACTATATCAAACTAAAAAATGCCTGGCAAGAGAAACTTGAACTAAAATAAAAAGATACCCTGCTGGATGCAAGAAAATATTTGCACACTATATATAAGATAAAGGGCTGGCTGTATACAGCACTCACAAAGCTCAACTAAAAAACATAAACAAGAATCAATAACTCCACTGTAAAATGGGATAAAGAAATGAAAGACACATTCTTTAAGAGGACGTAAAGCCTACTAATACACATAAGAAAAATTGCTCATTGTTATTTCTCGTCAGGGACAAGCAAATCAGAACAATAGTGAGCCTTCGTACCAGTGAGAGAGGCTTATTTATATCCTCAGGTCTGGAAACACTGTGAGGAGAAGGAACCTCACTCACTTTGGCGAAAATGTTGTATGGCTCATGGTTCTTCTTGATCTGACCCAGGTGCTTCCCGACTTAGCTTCTGCCACCCCCACCTTGACCCTGTTCTGTATTTTGAGCATCCCAAACAGCTTCCTTTCATACCCCTTTCCCTCTGTGTTCCTGATTTTTTTTTCTTTTTCCTGAAGCATCCTTACTCTTCTTCAGAATTGACTCAAATAATCATTTCTATAACACTTCCCATTTTTATGAAGATGGCACCGAAAGCCAAGGTCTTCCTAAAGCCAAGGCTTTGAAGGCCAAGAAAGCAGTGCTGAAAGGCATCCACAGCCATAACTTAAAAAAAAAAATCCACACCTCACCCCTCTTCCAAAGATTTAAAACCATTTAAAACCAAAGACAGCCCAAATGTCTTTGGAAGAGCATCCCCAGGAGAAGCCTACTAGACCTTCCTGTCATCATAAGTTCCTCTGAGCCCTGAGCCAGCCATGAAGATGAGAGAAAGCAGCATGTATTTCAATGTGGATATCATGGCCAGCAAGCACTAGATTAAACAGGCTGTGAAACAGCTCTTGGACGACATTGAAGTGGCCAAGGTCATCACCCTGATCACACCTGGTGGAGAGAAGGCATTTGTTCAGCCGGCCCCTGACTGTGATGCTTTGGATGTTGCCAAAAATGAGAATGATGTAAATAGAGTCCTGCTGAATTATTCTAAAGATACATTTTTTTACCGTTAAGGAGAAAAAAGAGCTTCCCATTTTGTCTTTACTAAGTATATATCCACTGTAAATTTACTCTGTAAGAGATGAAGTAGTGCCATCACATTAATTTCATATCTTTAAAGCTACTATACTAATATTTGCTTTCTTTATAAGGTGCCTTCTAAAACTCAAATGAATTTCATTCATTTAAGCTTGCTCAGTAAAAGAAATTATTGATTTCTTTTTCTTTTTCTCCTTTTTATTTTATATTTTTGGTCGTTGTTTCTTTTGGTCTCTTTTAATTGTTGATTTTCTTTACTTCCCCAGTATCGGTTATATGGAGAACCCGTAGTAAAGGCGTGTATTGAGAATGGAACCAGCTGTATCGACATCTGTGGAGAACCTCAGGTAGGTAAAACATAGAAGGAAGAGAGAACTAACAATGCAGAGTTCTTTTCAAGTGGAAGATACCTAGTGCAGTTTTAGACAAACTTTAGAAGTTGATGGTCTTTCCAAGGGTCACATGTTCTATTGAGAGCTTGAGGTGAGCTCTATGTCTTAACTTTAGTGTTTTTTTTTTTATATTCTTTCTTCACTATAAGAACATTGATTTCACTTCCATTGTATATAGGACATGTTGAGTATTTTTTATAGCCACTGTATGCCATAAAATGAAATTAATCACAGTGGTTTGCTATGTAGAATTTTCAGAGGCTGCCTTTTTAAACTTCATTACGGATTCCCTTTTTACAAACAAACACCTCTATAATATTATAGAAAATCATACTTTGGGTCACACCCAGCAGTGCTCAGGGCTTATTCCCTGCTCTGCATCCAGGAATCTTTCCTGGAAGGCTCGGGGACCATATGTAATGCCAGGGATTGAACCCTGGTCAGCCACATGCAAGGCAAGTGCCCTTCCTGCTATACTGTCCATGCTCCATGAATCTGAAATTTTTTTTTTCTTTTTGGGTCACACCTAGCAAGGCTCAGGGGTCACTCCTGGCTGTGCACCTTAGGAACCACTCCTGGTAGTGCTCAAGGGACCATATGGGATGCTGGGAATCGAACCCGAGCCAGCCGCGTGCAAGGCAAACGCCGTACCCGCTGTGCTATCGCTCCAGCCCCTGAATCTGAATTTTTTTAATGTTTGTATTTATTGAATGCTTATCCCACAGTCCAGCACAGTACTAAGCAGTTTTCAGTGTTCCTACTAAGTTATCTTCCCAGCTTTGTCAATTAGGAAACTGAAGTTTTGGAAGGTTAAGTAACTTGCTCATGGTCATGCAACACTGTCGTACTTATGTTGAAGTTTATCTGACTAAGAGCAGGGAGAATGGTGTGTTAAAAGGCACTAAGTTGTACTAGCTCCTTTAAAACCAATCACCTCAAATGCCCCATACTGACTGTCCATCAGTATGCCAGTAGTATGTATTTTAAGCTTATCAATTGGAAATACTAAGAAATTGTAAATTATCAAAATTGATTCAAGAAGAAATGTGCAACAGGAATACATGAAAAACAATTCCTGTCTTTTTCAGTAGCTTAGAAACAGATCTGGGAAGATAGTGTATCAAGGGACAATTGCCTTACTTGCAACGGACAGCACCTGGGTTCGATACCCAGGACCCTAGATGGTCCCCTGAGCATAAAACCAGGATTAAGCCTTAAGCATTTCTGGGTGCGGCCCAGGAATAATAACAAAAATGTGTAGAGCAAAGGAAATGATAAGAAGATCCTCTAAACTTTCAGAAAAATGATACCCAGACCTAATAAAGGACTAGGGAAATGATTCAGTGGTAGAGTACATGTCTCGCATGTGTGAGTCCCTGGCCCAAAAAGAAGAAGCCCAGTATAATAAAGATCCATACTCTCTAAGCAGCTCTTGTGAGTCCAAATTCAGATGCCAGTTTTCAGATGTGCAGAGGATGGGATGAGACACGGCGCTCTGCGGGGTTCCAGGTTCTTATGGAAGGGGAGCGGGAGTCCTCACCCCATGAGAGTGGGTAGCACACAGTCTCTTCCTCCCGGCTCGAGGGAATAGAGAGAGCAACCTTGAGTGAAGAAGCCCCAGAGAGGCTCCCTCTGCCTGGTGCTCAAGGTCCGCAGCGGTAGGGATGAATTGCGTTAATCACATGTTCCCCTGGTGTGAGGGCATGAAATGGTACTTTTGGGGATGAGGAAAGAGCTTGAAGGGCTAGCCCCTGTATATCCCATGCCAGAGCCCTGGGTTTGATGTTCATCATTGCACAGTTCCCGGAGAACCACCTGTAGTGACCCTCAAGCATTTCTGGGTGTGGCCTAAAATCCAAAACTTGTATCACTTGCATCACTTGTCATCCCATTGCTCATCGAGTTGCTCGAGCGGGCACCAGTAATGTCTCCATTTGTCCCTGTCACGTGCTAGTGTAGCCCAGTGGTATCTGCTCGCTCTAGGAACTCGAAGAGCATCAAACCTTTCGTTCAGGGCTCTTTCAGAGTCAGGGGAATGAGTAACAATGAGGCCCATTATTGTTACTATTTTTGGCATATCGAATATGCTACAGGTAGCTTGCCAGGCTCTGCCGTATGGGTGGGATACTCTCGGTAACTTGCCGGGCTCTCCGAAAGGGAAAGACGTTTTTAGGGCAACCTCTAATCATCCTTACAGGTGCTTCCAGTCTACCGAATGCAAGCTTTTGGTCAGCTGGCATGTTGTAATGATCTGCACACTGACAAACATGCACCTGCCTGTGTCTCTGGGCAGCACCTCTTGGTTCACTCTTTGCCATTTGGCACTGTTGCCACCCCCGCCATGAAGAGGCAGTGAACCATCAAGGGGAAAAAATCCAAAACACTGAACAAAACCCCTAAACCCCACAGAAATGGCACATTTTATCCTGTTCCTCCAAAAAGCCTGTATCTGGTGCCTAATAACAAGAAGATCATGAGATAAATAATGGTGCGGGGGGGAGGGGGGACACTCTGCAAAATGCTAGATGTGAACCCTTCAAATTTCTCAAGGTCAAGCAAAAGCAAGAAACGTGGCATGGGCCTGACAGTTCAGCTGGTACGCACTTGCATTCCATATGTTTGACCCAGGTTCAATCCCTGGCATCCCATTTGTTCCCCTGAGCACCACTAGGAGTAATTCCTGAGTGCAGAGCTAGGAGTAAAGCACTGCTTGGTGTGACCCAAACACTCCCCCCCCCAAAAAAAACCACAAGAAATACCACAACCAAAAGGAGCCTAAGGAGATAGGACAACCAGATGTAATGTATCTTGGATGGGATCCAAAGCAGAAAAAGGACATTTGAGAAAAAAGGACGGCTGAGCAAAGTGTATGCTTTGATTAACGTCTTTATAGTGAGTTAATATTGGCTCATTTGGGTAGTAGAGCACTTGCCTTAACGTGCATGCGGCTGTAAGTTTGAGCCCCGGCACCCTGGTGTGTGTTGAGAGATCAGTTTGTTCTAGCAGGTGTTACTATAAATAACATATATAGATGTATAGATACATATATCTATGTAATACTAGGTAATTGGGTACAGAGTAGCACAGGAATTCTGTGCTACTCACTTTTTTAATAAATCGAAATGTGTGAATATTCTTTCGGTCGGGGGCACTGAGTTACGAGACGCGAGAAATGAGATTTGCTGGAGAGACTCCTTGCTTGCTCTGGCAGAGAAGCATGGAGAAGCGGCCCTCAGCCCCTTTTATTTACTATCCTACGTACACACATTCAATGCACTCAGTACAAAGAAATCATTAACGGGGATAAGGGGTTATAGGAAGGACATCAAGACATCAAGGCTACATTGTTCTGTCACTCCTGCAAGCCCAACGGTAGGTAGTAGCCTCCAGAGAGGAATGCAAGGCCAAGCAGTCTGGCACCATGAGCTACAGCCCCTTGCATCTGGCATGATAAGGGGATGTGAGAGAATGTCTGCATTCCTAAGCCAAGCTAGGTTAGGGATCTGTGAGACAGGGAAGATTGCTTCTGTGTAACACTAAGAGCTAAAAGGCAGCCAAAGAAAGAGATGTTAAGCATTTCCAAACCAGTCCGGACACAGGAGTCATGGCTCACCCATTTTCATGGAGCCTGTGTTTTTGCCCTGCCCTGTTGTGGGTCAGTCTCCACGGGCTCATCCTAACAGTTCTGGTTGGGCACCAACATCTAAAATTGTTCAAAAATTAGGCAAAATATTGGCATCCACCTCTGAAACCCTCACCTTTCCCACCATTCTCTATACTGCATCTGAAGCATTGATGTATGTCATTTATGATGATCATTTTGGCAATGCATTTGGGGTTTTTTTGTCCTTTTTGTATTTTTACATATTTTTATAAGAGGTATTTATTAATGCATTTAGAAGTCATTCTAAAAATGTAATAGTATTAAATTAGATCAGTATATCTCTAATACCACCTAGTACATGGCGGGTCTACAGTAAGTATTTGCTCAAATTGAGCAGTAATATTCCACTAATAATATTCCACTACTGAACCATATTGGTTTAGCATTGTTGGTGTTAAATTGTTTTGTCTTTTGAAAGTATTTCTCTTAACAGTTTCTGTATAGTTATAACTGATTTTTTTTGTCCTGAATTTTTCAGTTTCTGGAACTAATGCATTGGAAGTATCATCAGAAAGCTGCAGAAAACGGGGCTTATATTATTGGAAGTTGTGGCTTTGACTCCATTCCAGCAGATCTGGGAGTATTATATACCAAAAATAAAATGAATGGTAATTATCAATCTATAAGTAATAATTGAATTTAACCTGAAAAGCTGCTTTGTCATTGTGATGAGCAAAAATCTAACTGGGGTAAGAACCATAAATATAAATAATGTTAAAACATGATTTTTTAAATATTTGTTACATATTATGATACTTTAAATATATATATAAATAGTACTACAAATGTTCTAAAGTGAGGGATTTTAAATCCAGGAATTTTTCATGGTCTTGATTTTGCTTATAGCTGTGAAATTTTGGAAAAACAATTTTCTGGCTATTATTTTTTTTTAATTTATTTTTTATTAGTGAAACACCATGAGGTACAGTTGTAGATTTACAAATTTTTGTGCTTGGATTTCGGTCATACCATGATCAAATACCCATCCCTCCACCAGTGCCCATTTTCTGGCTATTATTATAAATTTCTGTCCCTAAGTAGAACAAAAATAGTTAAGAACAAAGAAAGCTACTTGGGGCCATGAAGATTATTTGAAGAACTGGGCAGAGATGTCGCTCATCAGTAGAACATTTACCTGGCATATGTGAAACCGTGGGTTTGATCCCTAACATTAAACACAACACACTTTGTGCATTCATCTCCAGCATTGTCTGTCTGTCTCTTTCTCACATACACACCCATGAATGCCTTGCATTGATGCATTGATTCCAGAATTCTGAGTGTGTGTGTGTGTGTGTGTGTGTGTGTGTGTGTGTGTGTGTGTGTGTTTTCCCATCCCCCAAGCATCATTGCATCTCTTGGCCCTGAGACCATCTCCTTCCAAAAAAGGGGGAAAACTAGGAATCAATCTTACCAAACTGTGCTCTTTTAAGGTTACTCCTGGCAGTGCTCAGGGGCTCTCTGTGGTACTGAAGATCAAACTACCATCAGCCAGATGCAAAGCAAGCTGTTGAACCCTGTACTATCTTGCTAGACTTGTAGATGTAAATTTAAAAACTCTGTCTCAGTGCTGTACTGGAATGGATAAGCTAAATTATTGCCTATTGAAGGAGAATCTGTTTGTTTGGTTTTGGGGCCACACCTGAAATTGCTCAGGGTTACTCCTGGCTCTTCACTTTGGAATCAGCCCCAGCTGTGGTGGGGGTGGGGGATGGGGACCATATGGGATGCTGGGGATCGAACGCAGCTTGGTCTCATGCAAGGCAAACACCTTACCCACTGTACTCTCTCTCTGGCTTCTGGAGTGAAATTTTAAATGACTGTCAGTTGAGTCAGAAAAGATTTTGTCTGTATCACAACTTAATTTTTTTGGTAAATTGTTCATTATCACAATATACCTGAGTTCATCTGCTTAAATCTCTTCATAGGAACATACTAAAACTACTTTTAGTGCAGGTTTTCTGATTATATTAGCTAGATATGATTTAAAAATGATTTAGAATAATCCTATAGCAATATTGTTACTGCTTGCACTGGCTAAACAGATTTGATTTGACATTTATCATTCTACTCTTTTAGGCACTTTAACTGGTGTTGAAAGTTTCCTGTCTATACAATCGGGACCTGAGGTTAGTTTTTCTGTTTTCTAAATTAATATTAAAATATTTCATAAATTTGTCTCAAAATATTTATATTAAATATATTTTTAATATGAAAAGTCACTATATTTCATCTTAAGTAAAGATGGGGATTGGAAGAGATAGTACAGCATGTAGGGCACTTGTCTTGGATGTGGCAACACAGGTTTGACCACAGCATTCCATATGGTCTCTGGAGTACCGTCAGGAATAATTCCTAAGTGCAGTGCTACTAACTCCTGAGCATTGCCAGGTGTGACCCTCCAAGATCAAAACAAATAAAATCAAAATAAAAAACAAAATACACTTAAAAATAAAACTGCCAGAGTGCCAACTGTTATTTTGATTTAAAACAGAGAGCCAGAGCCATAGCACTGTGGCAGGACATTTGCTTACAGCTGACCGGGGTTCGATCCCCAGCACCTCATATGGTCCCCCGAGGAGTGACTACTGAGTACACAGCCAGGAGTTTCCCCTGAGCACATCCGGGTGTGGCCCCTGAACCAAAAGGAAAAAAGAAGTTAATTTAGCTTGGCAACAGGTAAAATGTGTAAAGAGATCCAATGAGATATGGTAGGATTCTGAGCATGGAGAGCATATAAGCTGGAAAGCCATAGATTAAGAACTTTTTGTTTTGTTTTTTGGAGGTTTTTTTTTCCACAGTGGCAGTTTACAGGGCTTACTTCTGCCTCTGTGGTCAGAGATCACTCCTGTCAGGACTTGGTGTACTGGAGACTGAACTCAGGTTCGCTGTATGCAAAGTGTCCTACCCACTGTACTATTGCCTGGTCCCTAAGAACATTTTTTTGGAGGGCCAGGGAGATTGTGGTTTTATCTTTGGGACAAGTTGACTCTCCAAGCATTACCGTGTGTAGCTCTGGTGTCCCACAGCACCACCACGTATAATCCCGATGGCCTTGAACACTTCCAGGCTGGTCCTGGTGGTCCCTGGTACCAAAGTTTGAACCACCTGTTAGACTGAATCCCAGCTAGGTTTTCCACAAATTGCCAGAGTGGTCAGTTCTGGTCTCTCTAAACACTATTTGGGATGCCCTCCTATCCACTCTTAAAAGAAAGAAATTTTTGGAGAAGCTGGGATATGGACTGAATGTCAAAGGACAGTGCTCTGAAAGATATGAGGAAGGGAAAGAAAATAGTAAGACTTAAGGATGATGTAGAACAGTCAAATAAGAGTCCTGGTTTTGTTTTTATGGTTATGAATTTAGATTAATAAATACAGCATGCTAAATTTGTGGATAGAGAATATCCACCAGAGTAAAAAGGGAAGTGATATTGAACCCGAGTGACCCGAGAATGCTTCAGTAGAGGCTTTACTAGGGTTAGTCTAGAAAAGTGAGTAGCATTGGTTCTTCAGAGACAGCAACTTGAACAGTGACCCAGAAACAAACTTAAAAAAACACCTTTGTTGGGGGTATCGTGCTGCCAGCAGGTCAGTCTGTGAGGCGAGTGCATCAGCCTGATGGCACCTTCAGACTTTCAGATACCCCAAAATTGCTGCTGTGCCTTTGGCCAGACCCCAAAAACTTGGGGCAAAGTTTACCTAGAAAATAAACAGCCAAAAGTTAGGTATGTGGGAGACACACCCACAAACCACCTCTGGCTCATCTAAATACTTGGAGGCATGGCCTCTCTGGTTCCTGATCGAGCTGCTTAATGACCATGATACCAGAGAATCAGAAACAAATCTTGAAACCCAATGGCTTTTGGCAGAAATGCATCCAGTCCCTGCAGTAGGTTACTGGCGCTGGGCCACCCCAGGTGGGAATAGGTTTTGTGCTTTTGCCTGTTCCCCCTGGTGGGAATAGGTTTCGTGCCTTGGCCTATTCCCCCTGGCGGCCCAGTGGCCACCATCCTCCAGAGGCCACTGGACAGTCAGGTTTGGGTCTGCAGTGACGAGACATGTGGGGCCTCATGGGATGTGGGTGGAGCCAGCCCTTTCCTCCCCGTCCCAACAAAACCCCAAGTCTCCACCCACAAATGGCCTCTCTGGCTCCTGATCAAGCTGCTTAACAGCCATGATCCCAGAGACTTAGAAACAAATTTCGGAACCCAGTGGCTTTTGGCAGAAATGTGTTCCCGACCTTGCAGTAGGTTACTGTTGCCTGGCCATTCCAGGGGGGGAAAGGGTGCTGTCCCTCAGCCTGATCCCCCTGGGAGGCTCCGTGGCCGTCATCCTCCAGAGGCCATTGGACAGTCAGTTTTGGGCCCTCAGTGATGAGACATGCGGGGTCTCACGGGATGGGGGTGGAGCTGGCCCTTTCCTCCCCATCCCAACGAGGCCCTGAGTCACCACCCACAAACGGCCTTTCTGGCTCCTGATAAAGCTGCTTAATGGCCATGATCCCAGAGACTCAGAAACAAATCTCAGAACCCAACAGGTTTGGGCAGAAATCCCTCCAGATTTAATTGTTAAAATTTTGGAATTTCAAAATTGCCCGGCCACTACTGCAGCCGCGCAACATCGTATATTATTCATAACCGGCAGTAGAAAACATCTATTGTCTACTGTTGCCTTTTCAGCAGATCAGAGTGTTGGGGTAAAATCACAAATAATAATAGTGGGTCTGGTGTCAAAATATTGAATGTAATCAAAGTAGAGAGAAAGTAATGTGGAAATCATCTGCCACACAGGTAGGGGGAGGGTGTGAGATGGGGGTATACTGGGGTTTTTGGGGGTGGAGAATGGGCACTGGTGAAGGGACGGGTGTTTCATTGTATGACTGAAAGCTTTGTAACTGCTCTCACGGTGATTCAATAAATAAAATTATAAAAAATGGGGAAAAAAACACCTTTGTGATTCTGGGTAGCAGATGCAACTCAGTTCTGTTTGAACCAACAAAAGGAATTTATTGATTTATATGAGCAAACATTTGCAGGTAAAGAGTATTGATCTGCATGTTCATCACAGCTTTTTTTGTCTCTTTGATTTCTGTGTTTCTTTGTGTAGACTTTTGGCCTGGTATGGAAGATATGCTTTGTCCTTCAGTTTGTATGTCTGGCCATACCTAGTGGTGCTATGGGAGGTGGGGGTTACTGCCAGCTCAGTGCTCCTTGGCACTTTGGGACATGCTTGGGGGACCATGTGGTGCTGGTATTGAATCCTGTATTTCCTCCTGCAAATCATGTGCTTTAGCCCTTTGAGTCATCTCCACAGTCCTGTAGTATGCTGTGCTTCATGATTGCCTGGGAAGAGCAACCAGATTTTATGTATTAAAAAGTCAGAGCATGTAGTCAGATAATGAGTCACTTGGACCAATTGGTGTGACCTGGAGTGACAGTTATCAGATTGTCTGGGCCTAGGTCATCACGCCTCTGGAAGGAAAATCATATAGTGTTTGTCTCGCTGGATAAAATGAAGTTCCATATAGGAAAGAGCTTTTTGAGAAGTAGTTGGAGCTGCAGAGAGTTAATTAGTGCAAGACAGGAAACAAATGTGCTCTCTAAGGAGATAGTAAGAAAGTGACTAAAACTGTAAGAGGCTGCTTTCCCAGAGATCAGCAGGAGATGGTAGTTGGAAAACCACATTGATCTAATAAAGTTCTCTTTACTCAAAAGTAGGGAAAGAGCTATGAGTGCTGATTTTTTTTTTTTTGCAGAGTCAAGATTCCTTCCTACCATGGGAAAGAGTGTAGATACTGGGCAACACCCCAGGCATCACCAAGAGCAAAGTAGAAAACAAAAGAGAGCTTAGACATTGTCTCCATCACTGACTGGGGAGGGCAAGTTTCCTTATCCTCTGTGTGCCATATTTCCTTCATCCGCTAAAGATGATGCTAGAATTTGCCGCTGGTGGCTGAGGTGTAGATTAGTCAAATAATATAAATCAGAACAGTGGTTGATATTTAGTAATTGCTCAGTAAATACTATAAGGACTCCAGTTAGGGTTGTGCTTAAGGCAGGAGAGTTGAAGCATTCACACTAGTGTAGCTCCCCTCTTCTTACTCTTAAACCAGACGCAGAGCCTTAAAGTGTGCGGAAGGTGGGAATTAACTTCACAAGGAAGATGATCCCTGGATTTTATGTATTCCAAGCACTAGATTGTTTTGACACCCCTTTTCCCACCTCCCCCTATGCTGTTTTGGGGCCAGAGAAATAGCATTGCATAGTGTGCTATGCATGACTACGAGTGACCCCTGAGCATAGAGCCAAAAGTAGTCCTAAGCATTGCTGAATGTGGCCCCAAAACAAACCAACAGAAAGTTATATTTTAAAAGGGGGGGGGGCGGTTGGAGCGATAGCACAGCGGGTAGGCGTTTGCCTTGCACGCGGCCGACCTGAATTCGATTCCCAGCATCCCATATGGTCCCCTGAGCACCACCAGGAGTAATTCCTGAGTGCATGATCCAGGAGTAACCCTTGTGCATCGCCGGGTCGGACACACAAAAAAAAGTTGAATCATAGGTTGGATGGAGGGTGTGACTCACAAGCCTCCCAAGTGCATATAAGTGCATACCCTCGGTAAAGTCCCAGGCACCACCCAGGCAGGCCTGAGGGTATCTGAGCACTGCTGGGAGTAGCCTGTAAAACTGACACGTATGGAATCATTGACTGTTTAGTTATATATGGGCCACAAAGCAGGACTCAAGAATTTCAGAGGATTAATGTCATTCATGTACTCTAGAATGACACTGTTCAGTAGATCTTTCCTCTGTGTTGAAAACGTTGCATATGTGCTATATAACCGCTTCCATAATGGAAAGCAGAGCGCTGGAGCATGACCTACTTTTATGTAACCTGCAAACTAAAAATGGCTTTCTATGTTTATATATATATACATATATATATATATATTTTAGGATTTGTTGTTGTTGTTGTTTTGGGTCACACCTGGCATTGCTCAGGGGTTGCTCCTGGCTCTGTACTCAGGAATTACTCCTGGCAGTGCTCCGGAAACTGTATGGAATGCTGAGGATTGAACTGCTGGGTTGGCTGTGTGTAAGGTACTAAGGTCGTGTGCCTTACCCGCTGTACTATTGCTCTGGCCCACTTTCTACATTTTTAAGGGTTATAATGAAAAAAAACAAAGATGAAGGTGGAGATACTGCTTACTGGTCTGAGCTCATGTTTTATATGCAGAAGACCTGGGCTCGATCCCTCGCCCCACATCATCCCTCAAGCACAGCCAGCAGTGACCCCATAAAGCAAGGGATCAGCCCCTGAGCACCTCCAGGTGTGGCCTATAAGCCAAAAGCAAACTCAAAATATAGAATTTGCAGCACGGAACACATGTGACCTGCAAAACCCATGTTATTGACTATTTTATTTTTTACAGATATGCCTAGCTCTTTTTCTATAATACTCTTTAGACTGCAATGAAACCTAGGGGCTGCAGAGATAGTATAGCGGGTAAGGTGCTTGCCTTGCACAAGGACTACCCAGGTTCAATCCCAATACTTCTTATAGTCCAGCTAGGTGGGATCCCTGAGGGCAGAGCCAGGAGTAAGCCCTGAGCACTGCTGGGTGCTGAGCACTGCTGGGTGCCCAAAACAAACAACAACAAAAACATTCTAAGGAAATTAAGTAGGTGAATAAGAATCTGGATCAAATTGAGCAAGGATTTTTATGTTGGATATTGTACCAGAAAGAAGAAATTTGGGCCAGAATGATAGTACAGCAGGTTGGGCGTTTGCCTTGCACGAGTTGAGTTTGATTCCTGCATCCCATGATCCCCCAAGCACTGCCAGGAGTAATGCCTGATTGCAGATCTAGAAGTAATCCCTGAGCATCCCTGGGTGTGACCCGAAAAGAGGGAGGGAGGGAGGGAGGGAGGGAGGGAGGAAGGAAGGAAGGAAGGATTAAGGAATTGGAAAAAGAAAACAAATCATATTAGTGAGCCTTAAAATTTTATTTTTAAATTTTGAGACTTTAGTGGAAGACTGTTATATAGTTTGGCACTAACATAGGGGTGTTGGGCAGCCAGAATGATGTACAGTGAGTGGGTAAATCACTTGCCTTTCATGTGGCTGATCCAGGTTTGATCTTTGGTATCCCATATGGTCCCCTGAGCACTGCCAGAAGTGATCCCTGAGCACAGCTGGGTGTGCCCCAAACCTATAAAATAGGGGTGTTGGAGGTAGGTGAGACACATCACAACAGGGAGGAAACAGATGACAATATGTTGTCAGTGCAGAAATGTGTTCATGGGCTTATCTTGAAATTCTCTGGGATTAACATATTATGGGGTTAGAAGCCTAGAAATGATTGTGTCAGGAGAAAATGATGAAGTGAAATTCATTGATTTATTCATGGAGTATCAGTAATGGTGATAGGAAAAGAGAAAGGGCATATGTTGGTTGGTGTACATGCTGAATAGTATCAAGCCGGTGACTGTTATGTGAACAAATATCAAAATTTCTCTTAGAATTACTACATATGGGGATATGCCTAGCTTAGAGGTGAAATGTTGTTTGCAACAATTAGAAATTAAGTTTTACATTTAGTTATTCCTTATGCCAGTGTTTCTTTTACTCTTGCATATTTGCTTAGGGGTTGGCTGTCCACGATGGCACCTGGAAGTCAGCAGTGTATGGTTTTGGAGATAAGCATACTTTGAAAAAACTACGAAAGGAGGCAAATCTGAAACCTCTCCCAATTGTTGGCCCAAAGTTAAAAAGAAGGTATAAGTAACTTAAAAAATATTTTCTTTACTGTATCTATCTGGTCTAAGCATATTGTAAATTGGAATATTAATAACATATGCCACTAAGAAAAGCAGGAAGGCTTATTATTTAAGGAAGTTAGAACATTTTCTAAGCTTAAGTGTTTCATACTTTGAACCGTAGGAAAAATGAGTTTTATGACTTTTCCCTATTAATACCAAAGTTAAATGTTAATTTTATGCAGAAAAACCAATACCTTAAAATAGAATATTTTTAGAATGTAGATTAATCCATCTACTAATAGAACTTAAGGGAGAATTTCATTTGTGAGAACTCTAAAGTCCTAATTAGAGTTTGGCTGTTGAAATGAGTGTTCCTTTTTTCATTGTCTAGGAAATTGATGGGTAAAGCATGGTTATCTGCATAGATTAAGAGCCCATGGTGTGATCAATACTACACTCTTGGACTTGTCGCTTTTAGGGTGTAGGTGTGGACAATAGACACCGGAATAAGCCTTAATTATTTGCCACCTTCATTACTACTGTCCCAAGGAAAGTTGTGATTTTTATTGAGGGCCTTACCAACTAAAGTGGTGGTCACTGTATGGACTAAATGGGAAAAATGTGATCTGTGCCTGGGTCTGTCTTGCAGGTGGCCTATTGGTTACTGCCGTGCACTCAGCAGCTTCTCCATCCCGTTCATGGGGGCAGATGTGTCTGTTGTCAAGCGGACTCAGCGTTACTTATATGAGAATTTGCAGTGTTCACCTGTAAGTGTGTATCATTTATTCCTAATGAAGACTGAAGTGTACTTGTTGACACTTGACTTTTATGAGGGTTTTTTTTTGGGAGGTGAGGGTTGTTTTTTTGCTTGCTTTTCTTTGTTTTTGACCCACACTGGGCAATGCTCAGGGGCTACTCCTGGCTCTGCACTCAGAAATCACTCCTGACAGGCTCGGGAGACCATATGAGATGCCAAGGATCGAACTTGGGTTGGTTCTGTGCAAGGCAAGTGGCCTACTCACTATACTATCTTTTGGCCCTGTTTAAAGCAAAAAAAAGTGAAAGAGCCAAATAGTGCATGTTTCAGTTTCTGGAAATACACAGAATCAAAAATGTACAACAGTTCACATTTTACCAGGGCTGATAATATATAATTCAAATCCAGTTTTATAAATACCTTTTTATTATGACTCAGCACTCACAATTTTATTATAGCAAGTCTGGTGTCATTAGCACTGGGAAACCCCAGTTTTGAGTTTCATGTGCCAGAATACTTTGTTTTGCTTGTGGAAATGTCTGGACTCCCCTCCTTCCCTTACTCACTAGCCTGGATTGCCATCCGCTCTGATGACTGAGAAGCTGTATCTCAGGTGCAGAGATAGGAAAAGGTGATAAGCAACATCTATGTCCCGTAATATATAATTACTGAATTCAGATATATTAGTTGTGGGCTTTTGAATTCCTGGATTATGTGGACATTGTTCGAATAGGAGAAACTGAATTATCCTAAGCAATGATTTTCTTTTTTTTTTTTTTTTTTTTTTTATTGTAGATTTACAATTTTTTGTGCTTTGGTTTCAATTATACAATGATCAGATACCCATCCCTCCACCAGTGCCCATTTTCCACCACCATGGATAGTATCCCTCCCACCCCCATCCTCCCATCCCCCCGTCTCTGTGGCAGGGCAATCCCCTGTGTTCTCTCTCTCCTTTTGGGTGTTGTGGTCTGCAAAAGAGGCATTGAGTGGCAAACATGTTCAGTCCATAGTCTACTTTCGACATGCATCTCCCCTCCTGGGAGGATCCTCCAAACATCCTTTATTTGGTGCTCCCTTCTCTATCTGAATAGCCCTTTCCTCTAGGATACCCGGCTGGCCTCTAAGTTATGGAGTAATGCTCCTGGTGCTGATCTCAGCTATTCTTGGGTATTAATCTCATACTTTGTTACTTTATATCCCCCAGATGAATGCAATCTTTCTATGTCTATCCCTCTCTTTCTGACTCATTTCGCTTAGCATGATACTTTCCATATTGTACCACTTGTATGTAAATTTCATGACTTCATCTTTTCTAAGAGCTACATAGTACTCCATTGTGTAGATGTACCAAAGTTTCTTTAACCAGTCATCTGTTCTTGGGCATTCAGGTTTCTTCCAGTTTCTGGCTATTGTAAAGAGGGCTGCAATGAACAAACAAGTGCAGATGTCACTTCGACTATACATTTTTGCCTCTCTGGGATATATTCCCAGGAGTGGTATTGCTGGGTCAAATGGGAGCTCAATTTCTAATTTTTTGAGAATCGTCCATACTGTTTTCCAGAAGGGCTGAACCAGTGGACATTCCCACCAACAGTGAAGGAGTGTCCCTTTCTCGCCACATCCTAAGCAATGATTTTCTTATAAAAACATGCTCTATAGTCCTGATTTATGACCAGACTCTCCGACTATCACACACCCACAAAGGGGGCAGCTCTCTGGTGTGGTGTGTGTGACCATAGAGGAAGGGGCTGCCTGGGATGACTTGAGTGACAGCCTCTGCCTCTCTCTGCTCCCCAGGTTCAGTATGCTGCTTACGTGGCCGTGGGCGGCATCGCCTCTGTCGTGAAGCTGATGTTTGCAGGGCTGTTCTTTTTAATCTTTGTGAGGTTTGGACTTGGAAGGCAACTTCTCATCAAAGTAAGTAAGGTTTTCCTAAAATGTAATGTGTATGCATTTCAGAAATACTACTGAGATGTTTTTCTTTTTCTTTCAGTTCCCATGGTTCTTCTCCTTTGGCTATTTTTCGAAAGAAGGTCCAACTCAGAAACAGGTAAACCTTTTAATTCTCTGTAGACCTCGAAAATCATGCTTTGTGTTTGCTTTTCTCAGTGCAGATACAGTTACAGCTAAGACTTGATGAGGCAACTATTATATTTCGGACACACTTGCTTTCTTTATATAATCAGATTAATCTTTTCAGAGATTTTGAAGTAAATAGCATCAGTTTTAAAAAATGATAAAATGGATGTACAGAGAAGCTAGAAAACTCTTAAGTTCTTTTTCTAGTATGATGATATACATTCAACATAAAGTTTTCATCTTAACCATTTTTTCCTTCTTCAGTGGTTGTGGACCCATCCATATTGTTTTGTAACCATCATGGCCATTGATTTTTTTTTCTTTAGCTCTTAAAAATTTATTTGTGAAAAAAAAATGTTTTTATTTGTGGTACCAGAGTGATACAACAGCAGGTAGGGCAATTGATTGCCTTACACAAACCCACATTCGATCCCTGGCATCCATTATGATACCCCAGCACCGTCAGGAGTAGTTATTGAGTGCAGAGCCAGGAGTAATCACTGAGTATTGCCGGGTATGACCCAAAAAGTACTTCCCCCCAACTAAAAAAAGGGGAAAAAAAAAACCCAACTTCTTTGCAGTGCTGGGGATTGAGATTGAGCACAGGCTCTCCTACATGCAGGGTGAACACTGTGAAGCTCCCTCAACCTCCATCCAGGGCTCTTTTCATCTTAAAAAACTGAAGCTTGGGGCTGGAGCAATAGCACAGCAGGTAGGGCGTTTGCCATGCATGCGGCTGACCCGGGTTCGATTCCCAGCATCCCATAATGGTCCCCTGAGCACCACCAGGAGTAATTCCTGAGTTCAGAGCCAGGAGTAACCCCTGTGCATTGCCGGGTGTGACCCAAAAAGAAAAAAAAAACCTGAAGCTTGATGCTGATCCAACCAGAGCTCCCTTCCTTGTACCTTCCGTAACCCCTGGAAATCACCACTCTACTTTGTTGTTACGAATTTTATGAAATTGGCAACTCGAGGCCTTCATGTTAGTGGAATCATGCAGTTTATGCTCACTCTGACCAACTGGTTTTACTTAGCCTCTGTTCTTCCATATTATAGAGTGTATCAGAATTTTCTTATTTTATAGACTGAAAAATATTCCTCTGTGTGTGTGTGTATGTGTGTGTGTAGCACATTTGCTTATTCATTCTTCAAACTGTGGGTACCTGGTTTATTTACATGCTTTGTCCATTTTGAATAATGTACGAGAAATGGGTATACGGGCGTCCGAGTGCTTCTTTTAGGACCCACTTTCAGTTATTTGGGATATTTACTCTGAAGTACAATCGCTGGGTCTATGACATTTGTTTTTCTATCTGGGCACCTCAGGCCATTCATTTCCTTCTGTGGCTGCTCTATCTGTATGACATTCCCACCGGCAGTGCGTAGGACGTCAGTTTCTCCACTGCTTGCCAACACTCATTTTCTGTTCTTACCATTCTAATGTGTATAGGGGTTAGCTAGTGGAGGGTGGTAAGAATCTTACACATGCAAGGCAGGTATTACCGAATCACATCCCCCACCTCAGGTAGCTAGTTCTTACTGTTATTTTGATTTGCATTTTCTTAATTGATGATGTTAAGTATCTTTACATTTACTTATTGGACATTTTTATGTCTATTTTAGGAAAATACTCAGTCTTTGGACAATGTTTGAATTGGATTGCTTTTATTTGCTGCTGAGTTGTAGGGGTTTTCTATATATTCTAGATAATAATCTCCTTTATTATCCAGAGGTGTTTTGCAGGTATTTTCTCCCATTTTTTTTGTGTTGACCTTTTTGTTTCAGCCACATGCAGCGGTGTACTTATGGGCTACTCCCGGCTCTGTGTGAGGGGTCACTCCCTGCAGTGCTGGGGATCAAACCTGAGTCTCCTGCATGCAAAGCCCATGCTCCTGCCCCTTGATCCCTCTCTCCGTCCCATGTTACGGATCACTGACTTAGGTGCAGGGAGTTTGGTTCCCACCCCCAGAGCACAACTGGCTGGAATTCCTCTCAGGAACGTTAAGCCCCACCTGAGGCCTTTATGATCTAGTCTTCTTGAATGGCAGATCAGTTTTATTTTTCATGCCAGCATTGGCAGGAGCTTCCCAGAGACTGGCTTAAAAATTGTTCCAAAGCAGAATGACTGAGCATCCCCAGAGGCTTCTAATCAGGTGAACATGTGCCTCAGACAGGAGGGGGATGAGTACTGGCAGGCGTGTTTCGCCTCCTCTGCACCTGGCAGTGTTCAGGGGCCCTGTGGGGCATGTAGGGCCTGTACCATCACCCCCCTTCTCACACACACACACACACACACACACACACACACACACACCAGTGCTCTCTTCCAGCATTCATGCTTGTTTATATCTTTCCCAGTAGAGTCACAGTATAATCTTCTGAACTACTCCTGCATCTCTGTTTATCTCAAATTGTTTTGCCTCTTTATATCTGTTTTCTTTTCCCTCAACTGTAGGGAAAGCAGGGGTATTTTACTATGTCTCATTCTTAACATTGTATCAGAGCCTTTGTTGATAATAAAAAATCTCCTGACCATACTGAATTCTTTGTAACCCTCTTTCTAACTCTACTGATTGTGAAAATGTTTCGATAAACCTTCATAAAAAAATTGAATAATTTAATTTTTTAAGCACTTTTTGCGACGGCGGGCGGGCGCCTGGCAAGCTACCCGTGATGTATTTGATACGCCAAACACAGTAACAACAAAGTCTCCAATGGAGACGTTACTGGGCCCGCTTGAGCAAATCGATGATCAACGGGAGGGCCTCGAGCAAAGCACTTTTTGCATCTCTAAGTGAAGCAGTTACATATCTTTGCAGTTGGACCATACTTCTGTTACCTGTTGTTTTTATTTTAGTTTTTGGCACTGCGGTTTACAGTACCAGTTGCCAATTAATTGGCATACAGTACCAGTAACATTTGCAGGATCACATAGAAGCTCAATTCCTAGATTCTTTTTTTTTTTTCATTTTTTTTTATTGAATCAGTGTGAGCTACAGTTACAAAACAATGATTGAACACCCAATCCTCCACCAGTGTACATTTTCTATCACCAGTGTCCCTAGTAAACCTCCCTTACCCCCCACCCCACCCCCCCACCCTCGGCCCACCCATCCCCCTGCCTCTATAGCAAACAGTTTCTCCCTTTCTCTCTACTTAAGGGTATTATGGTTTGCAGTACAGATAGTGAAAGGCCATCATGTTTGGTTCTTTATCTACTTTTCGCACACATCTCGCATCCCAAGTGATCCCCCCAACCATCATTGACTTAGTGATCCCTTCTCTATCCCAGCTGCCTTCTCTCCCAGCACATAAGGCAGGCTTCCACCTATGGAGCAATTCCAAGATTCTTCAGAAGTGTTCGTATTGTTTTCCTAAAAGACTGGACATTCCCACAGCAATAAATGAGGGTGCTTTCCACACAACCCCCTGTATCCCCATGAGCACTGGTAGTTTATTTTTCTTTGTGGTGTGTGCCAGTCTCACTGGTGTGAGATGATATCTCATTGTTGCTTTGATTTTTCATTTCCCTGATGATAAGTGATATAGAGCATTTTATTCGTAAACCTTTTGTCATCTATATTGTCAGTCTTCTTTGAGGAAGTTTCTGTTTATCTCCATTTTTTAAATGAGTTTTTTTTTCCTTAGAAGGTTCTTCCAGTGCTGGGGTCAGAGAGAGAGAGTACAGTGTGTAAAGTACTCTCTTGCCTTGCACATGGTTGACCCAGCATCCCAATATGGTTTCACAAGCCCACCATGGCTGATTCTTGAGTGAAGAGCCAGGAGTAACCCATGGGCATCACTGGGTGTGGCCCAAAAACCAAAAATAAAGTTTATAAAGTTCTACCAATGTTTTATATATCTTGGCTACTAATACCTGATGAGATGAGTGGTAGACAAATATTTTCTCCTGGTCTGTGGAGTGCCTTTTCCCCCCTGGTGGTCCTTTTGTAATGCAAAGCTTCTTAATTTGATGTTGTCTCATTTGTTGATCTTTGCTTCCATTTGCTTGGTCAGTGACATTAAATCATTGAAAATACCTGTAGCTCAATGTCATGGAGTATTATATGGTTTTCTTGATATAATTTGTGAATTCAGATCTGATAGTGAGGTCTTTTTTATCCATTTTGGCTTGACTTTTGTGCATGGTTTTAAGAAGGGATCTGAGTTCTTTTGTGTGTGTGTATGGGATAATCAGTTATCCCAGTACCATTTGTTGAGGAGGCATTCCTTGCTCCAGTTCATACGTTTGCTCCTATATTGAAGACGAACTATCCACATACCACCTGATGATGTAGCTCTGGGCTCTCAATTCTATTCTATTGGTCTGAGAGTCTATCCTTATTTTAGTACTATGCTATTTTTATTACTGCTGCTTTATAGTACAGTTTGAAGTTGAAGAAGCAGAAACCTCCCATTTTTCCCCCTAGGATAGCTTTGTTTATTTGCAGGGTGGAGTGGGGGTGTAGGGTATAGGGTGGTATTATTCCATAAGAGTTTCAAGACAATTTGTTCTAAAATGTCTTTCAGAAATGTCATGGCTGTTTTTATAGGGACTGCATTTCTCTTCCTTTTCATTATTTGGATATAGAAAAGCTTTGGATTTGTGTATTGATTTTGTAACCTGTCAGAATGCAGTACAAGTCTATTGTTTCTAGGAGCTTTTTGTAGAGTATTCAGGGATTTTAAGCATAGTAACATGTCATCTGCAAATAGCGAGGGTTTGATTTCTTCTTTTCCAATTGGAATGCCCTTAATATCTTTTTCTTGTCTAATTGCAATAGCGAGGACTTAAATGCTATATTAAATAATGGTGACCATGGACTAATGATTCTTCACGGGAATTGCCTTCCTCTATTTCAGAGGCCCACGATTCTTGTGTTGTTTCTCTTAAACTCATTCCATAGTTTTCTCATGTATTGTTCACTTATCTTTGAGACTTTTTCCATCTTCTGTTGTTTGTAGATATTTCCTACATCCCATCTTGGAGCTCACTGATTTTATCCTCAGTTGCTATTCCTCTGTTGTCAGGGTCTGTCTTTGAGTTTTTTAGTTCACCCACCAAACTTTAGTTTAATTACTTTTTTTTTCTATTGAGTCACCTTGAATTGCAAAGTTGTTCATGATTGAGTTGCAGTCATATAGTGTTCCAACACCAATTCCTTCACCAGTGCCCTCTTCCCTCCACCAATGTCCCCAGCTTTCCCTCCCACCCTGACTGCCTCTGCCACTTCTTACTATAGTTTCTTCATTTCCAACCTGATGCTTTCTTAAACCTGCACCATTGATGTTTTGAGCTCATTAAATATCCTCAACATTTTGAAGTCCTGACCTGAGAGCTGGTTTGTACTGGTTGTCTTCTAAGCATTTCTCTCCGCTCACTAAACATGGAGTTGGTCTACATGCGCCCCCCCCCCCCCCCCATTGTGTCTGTTGCAGGTTAGACCCCTAGCCTGACTCTACCCCGGCAGGGTGCTGCTCTCCTTTCCCTGTCAGAACTATCCCACCCAAATTGTTGTTACTAACTAGTTGTCTAAAATTCTGTGTGAGGATTCCAGGTAGGTGTCATTGGCCTCACTGCTACTCCGGCTGTAATTTAGGCCTGTGAATTCTTCCTCCCATGACTCTCTTTTTGAGTGTCTGAGGGAATAAGTGATTGAGGCTTGGATCAAGTTAATGTTTGCATTCCTGGTTGGTGGCCGCTAAGCCAGTCAAAGTGAGTTCAGCGCAAGAGTCCACCGTGTCTTCCCAGTGGGGTATGAAGGAAGGAAGTAGCATGTGACAGTCTCAGCGCTCTGGGGTGAGGTGAGCATCCGTATCCTTGTGTGATGCTTTCCAGGGCACTTAGAGCAAACAGCTGGTGTGCACCAGGCTGGGCTGTGCTGATCTCATCTGTGGGTGAACAAGCCTGCTGACTATTTGTCTCATCCTCTCAAACAGATACTAGCACCAGACTGCCTACTATATCTCACCACCATCACCCTAAAATGAAAACTCTCCGTCTTCTTCATTGAAATGGCCTGTTTTAGTGGCACTGTCCTTTATAAACCATACCTAAAAAACATATTTTCCTTCTGGTTTGGGGGCCGGCACACCCAGAGGTGCTCTTGTCTTGGCTATGTGTTCAGGCTCTGAGATGTACTCTGGGACCATATGCAGTTGGGGATCAAACCGTGGTCAGGCGCATTTAAAGTACCTTAACCCCTATGCTATCTCTTTGGTCCCCTAAGAATCATTTTTATCTCATCTAGTTCCCTCCATTGCCCGCCTCACAGCAAAACACCTGTCTCAAAATTAGCATCATCAAAGAATTAACTTTTGCCCCATGCACAAAGGATACCAGGAAATTTTGTCAGAATATTTGGTTTTAATATATTGAAAATGTCTGATGTGAAGTGGAAACATAGGTTTTGTTTGGAGAGGGAATGAAATATTTATTAAATAAGCCTTTTGCTTTCCTTTCCTCAGATTGAGTCCTCCTCATTTACAATGACATTCTTTGGTGAAGGATACAATGAACAGTCTTGTGAGGATAAGAACAAATTAAGTGTCAAAATTTGTACTCAGGTGAAAGGACCAGGTATTTCACATCAGACTTAAGCGTGAGAATTTTACTTTCTCTTACTGTAAAGTAGTATGCTCTTCTACCATGTTCTCTTTAAATCTTTATTTTTATAAGTAAGTGTTCATTTAAAAAAATAGTGTTTGGGGGGAAATCTCCTGTATATAGAGATTTATATAAAATCTGCGGTTTGACTCTTTGGGTGTTGTTGAATACCTCCTTCATGACTCTCTTTTTCTGTAATTAACTGTTTTCTGCAGAGGCTGGCTATGTTGCTACCCCCATAGCCATGGTCCAGGCAGCCGTGACTCTCTTAAATGATACGGCTAATCTTCCTAAAGGGTAAGTCTGCTCTTATTTTTATTTAAATATTTCTTTCCATCCATGTGCTAGTTTAGTTTGTCTTGGTTTGCTTTCCAGGCATCAGATATGCACTTGAACAGTGAGTGTTGCTAGGCCAGGGCTGGCTCTGCAGGCAGGAGCACACTTGGCTGCGGGATCCCAAAATTTAGTCCTAGCACCCCCTGGTCCCCCAGGTAACCTGATTCAGCAGCACCCTGAGCACTCAGCTGGGAGTAACTCCCAAGCACTGCTAGGTGTGACCTCAGACAAGCATATTTACAGCTAACTTTATCCAAAGATAGAGATAAAATTGTAAGAAGGACAATTCCTTAGTGGCTTCTGGGAACAGTGCAGAGACAAGAGGAGAAAGGAAAAGTGGCTCAATAAAAAAAAGTTCCCTCTTTCTCAGTATTTTTGTTTATTTATTTTTTGGGCCACACCTGGCAATGCTCAGGGGTTACCACTGTCTCTGGGCCCAGGGATCACTTCTGGTGGAGCCCAGGGGACCATATGGGTTGCCAGGAATCAAACCCAGGTTGACCACGTGCTAGGCAAGTGCCCTGCCCACTTCACTGTCTCTCTGGCTTTTGTGCAGTACCATTTCTGAGAGCCTCTAGTCAGTGCTGAAAGATACCCAGCTGGCAGTGGACTGTCCTGACCTCGTGTGAATTGATTCATGGCATATTGTCTAGGTGATTAGCAAGTTGACTGGCTTAATGGAACATTTAGTTGTTACCATAAAATGTGTCAGCTCTACAAGAGACATAGGCTTAGAAATATGTAATTAGATATAATTGGATATGACCAGAAGCAATATTAAGTATCATAAAGAAAGGCCTTATTTTTTTCCAAATTTTTTCCCTTTGAGAACATTTAGCATCTTAATTAATATTAAGCATCTAATTAATATTAACCATTTACACGGAGAAAATGTTTAATGGAATGATTTTTATTCAGTCAGAAATAGAAGCTCAGAAATAATGATCATATATATAGTCTTGGTAGCTAGTAGATAAATTCATCTAATTACATATTCACCAAAAATATTGAATTAGAAGTGTTCCTTTCTAATGAAAGAACATATTCTTCACTTTTTTACTTGTCATGATACTAACTTTGGGATAATTCTTGTTACATGGGGGGTCAGTATCTCAAGAGCACCCAGTTAACTTTATAGTGGCATTAGTGTTTTGGTCCCTTGTTTTTATATCCATCCTTGTATTTTGTAATGAAGTTTCACTTTGATATGCACCTCCTGAAAAAATTTTACTCAGTTGACAACCTGAATTGTTTTTGCCACGTATTAATCAATTTAAAAGTTGATGAATGAAAAGTATAACTATTTCTATGAAAATACCCATATTCTCGTAACTGAGAATTTGAGAGCTCTTAATAATTTGTCATATTATTTTCAGTCATCAGTTTCAGACAAAGGTATTATCTATCAAAACAGTTGAAGTTCTCTGTAACTACCATTCCCGTCCCCAGAGATCATTGTCTGGTATTCTATGCCATGTTACCCGGGGGGGGGGGGGGGGGGGGGGATAGAGAGAAGAGAGAGGACTCACACATGCAAGGACATTTTTCTGTACAGAAATATTTGTTTAGGCTTTGATAATAACTGGGTTACCCATATGTTTTTCACTTGTATCTCTTTTTTTTTTTTTTGTAATCCTCTTGAGTCTGAGGCCTGACTCTGCAAACAGCTGCAGTTACTCAATTTTAATTGCTGACCCTGGCAGGCCACCAGAAATCACAGTGGAGACAAGCTCACTGGGAGCTGGCCTAGCCTATGTGGGTGTGCGGTGGCCCTGGCGGCTTTCTCCTTGAATTCACTACTTCTGACTGTGCTGATTCAGTGAATGAAACACAAAGCCCGTGAGTGGATAGGGAATGAACTTTTCCTGACTCTTGGCAGTCATTCCATTGCTAGTCAGTCCTGGAGCAGATGGTTCTAGTAGAAGGGCTGGAGGTGAGCCCCTGACACGGTTGTACCTTGTCATTGTCTTACAGAGGCGGAGTCTTCACCCCTGGAGCAGCATTCTGTCGCACGAAGTTGATTGACAGACTCAACCGGCATGGCATTGAGTTCAGTGTCATCAGCAGCTCAGAAGTCTAAAGACTCGAAGGATCAGCCAAGTCATCAAATACCTGAATTACCAGCTTTTTAATTTGTTATGTGAAATTCTCCTATAAGCCTGTTAACTATATGTGGAAAAGATGTCAAGTCTAACATATGTATAAATTAAAAACAGGGAATTGAACTGGGTTGCCCTAAGTTTCAAATCTTAGCTGATTTTTGTGATTTCATTGCCTGTAAGACAGAACTGATGCTTGACTGACTTTTTCATTGAAGACTCTGTACTCAATTTTATAAGTGAAATAGCAGACCACAGGGTGGATCAGGGTCTGTTTGTGTTGCTAACAGATTCCTTGTTGAGGTGCCCGAGTTGGGATTCATGGGGGACAGTGACTACTGCCTTCCATGACATAGTAGGGAATGGGATCTTACTTCCTGATGAGTCTATGTAATGTGTGGGCTTTTGCAAAATGAAACTGCACATTTTTGCTATTTTAAACTAGTTTTTCATCTATTTACACGGACTGATTTTGGACTGTTTACCTAAGCTGAATAATAAAGGATTATCAATTAAATGGTAGTTTTGTGTTTGGACCTAGATAGAAGTCTGAGGGGTGGTTAAAAATGTGTGTCTAACCTGTTTACTGTGAAAAACTGGTCTTGTCTTGAATTTTCCCTGGTTCCACACCTGTGAATTGAACATTCTTCAAAGGAACCATTAAGGACAAAATAAATGGAGTTAATCGCATTTGTTCCAAACAAGGAGACGAAATGAGAAACTTGAGATAATCATTGTCTCTAAGTCTGAGGATACATCAAAAAGCTTTATTTGAAGTTTCAGACTGTTAAATCACATAAGCAAAAGCCTATCAATTGTGCCAGGCCCAGTTCTAAATAGGATGTGCATCTTCAGTGCCCCAAGGATCACATGGGAGGCAGCATCGAGAGCAGCAGCCCTTACCCCAGACTGTACAAGTGGTAAGCAGAGGCTTCAACCCTGACCATTGGATTCCAGAACTCACTGCAGGGAGCTCTCACTCAGCTTCACACCTGGGATGGGCTCATTTTCACATGACCAAGTCAAGGTGTTCTATTTAGGGATGGTGGAAGAGGAGACTGCTGACAGGCTGGAGCCCCAGGTTGGACCCTGGCATTGCAGGATCCCACAGCATGCACAGTCTCAAAACAAAGTAGAAGAGGGGTCGGGAAGATAGCACGGCGGGGAGGGAGGGGTTGGCAGGCTGAGTCTGTAGGAAATGGGTTGAAAATGTCCACAATTCAGCCAAGAGCCAATTTAATCCAGCTCATTAGCCACACAAATAAGCTTCACTCAAAATACAAATATTTTAATTTCACGAATTCTCACTCTTTGAGATGCAATAAATGCTCTCTCTTCTTTTTCACTATAAGGGCAACATCATTTTTCAATTTCCACAAGCTGGACTCTAGGAGCTCTCCAAAATCCTTTAACATTTGGGACTGTTGGTGTATAAATACTCGGAGCATTTGATCCTCTTCCTAAAATATAAAAAAGAGAAGGGCTGAATCACTGCCAATAGGGAACCTGGAGATAGTGGGCACTGGCCGCTGGTTCTGTTTTCAACATTGGCTCTGGGTACTATGCAGGATTCACAGCATGGAGCTTGAGATGGCTTCTCTTCCCTTTAAAGCAGATCTCCTGGAACATCCTTCTCAACCATTTTCCAACCTTGCTTTCTTCTAGCTCCATACCCCCCTGGTCTAGTGCTGTGGCACCCCAGATATGCAATTTTCATCTATGGCCCCATGTAAATATGCTGAGGGCCCACAAGAAGGCCATGCCACTCCCAGTCAAGAAATACTGCCCCAGAAAAACCCAGGTATACAGGACCCGTGACTGCGGTCTCCAAGTTCACATGGATTGGGTCTGGGTTCCCTAGTTCTCCAGTAGTTTGGCAGTCACACCAACAAACTGCCCTGGCGCCATATAATCTTGTCAATGGCCAAGATCCAGAGACTAAAATAAAGCTCCCAGAAGAGAGCAACATACGTCTTACCCATGAGTGAATCTGCTCTATAATTGTATTCTAAATTTCGGAGTTCCTGAAGTGTGCAAGTGCATTTGCGGCCATGCAACATTTCATACTCTAGCCCACTGGTGTACCAAGAGTAGCATACATTTGTTTGGATTTAACATATATGCTTATAATCTCTTATACAAGGGCTTAAATGGCTCCAGGATGAAACACAACAATCATCACAAACTTTGCTCTTATGGTGGTGGGAAGATGCATGGTGGTGGAATTGATGTTTGCATACTAAATGCAATGAATTATTGTGAGCAACTTTATAAAAAATAAAATTTTTAAAAAATAGTGCCCTAGGTCTTGCCAGCAGAGCAGTGACCAGTGACCCAGCTCCACAATAGATTTTTTTTTTTTTTTTTTTTTTTTTTTTTTTTTTTGCTTTTTGGGTCATACCTGGCATTGCACAGGGGTTACTCCTGGCTCTGCACTCAGGAATCATTCCTGTCAGTGCTCAGGGGACCACATGGGATGCTGGGAATTGAACCTGGTTCAGCCGTGTGCCAGGCAAATGCCCTACCCGCTGTGCTATCACTCCAGCCCCCTCTACAATAGATCTTGAAAAGAACAGGATGCTGTTGAATCTTCCCAGGTAGACTGGTCTGGGCTGACAACTCGGACCTTCTCGGAATGGGGCAAGAAGGTTTCCCCTCTGCCTGAGGCACAGCAGCCTGCAGCCACACCTGGCACTTGTCATGGAAAGGACCCAGCTCTACAACTGAACCTCATCTAACTGCCAAGCCACCAAATCAGTCCAGCTGTATAGCTCCTGGACCACGTGGCCACATATATAGTAACATGACACTCCAAATTTTGTAGTACTGTCAGCCCAGCAGTATGTCAGGAAATCTGATAGGAAAGTTGCATAGAAGACCACCAAGCTCAATGAGCCTAAGCACAGAAGGTTCAGCTGGCACCAACCAGCCCAGTAAATCCTCAATGACTTTAGTAACTCCATTGTGAGATGTAACAATGATCACAAATGACTTTTGATCTAAGTTTTGATAGTTCCATTTGCCTTTGTGTTGAAACAAACAATATGAAGTAAATTTCTTTGGACCTGCAAGGGAGCAGGCTGGGGTGATGGGCTGGAAACTGAGGACATTGGAGAAGGGAAGGGCACATGGGTTGTGGGATTGGTGTTGGAGTACTGAATGCCTGAAACAACTGTATTATGAACAACTTGATAAATCACAGTATTGTACTAATATTTTTTAAAAAGAAACTAATGCTGTCTTGGAGAAGGCTTTTGGGAGGCCACAACCAGCACTGATCAAGGACAATGGAACCTGAGGCCATCCATATCCAAAGCTCACACTCCAGCCCTACCTCCCATTCAGGTTATTTCCCTCACTTTTTTTTCAATGTGTTTTCCAGCATGTCATCTCTGGAAAAAGTAATTGTTTCTAGATTCAGTATACTAGTCTTGGATGATAATAACAACAACTGACCCACGTTATGGCTCTCTTATCCCATGCAGTGCCAGGGGTGGAACCTGGGCCTCCTTCATGCAAAGCTATGCTCTACCCCTGGAGTTCTCTCTCCACTCTGCCCATGCCTTTCACCCATTTATTTTGTCCTACTGGGTTACCTACCTTTGTTTTTCTTTGTTTTATAGTATATCTTTATTTTAGATATCAGGTCATTATATGTTAAATGTGCTGCAAGTAACTTCCTATCCTCTCCCCCCCCCCTTTTTTTTTTGCTTTGTTTTTGGGCCATACCCGTGGTGCTTGGGGCTTATTCCTGATTCTGTGCTCGTGGGACACTCCTGGCAAGGCTTAAGGGACCATATGTGATACCAGGGATAGCTACATGCAAGGCAAGCACTTGTACTATCTCTATGGCCCCAAACTTTAAAACTTTAATTGGGTCACTGTCACTGTCCTCCCATTATTCATTGATTTGCTCAAGCAGGCCCAGTAACATCTCCATTGTGACAATTGTTACTGTGTTTGGCATATCAAATACATCACGGGTAGCTTGCCAGGCTTTGCAGAGAGGATGAGATATTCTCGGTAGCTTGCCGGGCTCTCCAAGAGGGGAGGAGGAATTGAACTCGGGTTGGCCATGTTGGCCAGTTGCAAGGCAAATGCCCTACTCACTGTGCTATCGCTCCAGCCCCAGTGCTCTGAATGCCAAAGTGAAAAAACTTTAATATAAAAGAATATACTAATAGTTTACTTAAATATGGGGGGGGGGTTGTTGTTGTTGTTGTTTGTTGTTATATTGTTTTATTGGGTGATATATGGTGATACTAAGGGTTACTCCCAGCTTTATGCTTGGTGGGGATGGGAGGGCTCCCGGCAGATTGAGAGTTCATGGGGTGTAGGGGATCAAGCCCATGCCTCCTGTATGCAAAGCATGTACTTAGCCCCAAGATGGGAGTTTTTAATGTAAAACTTACTAAATTTCTACTGGAGATCATGAAGACAGTTTCCAAAAGTGCCTTCTGAAAGCATTGGGTTTTTCTTAACATATTCTTAATTTTCCTAGCATTGCTTATTTTTTAAAAATCCATGCTACATCTATCTCAGCTATATATCAAGTTCCAGTCTAGAACAGCTTCATTTCTGGATTTTTTGTTGTTGTTGTTATCTGTATCACAGCACTACCTTATTGCTTATCACAATAGTATTTTAAATAAGCCTTGATATTAGATAGGGCAAGATTTCCTGTCTTGTTTTTTTTTTTTGTTGTTGTTGTTGTTCTTGTTCTTGTTCTTGGCTACTTTTTGCTTTTGCAGTTCCTTCTAATTTATGGAATCCTTTTGTCAGATTTATAATATTTGATTATAATTATGTTGAATCACAGGAAGACTAGACAAATTTGCTTTGCCTATCTCAGAAACCATGCAGGCATGCATTGTCTCTCCTTTTGTTTAGATCAGTAAGATATTTCAAACATGTTTTAAAATTCCTCCATTAGAATTCCATAGTTTGGGAGGATCCTCTTAGGATGGGAGAAGCTTGCTGAAAGTAGACTATAGACCGAACATGATTGCCACTCAATGCTTCTTTTGAAAACCACAGCACCCAAAAGGAGAGAGAGAACAAAGGGGAATGCCCTGCCACAGAGGCAGGGTAGGATGGGGGGATGGGAGGTGGGAAGGATACTGGGATCTGTGGTGGTGGGAAATGGGCACTGGTGGAGGGATGGGTATTTGATCACAATTGAAACCCAAGCACAAAAATTTGTAAGTCTACAACTGTACCTCATGGTGTTTCACTAATAAAATTTTTTTAAATTCCAGTTTTATGTTAGCTATTGACTAAGTCCTTCATATACATAATGCAACTATAAATGATGTTGTGTGTGTGCCCATGTGCATGTGTGTGATGCCAGAGATCAAACATGGCCTTGTACATGCCCAAAAACTGTTTTTTTTTCTTTTTGGGTCACACCCATCAATGCACAGGAGATACTCTTGGCTCTGCACTCAGGAATAACTCCTGGTGGTGCTCGGGGGAACATATGGGATGCTGGGACTCAAACCCGGGTGGGCCGCGTGCAAGGCAAATGCCCTACTTGCTGTGCTATTACTTCAGCCCAAAAAAAAACTTTTTTTAAAAAGAGTAAATTTAAGTTAGTAAATTTAATAATGATTATAGAGATAACACTTGTAAGACTTTTTTTTCTTCTGGATCGGAGAGATTGTACAGTAGGTAAGACTCTTGCCTTGCACACTGCCAAGGCAATACTTGGCACTGGAGCGATAGCACAGCGGTAGGGCGTTTGCCTTACAAGCGGCCAACATGGCCAACCCGAGTTCGATTCCTCCGCCCCTCTCGGAGAGCCCAGCAAGCTACCGAGAGTATCTCACCCGCAAGGCAGAGCCTGGCAAGCTCCCCGTGATGTATTCGATATGCCAAACACAGTAGCAAGAAGTCTCACGATGGAGACATTACTGGGCCCGCTCAAGCAAATCGATGAACAACGGGAAGACCATGACCGTGAGTTTCACCAGGAGCAGTCCCTGAACACACAGCCAGGAGAAAGCCCTGAGCCTAGAGGAGTATGGCTCAAAAACTGAAAAAGAAAGCAACTCTTCTTTCCCCTTTCATATACACTTACATATACATTTACATGCACATTTATGTATACATTTCCCTTTCATATACATATATACCTTTCCTTTCATATCTTGTACTTCTTGCCTTGCTGCACTGACTAGAATATAAAGTAGTGTCTACACAATGTCCACACACTATATGATATAAAGTATACTTCTTTTATAAATCATAAAGTGAACATCAATATGGCAATGGCCATAGTGCCTGGAACCAGCCTGAAGTACACTAGCAAAAAAATCAAGAGCAAAGGTGGCTGGAGGCCATGAGTAGAGCCCTCACATGCTCAGAGTCTCACCCTGTCCTGTAAAACACACACACAGCCCCACGTGCAGAAAATGCAGTTACATCAGATCCCTGCATTTGATGGCTGAGCCTTTTCCTCCTGGGTTCTGGGTACTTACGGGAGGCTTATGATGCCTTAGGCTGAGAAACTGTCCTCTAGCTCTGTTCATGCTTTGGTAGAACACCTTAAGGGCCTTGGCGAATTCTCTGTCGCAGCTGGTTTGTTGAGTGCATGTTTGTTGAATCTCTCTGACTTCCAGCAGTTGTGCTGTTGTCCCACTTGTCTTTACAGTACCAGAAGGCTTATTATCTGAGGTCCAAAAAATACGGCATTTAGAAACAAGGATATGACTCACAGCACCTGCCTTGCATGCAGGAACTCCAGATTGGATCCCTGACACCATGTTGTCCCCAAGCACTGCTGAAGAGTGACTCCCAAATACTTTGAATGGAGAAGTCCCTCAGTACCACCAAGTGTGGTCCCCAAACCAAGCACTAATAAAAGAAGCTATGACATCTACTAATCTATTTATCTCAAAAAATGCTGATCCCTCATTATGCCAGTATTTAACAGACATAAATTTGGATCCATACAAGAAATCTTACAAAACAGAAGGAAAAGGGGCTTTGCTTTTTTTTCTTTTTTTCAAAAAATGAAACATAATATTAAATCATTAGGAAGTTTATTTCTAAAAATAAAAGTTTGGGGCTGAAGCGATAGTACAGCACAGTGGGTAGGGCATTTGCCTTGCACATGGCCGACCCGGGTTTGATCCCCGGCATCCCATATGGTCCCCTAAGAGCCGCCAAGAGAAACCTGAGCATCGCTGGGTGTGACCCAAAAGGCAAAAAATAAATAAATAAAAATAAAAGTTTATGGAATCTGGAGAGACAGTACAGAAGGTAGGGCATTTGCCTTGCATGCAGCCGATCCAGGTTCAGTCCCCAGCACCATATGTAGTCCCTGAGTCTGCTAGGAGTAATCCCTGAGCACAGAGCCAGGAGAAAACCCTGAGGTCTAGCAGCTGGGGCTCATAAACAAAAACAAAAACAAGCAAAAAAAATTTTTTAGGTTCCTTAGGTGTGGGAGGAAAGCTCAAAGGGCTAATGTCCATGATTCCCCCATGCAGGAGGTCTGGGTTTAAACCCTTGAACTGCATGATACCTGAGCACAGTTGGGAATATCAGGATGCCCTGAAAGCTTTTCTCTCCGAAAATGGGTCAGATATTGCCCTGCATGCAGCTGATCTGGATTTGATCTTCAGTACTATGTATGGTCTCCCAAGCACTGTTGGGAATGATCTCTGAGCATCAGAGAAAATATAAAGGTTCATTTCTTAGAAGACAAATACACATCCCAAATGGAGAAATTCAGAGATAATGAAACAACTGAGGCATGAGCAGTCTCTCACCTGGCTGAGAAGAACCAGTTTTCTCCAGTGAGACTTTGAGAGCGACATTTTCCTCCCTGAGGACTCGGTTCAGGTTTCTGAGCAGCTCTGTCTCCTGTTCTAACTTGAGCAGCTTCAGATAAAGTTCTGGTGTCTGGTTTAATGTACTCTACAATATATACAAACAAAAACAGACCTGTATCCCTTTAGTTAGGGGCTGGTTTGTTTGCACAGCCTTTGAGACTGAGGATTTTGACTAACACATGAAAACTCAATGAAGTGGTGGGGTGGCAAGTGAGGTCTCACAGCCCCTTAGATGCCCAGGGGTATAAAGTAAGAAAATGTTACTAAAGGAAGTAATGCTGATGAGCCCCAGCTGGCATCTGAGATTTCCTATTCATCAGTGTTGTCCTTCCTATTTGTTTTGTTTGGGGTCCCAGCCCAGCAGTTCTCAGGGGCTGCTCCTGGCTTAGTGCTCAGGGGTTGCTCCTGACTGTTCTCAGGAAATTAAACCTGGGTCTCAAGTTCTTGAATTCTCTCCCTGACTTCACCTTGTCTATTTCATTTTATAAAATTTATTTTAGGGGCAGAGCTATAGTACAACAGGTAAGGCATTTGCAGAGCCAGGAGTAACCCCGAGCATCGCTGGGTGTGACCCAAAAAAGAAAAAAAAATTATTTTATTTTTACATTTCTTATTACATTTTGCCATCCTTTGACTTGTTAGAACAAAACACCCTTAAGCAAAAGTGAGCAGCAGAAAGCTCTGCCTCAGTGTTTGCCCACAGGCTAGCACACAGTAAAGCTAGTACAGCCCAAACACCCCATGGGGACAGCGGAAGAGGCCCACGTTGTCCATTTTAATGTCAGATAAGTGCACACACCTGGCCTGCGTCGAACACGGGGGAACTTTTCCGGGTGTCCACCATGAAGTGGCCTCTTCCTGTGAGAGCGAGGTCAGGCTGGGAACAACCCAGGTCAGCACAGCCCTCTACAGTGCGGGGAAGACTCGTCAGGGCAGGAACCCCTCAGCTGCCCGACCCACATGTTGGGTGAGGTGTGGGGAGACCACAGGCTGTGGGAGGAGCCCAGAATTCTTTGGGCTGGGAGAACACAGATGGAGGAGCCCCGTCATCCCTAGAACCTAGGGACACAGAGCAAACAGTTCTCCCCCCGACCTGCAGTCCTCACTCCCCTCCCCCACTTCCTCAGCGCCTCTATGTAAGTGGATGTGGATTTTCTGATCCTGCATGTGCCCTGCAAGAGAGGAGGAAGCTTGGTACCTTGGAGACCCCACAGATCCACAACCAGAGCATTGGTCTGTAAATAATCCAGGAACTCCCGCGAGGCATGTAAGGCTGTAAATTGGATGGTTTCTTCAATTGGGGGATTCACATTTTTCCACACGGGCTTAGTATACAAAGTATGTGGAAGATCATACATTCTGTACCTGCCCAAAAATCACACCAGACAATTATTTTGTTCAATTTCTTTTCCCTTTTTGTTTTTTGGACCACACCTAGCTGTGCTTGCTCCTGGTTCTGTGCTCAGAAATCACTCCTGGCATTGCTCAGGGGACCATATATGGTGCCTGGAATTGAACCTAGGTTGGCAGCTTATGAGCAAAGCACCTTATCCCTTGGGTCCCCCAAATTTCCATTTATTTTAATATCTTTTTTAACTTTAAATTTCTTTACAAACTTTATTTGTGAAAAAGTGAATGGCATGAGTTAAATAAATGCCACCTACATTGATGGTAAAAGGTGCCCTGTAATTGATTCTTGTGAAAGCAGATCCCAGCATCTCCCTTCTTCTATGTGGGAATTATCACTACATGGGTAATAAATGTCTCAGAAAGAAAGGAAAGGGATGGGGGTGGTGGGAGGGATGCTGGGACCATTGGTGGTGGAAAATGGGCACTGGTGGAGGGATAGGTACTCGAACATTGTCTGACTGAAATGCAAGCACGAAAGTTTGTAAGTCTGTAACTGTAACCTGCGGTGATTCACTAATAAAAAATTTTTTTAAAAAAGAGAAAGGAAAGGGACTTTAATAAATACTTTTTACATAGATAGTCTGAAATTACTCATTTTCCTTGATAGGTGGTTGAGGGTGTTTTGTTTTTGTATTGTTTTGTTTTGTATGAAGTTACCCTTACTCTTAATGCTTTTTTAAAAGATAAACTTAGGTGCCAGAGAGATAGTACAGTCAATAGGGCACTTGCCTTGCACACAACTGACCCGGGTTTGATCCCCGGCCATTTGGTCCCCCATGCACCTCCAGAAGTGGTTCCTGAGCACAGAGTCAAGAGTTACCCCTGAGCATCCCTAGGCGTAGCCCCCAAACAAAAAATAAATAAATAAGGTCAGTTTTATTTAGATACATATGAGGAAAGAGAGAAAGATTATTTAGATAAATACGAGGAAAGAGTTTTGTGTTCAAGGCTTCTCCAAAGGGATAGCTGAGAGTACACATCTCAGGGTGAGATGCAAGCAAATCCCCAAGATAAAAAATGACCCAATGTTCTATTTCTTACTAGCTATTTAGCCTAATAAGAGTAGCTTCTATATTGAAATACAGTCTTTTTAATTCCATCTGGAAAAAAAGTCTACTTAGAAAATCCTCCTCTCTGAAATGCCCTCTGACAATCCGCCTTTCTGTCACTCCCGCTGTGATCCCTGAGAATGATCCCATATGATCACATACACTCATAGTCCAGTAAGTTAGAAGGGCAAGTAGCTTTTCCATGAAACAGATGGGGAAATGGTCATTAGGGGTTGGAGCAACTTAAGGAAAGAACTCATTTTTAGGACTAGAGAAAAAATTCTTCCCCTGGGCCCCTCAGCCCATGCCCAGCAGCACTGGGGAGCTGGCTTGTACCCCAGCTGAATGCCCCGTTCTGCATATTCCTTTAGCCACTTGGCACCAAGGCACCGAACGATGCCAATCTGGAAGTCCATCCTCTTGCCCAGCAACTCCAAAGGGTCAATGACTACCTCCTCCTCTCCACATTCTCTGCAAAAGAAGAGATAAAACAGGAACTCCAGGTTAGTAAGTCAGGGATATGAGGTCAAGAGGCAACAGCTTCCTCAACATTAAAACTGTAGATTTCAGAGCACTTCATGAGCGCTTACTCTACTGGCACTTCAAACCAGGTGCAGCTCCTCGGAAGGTGGTCAGTCCTCCCAGGGAGGACACAGCATGCTAACAGCTTCCTGCAGTCAATACCCCAATGTAGGTGTTTAGCATTGAAGAACTAGCAGCTGGGGCCTGAGAGATAGTACAGTGGGTAAGGCACTTACCTTGCATGTGGCCTAACCCAAGTTCAATTCCTGGCACCTCGCATGGCCCTGTGAGCACTGCCATGAGTGATCCCTGAGCACTGGTGAATGCAAAAAGTGCAGGTTTCCTGCAGGACAGAGGGGGTGTCCTCTGCAGGAAGCCCATTTGAAGTCCGAATAGATGCAGCCCTCATCCTTCCCCTCCAGAGTCAACCCCAGGCTCCCAGGAGAAAAACAAAATTAGGCAGCTTTCCAATAAATCCACATCAGCCAGGCTAGTAGACTGAAACCTATAAACCAGACACTAGCCCGCCTCTATGACTTTTCTTCCTTCTCTCTCTCTTTTCTTTTGAGTTTATGGTTTGCAATACAGGTACTGAGAGATTATGATTTTTGTTCCTTTACCTACTTTCAGAACACAGATCTTGTTCAGAGTGATCATTTCTATGTAATATTGTCCTGGTGGTCCCTTCTCTAGCCCAGGTGGCTTCTCCCCTAGCACTTCAGACAGGCTTCCAACCATGAACCAATAAATTGTTGTATCTCATCATGTAGATATTAAGTCTCTGTATGAGAGATTAATACGATGTTGTTACAGGTTAAGACTTCTGTATTTATGTTTTGTTAAAATTGAGTTTGGTTGCCTTCTCCCATCTGGTTTAAATGCCTCATTTTTTGATCCCAGGGAGCTGCTGAGCTGATTAAATGAACCAGGCAGGGAATTTTATAAATTATTGCGGAAGTGAAAGCCTCTGGCAAATGCTCAAGGGTTATTCCTGGCTCTGAACTCAGTGATCACTCTTAGTGGAGCTCAGGGGACCATTAGGGATGATGGGATCGAACCCTAATAGGCTGCATGCAAGGCAAGTGCCCTACCTGCTATACTAATGCTCTGGCCCCAATTTTACATATTTAAAAATTATTATTATCATTTGATTTGGGAGTCATACCTAATAGTGCTCAGGACATGCTCCTGGTTTTGTGCTTAGGGAATCACTCCTGGTGTTTTTGAGGGACCATATGGTGCTGGGGAGTGAACCAGGGCCCCTACAAGCAAAGCATGCACTTAGCCCACTAAACTAACTCTTTTACCCTAGACAGGGAGTTTTTATCTATCTCAACCAGTTAACTTGGCTGCCACTGCAAAGATCTGATTTGATGCCTCTTGGCTGTCGAATCTTGAGGGCCACTTGACTGAAAAATCTTTTTTGATGAGACCAAATCACGAACAAATTTGCTTGTACATTTCTACGATAAATGATCTCTTTGGAGTACAAAGTGAGTCATCTCAACTGGGAAAATAGGTTTGCTATGAGTTTTACCTGAGCAACTGACCCAGAAGTCAGTGAGGAGGTAGGGGAGAGTACCCACCGTCCTGTTGGGGAGCAGGGGCTCATGTGGATCTGCAGCACGGCCTCATCCAGCCCATCACAGTTCAGAAACTCCACCTGGTCCTCCAACTTCATGCAGTAGGCAAGTGACTGCAGCCAGACATGAGCTGAGCCCAAGTGAACAGCCTCAACAGGATCCCAAAAAGGATCGTCTTCCGGTGCTACGTGGCTGTCTTCTCCATCTAGAAAGCGCTGGTAAAGCTCTTCCATCAGGAATTTCCTATTGGTAAACTTGGCTTTGGACCAGATCCATACCTGGAAATGCAAATGTTGGTCACCATTATCTATTTTGCCCTGCTGCTCTAATGATCCATTCTGTGATTCATCCTAGTCTGCTTCTTCTTGCTGGGGCTTGGGTTCTCAGGAGCACAGAATACTTTCATCCCACTTGGCTTGGGTGAGATTCTTCAATGGATCTTGTTGATTCTTAGCCCTTTGTTTCAATTGCTGGAGGTCAAGAAAAAACTTTAAGGAAATGATGGAAGAAACAGAGGGGCTAGAGGGATAGTACAAAAGTTCAGGCACTTGCCTTACAACATTGGGTGCCAATTTGATCCTCAGCACAACACGGACTGGGAGTGACCTCTGATCACAGAGGAGGACACTGCTGGGAGTGACCTCTGATCACAGAGGAGGTCACTGGACACTTCTGGGAGTGACCTCTGATCACAGAGGAGGAAGCAGCCCCCAGTACTGCCTGTTGTGACCCAATCTACTCCTAAACACCCTGCAAATTAGTGACTCCTGAGAAAAATTAAGTTTGGGGCTTATGGGAGATAACCCCCCCCCCCATGATTCCCTGTCTCCAGAACCTGTGACTTTGTCACCTTACATGAAAAAGCAATGAAGCCTGCTTATTGGCTGATCTCAATATGGTGATGCTGGCACATACCAACAGGGCTCACACTTGGATGTGGTTTAATTATCACAAATCACAGCTCCAGTCTCAATGTATTAAACTGAGAAGATTAACATGGATTGTCCAGATGGTCACAATAAAGTCACATGGACCTTAAATATGGAGGGGGGCAGCTGAAACAAGTATCAATGAAGGCAGGTGGTACTGAGACAGACCACAGAGATGCCATGTGGCTGACCTTGAAGACAATGGAAGATAGCCTGGGCTATGGAACACTGGAGGCCTCTAGAAAAGGCCAGAAAGAGTCTCCCTTTAGGCTTCCAGGCCTGTAGCCCTGAGGACACCTTGGTTTTTAAAACATACTTGTTATTTATCTATGAATCTGCCAATGGCATTCAGGGGAACCAGGAGCCATGCTCAGTGATTCTTAGCCAACCAGGCCTGGGGTTTGATGTGTGGGCAAGGGATGAGGGGATTCTCAGGTCCTGTGGTACCAGGAACCACCTGGGCCACACCTGGAACTGCTAGGGGAGTCACGGGGATGGAACCAGGGTGGGGTACATACAAAGTATAGGACTTTCCCCCTGTATCATTTCTCTGGCCCTATTTATTTAATTTTTATAGGGACCCATGCTTGGGGACTCCCAGGGCCACACCTTCAGTAACAGGAACAACATGGTGCTGGGGTTGAACTCAGGGAAGCACTTGAGCTCTCTGGGCCTCTGGACACTTTCCTCTTTTTTTTATTGGTGAGGGGCAGGATGGGGGTGGTCACAGCCTGCAGTGCTCAAAGGTTACTCCTGGCTCTGCATTTAGAAATTACTCCTGGGGGCTCAGGGGACTATATAGGGTGCTGGGGATTGAACCAAAGTCAGCCACATACTCCTGGACACTTTGCTCTTAACTCACAAAGATGTATGATCTGGACCCTAGATAACTAACAGATAACAAATACAAGAGCTCACACACAGTGAGTGGAAATGCCTCCACGCTGTGTCTCTTCACTAAGGAATGGGCCTTGGGATCAATACTGGGTATTGAAAGAGAATGGAGAGAGAGAGAGAGAGAGAGAGAGAGAGAGAGAGAGAGAGAGAGAGAGACAGACAGACAGACAGACAGACAGACAGACAGACAGAGAGCACAAAAACCATCAACTGGAGTATGAGAAACTCAAGCTAGAAAGAAAATATCTTGAAAATGTCACATCACAAGTGATTACGGCGTAAAATTAGCAACATCTCCTCTGAGCAACTTGGAAAACCAAAACAAAACACTGGGTTAGGGTTGTGCATGTACCTTGTATGTGTGAGGCCCCAGCACCCTCGCCAATGTGATGGGGACCCCCCAGAATAAAGAGTCATTCTTCCTCTGGAAGTTCCATAGTTCATCAAAGGGCATCCTTAGACCCTGCAAAGACCCCTTTCTCTGCTTCAAGTAAAGAAAGCACAAACTCCTTTCCCAGAGGCATCTTGAAGATGGTTTCTGACACATATGCAAGAGATAGTAGAGCAGGGAGGTAATTTGCCTTACAAGGCCAACCCAGGTTCAATCCTCGGCATCCCATTTAGTCCCCTGTGCACTGTCAGAAGTGATTTCTGAGTGCAAAGCCAGGAGTAACCCCAGAGCATTGCTGGGTCTGCCCCTCTTTCAAAACAAACAAACAAACAAACAAACAAAAAACATCAGCAAGCATTTAAGCCCACTGCATGAAGGGAAACCAGTCTTAGGTCTGCTGAGGCTCATAGGTTCATGCCTTGGGACCTGGAAAAGGAAGTCATCCTTGCTAGGTAGGGTCAGCGCTGGGACAGGCTGTGCTCAGGCTCCTGCCCCAGGGAGGCTCTGAAACTTCCTGGTTGAAGAATGGTTACCATGCCCCAGGGCTGCTAGACTGAACGGCTAAGAACAACTGCACAATGGTGGCACTCCTTCTTAGAAAGCCCTCACAGACCTCCCCCCACGCCGCTGTTCCTGACTTTATCCTGATGTTGATACCAAAGAAATGCCCTCTGCCCATATCTGGAGCCTCTATTATTGCATGCAGAAGGCTGAGATCCAACCCCCAGCACCTCTGGAAGTGACCCCTGACTGAACACAGAGCCCAGAATCATTCTTGAGCCCGCCCCCCCCCCCCCAAAAAAAAACCCAACCAAATAAAACAAAAATCACACAGAAAAGGATCTAAGAAACCCCCAGGAATTATTACCAGTTTCTCGCAGGCTCCTGAAAGAAAGGTTGTGTGTACGTTTTTTTAAAATCAGACCAGGGTCCTGTGCATGCTGGGCATGTACTCTACCACCATGCCCAATCACCAGCCCCCCACTGATCCTTGAATAAGTCGAAAAGGAACAGGCTTGAAAATGACACACCAGTTATCTCTGGATGAGACAAAGAATAGAAAAAAATCACCATAAAATTATTGAGAGCATTATCCCTCAAGAGAGCTCAGGGATTAGGGCACTTGCTCAGCAGGCAGAGAGAGTGAGAGCTGAAGCAGCAGCAGGCCTGTGAGGTAGCTGCTGTGCCTAACAGGTGTGCCAAGGGAAGGAAAAGAACAGGATTTCTTGGCTCATTTCCCCACTGTCGTTGGTTTCAGTTCTACAGGGATTTAGCTTCAGTCCTGTGTCTGTGTGGAGCTGTCACCGCTCCCACCACACACACAAAAGGACCCTCCTTCTTTTGCCCGGTTTATTTTTGTTGGGGGCTGTAGTGATAGCACAGCGGGGCATTTGCCTTGTGCACGGCTGGCCTGGCCTAGCTGGATTCGATTCCTCCGCCCTCTCCAATAGACCAGCAAGCTACCAAAGTATCCTGCCTGCACGGAAAAGCCTGGCAAGCTCCCTGTGACATATTCAATATGCCAAACACAGTAACAAGAAGTCTCACAATGGAGACATTACTGGGCCCGCCCGAGCAAATTGATGAACAACGGGAGGACAGTACTATTTTTGTTGGGCTGCTTAAATTTTTTTTTTTTGGTTTGTTTTTCTGGTGAAGCTTTGTATGTTCTCTCTCTCTCTCTCTATTCGGAGTATTAGTCCTTTGTGAGATAACCTCTCCTAATTGCTAGATGCTAGACTGTTTTTTTTTTTTTTTTGGTGTTTTTTTTTTGGTTTAGTGGTAATTTTGCTGTGAAGAAACTTTTGTTTCCCTTGCCATGGAGTTGAATCTCTGGATACATTTGTGATGTAGAGGTCCTGGAATATAGCCCATGTTTTTTTTTTCCTTATGTATGTTATGCTTTAGGGTCTAATATCTAAGTCATGTAGGATTAGTATTTATATATAATATTAAAGAGTTCTCCTTTCTTCTTTCTCCTTCTCCTTCCTCCTTCTCGCCCCTATCTCCTCTTCCTTCTCCTGCTCCTTCTTCCTCTTTCCTCCTTTCTCCTCCTCCATATCCTCTCCCTCCTCCTCCTTCTTTATTGGGCCACACCTAGCAGTGCTCAGGGCTTACTTCTGCCTCTACACTCAGGGATCATTCCTGGGGGGGCTCAGGAAACCATATGGAGTTCCAAGGATTGAACCTGGGTTAGCCATGTTCAAGTAAAGTGCCTCACTTATTGTTCTATTGCTCTAGGCCCTACTTTATTTTTAATTTCTGATTATTTTGTTGGTTTGTTTTTGTTGTTGTTGTTGTTGTTGTTGTTGTTTTTGCACCGTACCTGGCAGTGCTCAGGGCTTACTCTGCCTCTGCACTCAGGTATTACTCCTGGCAGTGCTCAGGGTACTTTATGGGATACTGGGAATTGAACCCCGCTTCGGCCACATGAAGGGCAAGCACCCTTCCCACTGCACTACCTCCCCAGACATCTAAAATTTCTCATTACTTATCCTATCTACATGTTATGTTTTTCATAGATTGAATTTCCTTCAATGTCTTCATAATATCCACTATATCTGGTCAGAACTTTAGAATGCCTTTAATTACTTCGATGAATTTCTCCCTGCATTTTGATATGATAGCTTGGGATTTGCTTCTCTTTGTGTAGCTGATACACTTTAACTTTGTTGCATTTTGTTAAAACATAGATATTCTCTATTCTTTTTGCCTGTCACCACCTCCAATTCTGTGTGCTTAAATTTTCCCTCTGGAGACTTGTTTTCTTTGAGGAATTCCATCTTATTTTACAATGATGGGCCTCAGAATGTTAATTTACACCTCTGGGTTCGTTTCTTTTGTTTTCCTGCAGGTGGCGCTGCAGCTTTAGAGTTGGAGTTTTCTTTCTATGCTGAGAGGACGGACAGGAGACTGAAAACCTGGATGATCAACTGGAGATTGTCAATGGATTGAGGGTGCAGAGCAGTTCAGAGGGAACACTCACAACAATACTCAGTCAAAGTACTAGAGTTCCTTTTTCCTGCCAATAGTGTGCCTCAAAGAGGTCCTCCCCATTTTATTGTTGTTTTTTTTTTGGGGGGGGGTCACATCCGGCGATGCTCAGTGGTTACTCCTGGCACTCAGAAGTCACTCTGAGAGGTGCTCGGAGGACCATATGGGATGCTGAGGATCGAAGCTGGTTCAGTCCAACAAATGCCCAACCCGCATACTATAGCTCCAGCCCCCCAACCCCCACTTCTTGAGTCCTATCTGGATGCTGTGTTGTTCCTCAAAAGAGGGGGCAGGACTCAGGAGGGGTTCCCATTGCTGCTAGCCTCAAACATCAGGATTGTTTTGTTTTTATAACAAAGTTCAGTTTCTGCTAGCAGTACAATGCCACTTTATTTATTTATTTATTTATTTATTTTTGCAAATAAGCTACCGAGAGTATTCGATATGCCAGACACAGTAACAACAAAGTCTCCAATGGAGACGTTACTGGGCCCGCTCGAGCAAATCGACGATCAACGGGAGGGCCTTTACCTTACCTTTTACCTGCAAATGACTAACCAATTTTCCCAGAAGCTATTGCTGAAGAGGTGTTCCTACCTCTACTTAATGCTACTCAGGATCTTCTAGACTTTCAATTCTTTTCCACTGGTCTAAGAGTCTGTGTTTTTTCTATTGCCACACTGTTTTTATTACCATAGATTTATAGTATACTTTAAGGTCAGGGAATGCAATGATTCTCATTTCCCTTTTTATTCTTTCTCCTTAGAATTACTTTGGCTCTTCAGGGGGTAAACAAATTTTAGTAGCATTCGTTCTATATCCTTGAAGAATTCCCTTGGAATCTTGACAGGGATGAATTGAATCTATATAATACTTAAGATAAGATAGCCATTTTTGAATGGCATTTCTCCAAGCATGGAATGTTTTTGTTTTCTTGTATCCTGTTTCTTTTTATAATAACTTATACTTTTAATTTACAGGCATTTCATCTACTTTGTTAATTCCTAGATACTTTTTTTGACACGGTTGTAAATAGGATTTTATTCTGCTTTCTTTTTCCGCTGAGTTTGTTGTTCACATATGGAAATGCAACAGACTTTGGGGCTGGAGCAATAGCACAGCATATAGGGCTGAGTTCAATCCCCAAGTTCCATCCCTGGCATCCTATATGTTCCCCCAAGCACTGCCATATAGGGACCATATGGGATGCCAGGGATCAAACCTACATCAGCCACAAACAAAGTAAATGCCCTACCCACTGTACTCTCTGACCCCAGCACAAACTTTTCCTAATAGCCTAGAACTTACACATCCAGCATTTACCAAAGTGTTTATCAGGTGTTCTCTGTGGCATTGAGGCTTTCAAGGTGCCTGGACACAGACATGCCCTCTGCAGGACAGGACAATCCAGGGTGGGGTAGTAATAGTGAGCTGGTGTTAGTCTAGGGTGCTGGGGTGTCTGTACTGAGCCAGACGGTGAGGAAATGACACTAGCATCTAGAACGGAGAAGGTTTGGGAGTAGGAGTAACTCCTGAGTGCAGAGCCAGGAGTAACCCTTAGCCATCGCTAGGTGTGACCCAAAAAGGAAAAAAAAAAAAGAAAAGAAAAAAAGTTCAACAGACTTTTTATGTGTTGGTTTTATAGTCTTCTACTTAAATAACATCGGCTTATTCTTTTTAAAAGATTTTTTTTATGGTGGAGTTTTTATGGAATTTTATGTCTATTGTTATATCATTTACAAATAGTGATACTTTGAATTCTTTTCCAATTTGAATAATTTATTTTCTTGCCTAACCACTGGAGTGATAGCACAGCAGGTAGGGCATTTGCCTTGCACACGGCCAACCCGGGTTTGATTCCTCCGCCCCTCTCAGAGAACCTGGCAAGCTACTGAGAGTATCCCACCCACATGGCAGAGCCTGGCAAGCTCCCCGTGGCATATTCAATATGCCAAAAACAGTAACAACAAGTCTTACAATGGAGACATTACTGGTGCCCGCTAGAGCAAATAGATGAACAATGGGAGGACAGTGCTACAGTGCTACAGTGCCTAACTGCTGTGGCTAGCACTTCCAATATTTTGTCGAATAATAGTGGTGAAAGTGGGCATCCTTGATCTTTGAAGGAAGGCTCTCAACTTTTCACCACTGGGTTTGATATTTACTGTGGGTTTGTTGTATGTGGTCTGTTTGTACCATATTCATGTAGGTTCCTTCTTTTTTGATGTTAGGCTTTTGGGGGGCTTGTTAGGGGGACCTCTCTACTGGTGCTCAAACATGCTATGGACTGAATATTCCTGTTCCAGTGTTCATATTATAAAGCCTAATCTCTAGTGTGATGGTGTTAAAGGGGCAGATTTGGGAGATGATAAGGTCCCAGGGATGGAGCCCCATGAATGGGAAGAACATCTGTATAGAAGATGGAATTTTTCTCATCCCCTCATACCAGGTAGCCCTCAACAGACAGTTCATCTGCCTGAGCCTTGGTCCTGGATTCCAGCCTCCTGAACTATGAGAAACAAAGATTCCTATTTTACATCTAAGTCTCTGCTGTTCCATTCTAGGAGCCTGAATAAATGAAAAGTCGCTGTTCCCCATTCCCTTCAACTCTCAGAGATACTAAGGAGGCTTCATCAGTGCTGGTCAGTGGGAAGGAGGTAAAAAGGAAGGAGGAAGTCTGGGGAGTTTTGGCTGTAGAGTGACCTGGCTCAAGTGGTTCCCTGGGCACTCACAACTGGGGGCCCATCACATTCTGTGCTCTGGTTGGCCTCAGCCTGCAAGTTGGCACAAGCAGTGCCTCCCTAAACTAAGTGATGAGTGGTCAGATATATATGAGATGAACACAGATATTTGGTTTCTTTTCTGTGTTTGTCATATTTCACAATTTCAGAGAGGGGGAGAGAGAGAAAGAGAGAGAGAGAGAGAGAGAAGACAAGGGAGAGAGGGAGAGAGGAGAGAGAGATAGTACAGGGTTTAAGGCCTTGCAAGCAGCTGACCCAGGTTTGATTCTCAGCATCACAAATGGTTCTCTGAAACCTGTAAGGATTGATCCCTGAGCTCAGAGTCAGGAGTAAGCCTTGAGTAACCCCACCCCATCTCCCCAAAATAGAATAAATGAAGTGCTCAGTGCTGGTTGTTAGGAAAGATTTGAGTGGAAGAGTCAGTGCTTGGGGAGAATGATGCCCAGCAGGGGACACACAGAGCAAACCCATCTCTCTCTGGAGTCTCCTCCAGAATCCCAGCCCATGCACAGAACAGGATCACCTCACACCTAACCTGTGTCCCTGGGGAAGACCACAGTCCCCCCTCGCCCCCCGCCCACACACACACTCTCCCTGCAGAGGTAGCTTCACCTCATGAGTCCTTTGGTTGGTCACCTTCACCATGACCTCTTTTTGAAGGTCGTAGCCCCGAGAGTCTGATGATGCTAAATTCTTCACCTTCAACTCCATTTTAAGTCCCTGGTAGAAAAATATATTTCACCAAATGATACGTTTATCAGCCTGTACTATCTTTGCATTTTCTTTTTCTTTCTCTCCAAACTCAGGCTTTTTATTTATTTATTTATTTATTTATTTATTGTAGGCCAGGAGGGAAATGAATAGAGAAATGCTTACTACCCAATCATCTCCCGTAACTCATGTCTTAATGTCTCAAAGTTTAATTACTAGAACAGGGGAGCAGCCCTACAACAATGTTCATTTCTTGCTCCTTGGAATTGTCACCAAGAGAAATGACAAAGCACTAACATTTCTCATAGATAGAGTAGTGGGGAAGTTCAGGTCACAGCTGGCATTGCTCAGAACTTACTCCTGGCTCTGCACTCAGGGATCACTTCTGGTGGGTTTTAGGGGTCCATCTATAGTACTGGGGATCAAACCAGGGTCAACTGCATGCAAACCAGCACTTTAATCCCGTACTATCTCTCCAATTTCTGCACTATTTCTTTTTGGGGCACATCTGGTGATGTCCAAGGGTTACTCCTGTCTCTACACTCAGTAATTACCTCTGGCATTTCTCAGGGGGACCATATGGGATGCCAGGGATCAAATCCGTGACAGCCATGTACAAAGTAAATGCCCTACCCACTGTACTAACTCTCTGGCCCCAGCACAAACTTTTCTTAACAGTAACCTAGAACTTACACATCCAGCATTTACCAAAGTGTTTATCGGGTGTTCTCTGGGGTATTGAGGCCATCAAGGTGCTTGGACACAGAGGTGCCCTCTGCAGGACAATCCAGGGTGGGGTAGTACTAGTGAGCTGGTGTTAGTCTAGGGTGCTGGGGTGTCTGCACTGAGCCAGACGGTGAGGAAATGGCACTAGCATCTGGGATGGAAAAGGTCTGGCTGTGTCCTTGGTTATGTCACTCACTGTGGGGTCTCAAGTCTCTAAACCATGAACTCTTTTGAAGCATTTCATCGAGAGCTGAATATGTCCTCTGAGGTTCATTGTACCTGGCACAATGCTGTGTCCCTTCTCTTACCTTCTCAAGCTCTTCACTCATTTGATTGGCTTCTGCAACCAGGGGCATCAGTTTGACATAGTCCTGGAACACAGCCAGGACACTGGGGTCTGCCTTCCCGGCTCCCCTGTTCATGGCACCTATGAACCAGGAAACAAAGTGCAGTCTCTTTCTCTGGGAAGTCACAAATGAATTCAGTTCTAGCGAGCAATTTTCAGAGCAAATATCAGACAATCTCTCCTGCATGTCCAGCTGATTATTTTTCCTCGTCCACATTCAGTGGTGCTCAACATTTACTCCTGGCTCTGTGCTCAGGGATCACTCCTGGCAGGGCTTGGATGGCCATTTGTGACCAAGGACCGAACCAGGGTGGGCAGCATACAAGGCAAGCAGTTTAACCCCTAAACCATCTATCTTGTCTTCCAATTATTTTAATATTCAACTTAATTCTTATACTTCTCTGCTTAAATTTCTTTTCTATTTGAAATTTTTTATTGTATCTTATTTAGGCACCATAATGATCCAATCCTAAACCACCACCAGTGTCAATGTCCCTCGCCAATGGCCCAAGGTGCCTTCCTACCCACAACCTGCCTCCTGAGCAAATTCATTTTTCAAAAGAATTTACTTATAGTCTAGGTCACATGTTTAGAATAATGTTGAATCTCACGGTTTTCATATACATAGTTATCTCACATCTAAGCCACGGAAATATACTTGTAATTAAAAAATGTAATTTGATGAATCGTCAAATGAGTGATTTATATATATATGAGAGAAAGCTTTGTTGTAATATAATTTTTTCAAATATGTCTAGAAATTCACCATTTGACAAAAATATCCATCATAATTAATCTATGAGCATGATGGAAGGATGTTAAGCTGCCGATAAAAACATAGTGAGGTATGAGGATAGTCACATATCAAAGTCTTGCCTTTGGAACATTTTATTCGTTTAAGAAATAGATTTAGAGGGGCTAGAGAGATAGTGGATAAGGTGCTTGCTGGAGTCAACCCCTAGCACTCCATATGGTTCCCCAAGTCTGCCAGAATGATCCCTGAGTACAGAGCCAGGAGTCAGTCCAAGTGTAGCTGGGTATTGCCCCCCACCAAAAAAAAAAAGAGGAAAAAAAGAATTTGGGGCCCTAGTGATAATGTAATGGGTAGGGGCACTTGCCTTGTACATAGCTGACCTAGATTCGATTCTTGGCACCATGTATGGTTCTAAGAGTCCCCCAAGAGTGACCCCTGAGTGCAAAGCCAGGAGTAAGCCCTGAGCACCATTAGGTATGGCCCCCAAAACAGATGCAAAAGAATTTAAAACTCTGTATGATCACAGTTACTGGCAAGCTGACCCCCCAGCATGCTGTGCTGGTGTGTGTCACCATATCTATCACTTTGGTGACTGTCCTACCTCAAACTTCTGTTCAGTCAGGAGTAAATACTACAAAATCCCACATGGAGACACAGAAAAGCATCAGGCCTCAAAAATGTCAATATAACAGCTTGGATGGGAAACATAGACAGAAGTAATTATACATCAGCTTGAAGGAGACCAGGGACATGGCAGCTAAATGCAACAAGTGGGCCTGCATTGTAAGGGCAAAACTGAGGCCATGAAATGAGAAAAATCAGCTAGGCCTCAGGTTCAGTTCCTGGAACTGAAACAGTTTCTGTTTCCTAGAAACCAAACAATGTGTAACTAGCCAGCCTGACCTCCCCTCCCCCTGGAAAGTTCCTGGGCCCAGCCAAGTGGGCTCAATCAATCACAATGTGCCAGAAACCATAAACTGTTACTGGAAACTATTGTTTAACTTTCGCCTGACTACTGCTGCCTTATCCCTGTTGCTTGCTTAACTTTGAAACTTTGAAACCTACATAAACTCCCTGTGATTTGGAGTTGGGGGTCCTTGTCTTGACAACTCCACGGTGTTGGATGAGACTTGGACACTGGCTCGAGCTAGCAATAAAGTTCCTTTGTTTTTACATAATCATGCGTGGACTTGCTCTCTCTGCAACTGGGGATATGAAATTCGGGCACAACAGCATGGGCCCTAATATCTCAAATTTTGAAAAAGAAAACATTAAGTGAAAGAGTATTATTGAAATAATTCATTAAATTGGAGCAAAATATGTGTATTAAATATGTGTATGTATATCACTGTTAATTTTCTGACTGGGATCCTCACTCAGCAACAGGTGAGAAAGTGTTCTTTTTATAATGTTCTTGGGGGGGGGGGCACACCCAGAGATGCTCAGGGGTTGCTCTGCACTTAGAAATTGCTCCTGGCAGTGCTTGGAGGACCATATAGGGTATGGGGATAAACCCCTGATTGGCTATGTGGAAGCCAAACACCCTACCTGCTTACTATTGCTCCAGCCACAAGAAGGAACTTTTTTTTTTTAACTGAATCACCATGAGATATACAGTTACAAAGTTGTTCATGGTTATGTTTCAGTCATACAATCTTCCAACACCCATCCATTTACCAGGGTATAGGCATATTTCCTCTCTCTCTCTCTCTGTCTCTGTCTCTCTCTATCTATCTCTCTCTCTCTTCTCCCCCTTTTCCCCCCTACTCTCTCTCCCTTCTTTCTCCCCCCTCCCCCTTTCTCCCTCCTTTCGGGCATTAAGGTCTGCAATACAGGTATTGAAAGATTTATCATGTATATCTCTTTGCCACTCAGTTCCTGTCCAGAGTGATCATTTCCAACTATTGTTGCCATAGTGGCCTCTTCCTGAGAATGTTCTTTTCCTTAAGCAATAGGCACAGATACGTTTAGTCAGAAGGAAAAGCCTGAGTGTGATTACTCTTCAATGGTTCAGCGAAGATTATTCTCGGTATATCTCTGTACACACACACTGACACATAAGGCAGGTGCTGAGAGGGGAGATCTGAATGGAGTGTGTGTGTGTGTGTGTGTGTGTGTGTGTGTGTGTATGTGTGTGTGTGTTCATGGGCCTGCGCACATGGGTGAGTGTATGTGTGCACTATTATTGAAACTTGTTTGCAGCTTACAGAAAATTGTTTCCAAATTGTTGCAGCACCTAGGACCAGCTACCGGAAGGGAATGCTGGAGGCCTGAACAGGAGTGGGGCCTGGCAAGAGCTGGCTGTGACTGGAGGGGAGGGGGGGAGCAGGTGATGGCCACAGAAGCCAGGAGCCACTCAGCTGCTCAGATTCAAAAAACCTCATACCTGACACAAGAACAGAGGCTTTTCTTCAAGAAAGCAGCCATGCACAGAGAAAGCCGACCCTGAGGGATGGGGGAAGGGGAATTCACAGAAAGCACCAGAAGAGGACTGGGGGCGCTCACCCAGCGTGTCCACACTCATGCCCTCAGCGGCGGCTCGCTCCTGTTGGAAAAAGTCATAATCGAATGTGCTCAGGTCATCCTTGCCTCGCTCGGAAGGAAAGCCGACGTAGAGGTAGGCGCTGTTGGATCCCAAAATGATGCGGTCCTAAGGAAAAGGGGGCTCAGAAGGAGGACGCTGCCTGTGCAGGACGCCCAAGCCGGGGAGGCAGGAAGGGTGTAATGGCAGGAACGTCAGTATAGGAGGGGTGTGGCCAGTTGGTGACAGCAGGGCCAAGGCCAGCTCCCAGCCCAGTATTTCCTCCCCCCTCCCCGCTTGCCGCCCACCTGTGACTCTCCCAAATAGGGCAAGACCTGGATGTGAAGGAGCACAACTTCATTTGTATCTTCTTTACTGCACACATGCTCTGACCCCCAACCTGGCCTGGTTCCCTCTGGCCTTGACGGGTCAAGGCTGTGAGCCCAAGCTGGCACAGAGTGGGAAGGAGGGCACTGGCTCTGCGGGAGCCAGCATGGTAGGGAGGCTGCCGTGGGCAGAAGAGGCAGAACAGAACCTCAGGGTCAGTGTGTCCATGGGAGTGAGCTGAGGCAGGAGGCAGTGGAGAGGTCCCATGCAGGGCCCCCCAACAGAAGCCACTGGCAGGTATCTAGAAGGGAGTACCCCAAGCCAACTAGCTGGTCTGAGGAGTGCTCGGAGAGGAGCTGGGCTGCAGGGCCTGGGGGAACGGATGGAGAGAACTTGGGTTTGGAGGTGCTGTGAGTCTCTCTGCCTGGCCAGCTTCAGAAATAGCTGAAGTGTCACAAAACATCAAAGCTGGAAACACAGTGTGAGGATTAGCATTCTAGCTCACCTCTCTGTTTGCTTTTTTTTTGGGGGGGGTGGGGAGGATCCCAAGCAATGCTGGGGACGAGGGGGGGGGGGGCGGGGGGGAGGGGGAGGGAAATTCTCATCTAGCTGCCCAGGAGATTCAGTGCTGGGGCTCCGCTGGCTCCTGAGGTGCCTTAGAACCACACCTGTGGTGCTGGCTGGGCAGAGGTACCTCCAGGGCCACACCTGGGGTAAAGGGAAATGAGGTGCAGAGACATCATCACTTTGGCAACTGCACTGGCCTGAACCATCATCACCTTTGGTCCAGCAAAGACCAAAATATTCCCACACAGAGCCATGACAAAACATTAGGTCTTTGGGGGATTACACAGTGCATGTGATGTGGGTCCAGGCACATGCAAATCAAGTGACCACCTTATAGATGAGATCCAGAAGCAGGAAGAAACTTTCCCACATATATAGGAAAATTTTGTCACTGAGTCCGTGGAACAGGGACAGGAGGTTGTTGGCACCATCCTGGCCAGTTTTCCCTCTTTCCTCCCCCCAACCCCCCATTTACGAAAGCCTGGGGGCCAGCAGGAAAGATTACCAAATGCTGCAGCTTGGTCTTGGTTGTGATGGGGACCCCATTAACGACAACCTTACAGTTGTTGTGTGGGGCAACTGTCACCTTCCCATCCGTGTTTGTGAAGGAAGCATGCTTCTCGGAAATTCTAAAGGACAAGACAAGAGCTTTTCTCAGTGACCAAATATATTGGGAATTAGTGAAAAGTTCTAGCTATTCTTTCTCTTTTTCTCTTCTTTTTTCTTTTTTGATTTGGTTTTATTTGGGGGCTGGGCACATCCAGCAATACCTAAGAGTTACTTCTGTCTCTCACTTAGGGAATATTCCTGGGGTGTGCTTGGGGACCACTTGGAATGCCAGGGATGGAACCCATACTTGACACTTGCAAGGTAAATGCCCTACCCACTGTACTATCGCTCAGGCCCCTTAGATTGTTCTTTCTCATCTGCACAGTTCAGATGACCCACAGCTGTGTAAGAGTGACATGAAGTATTTGAGGTTTCTTGTGTGTATCCTTGGTGAACGGGGGTGGAGGAGGGCTACCTAGGCGTCTTGGACTGAAGACAGCAAAGTGACTGTTTTCATCCAACACCTTCTGGGTGCTGAGAGCAGGAAGACAAAAGGAGATTCAGGGGTCATGGCTAAAGTCCTCAGGAGCTCAAAGGTGGGCCAGAGTGATAGTACAGTTGGTAGGGTGTTTGCCTTGCATGCAGTCAAACTGGGTTCAATCCCCGGCATCCCATATAGTCCTTGAGCACTACCAGGAATGATTCCTGAGTGCAGAACTCCTGAATATTGCTGGATGTGACTCAAAAAGTCAAAAGAAAGCTCAGAGGTTAGTGGGATTGAGCAACAGGGAAATGAGATCAAAGATGCTTCTGGAGGGATGCCTGGGAAGGAGATATAATAAGGAACCCTAGGTCTCTCAGAGATGTTGGTCTCTGTTTCTGAGTCTTTCTTCTTTAAATCCAAGTAGTCTGTGTTACAAGATTGGGATGAATGTCAGAGGAGTCAGACTGGCTGCCACTTAGATGTGATTGGTATGCCATAAATGACTGACTTATTCATGGTTCTGGCATATTCTTTGACTTTCTGGCAGCTATGGAATGCTCTGGATATGGAGACAGCACATCCACATCCCTGTTTGACTGGGGTCTAGAGATCCTGAGGGAAAGGTTATAATCTTAGCCTGGGTACAGATATGACTGTGTGGGACTCCAGGTCTCCCCAGAAAGTGGGGGTGGAAGGGAGAAGACATGAATCTCCAGGAAGAATCTGGAGATGGGGCATGGAGGCTGAAGAGCAGGGTGCCAGCCCCTTCCATCAGCACCATCCCCCTAACTCCCTGTCATATCCCGTGTTCTGGCTTCATGCATTTGAGAAATGCCAAGCAACTGGTTCAAATTTGACTTACCCCAAACCATGAAGAGTGATGGAATTTGAAGCAGCCTGCCCAGCATCACACGTACCTGAAAAAAATTGGGATAATTTGGATTCAAATTGTTCAGAACCACATGCTTTGTATGTTGGAGGCCCAGGTATGAACCCCAGCACTGAACATCCCCCAACCACTGCCAGAAGTGACATTAAATACAAGTTGAAATGACTTTCGTACACAAAAACAAAAAAGAAAATGTTCAAGATTGAACCCTAATCAATATCCAGACATCAGACCTAGGGAGGGTCACCAACTCTTGGGCAAGAGCAGGTGATGGGACCCCAAATGTCCCACCTAAATGTGATGTTTGGATTCACCTTGCTGGAGGAATAGTTGTTTTACTGCCTGCATTAACTTTACTAATGAAGCAAGATGGTTTTTATTGAATGGAACTTATTTAGAAAGACATGAGGGGAAAGAGAGCAAACATGTTCAAGAGAGAGCATGGACTTCTCCGACACGCATAAATTTAATCAAAGAGAACTAGAGACAAGTAAGTGGCATACGTGTTCAAGGGCTTGAAGAACAAGCTCCTGCCTTTTGTTGGTGTGATTTCTAACTTTTAAAAAGTTCAGCCTTCCAAGGGCTGGAGAGATAGTAGATAGGGCACTTGTCTTGCATGCAGCAGACCCAGATTCCATCCCAAGCACCACAAATGTTTCCTCAAGCCCCTCCAGGAATGGTTCCTGAGTATGGAGCTGGAGGTAAGCCCTGAACATAGCCGGGCGTGGCCCAGAAGCAACCCCTCCACACACACACACACACACTTACAAGAAATACCTTCCTAGGTAACCATGCACACCAAGACCATAAATGTCAACACTGTTGTAAACACATTAATAGAACTATAATAATTTTGTTAAGGTTCTATTTTCCTTTATGGGCACCTGGGGGAAAGAAATGTTGAGTCTGAGCCTTAAGAGTTCACTGAAGGGGCTGGAGCAATAGCACAGTGGGTAGGGCGTTTGCCTTGCACGCAGCCGACGCTGGTTCGATTCCCAGCATCCCATATTGTCCCCTGAGCACCACCAGGAGTAATTCCTGAGTGCAGAGACAGAGTAAACCCTGTGCATCGCTGAGTATAACACAAAAAGGAAAAAAAAGTGCACTGGAGCCTGGTGTGGGCACCTCTTGCTCTGGGAGGCTCTGTCATGACTGACCCTAGGGTGGGCCACTTGGAGGCTTGTTCCCTTCTTCCCCACTTCCCTCACCTCCACCCCATCCTGCAGAGCTGCCTGGGATGTGCACAGAGCTCTAGTACAGCCTAAAACAGGCAGAAATTCTGACACATGTGTCAGCAGGGATGAGCCCTGGGAACTATGCAAAGCAGAAAGACTCAGACCCAAAAAGTCAGATGGGGCAGAGATAGAACAGGGGTTAATGCACCTCTTCCTTTTGATCTCCTCTGCTTATAATTCCCAGCACCAGCAGGGGTCACTCCTAAACACAGAGTCGGAAATAGTCCCTGAGCACACAGCCGGGTGTCGCCCCAACCTATCACAACACACACACACACACACACACACACACACACACACACACACACACAGAGTTTTTGTTTGTTTTGGGTCCTAGCCAGCAGCGCTCAGGGCTTGCTCAGGGCTTGCTCTTGAAGTGCATCCAGGGATCACTCCTGACAAGGCTACTGATAAAAGCCAGGTCTTCCCAGAGCAAGACAAGCACCCTATCTACTTTATTATCTCTTCAGCCTCTGAACAAGTTTTTCTTGTTTTTTGGGGAACACCCAGCAGTCCTCAGGGCTTAAATCCTGACTCTGTGATCAGGGGAACATATGGGGTGCTGAGGATGGAACCCAGGTTGGCTGTGTGCAAAGCAAACACACTACTAGCTGTACTATTTCTCAACCCCTTTTGATTGATTCCACTTATACCAGGTACATGGAACTGACAGTCACAGACCAGAAAGCAGAAAGGGTGTGTGGGAGCTGTGGGAGGAAGTATGGAGAGGGAATGTCTAAGGGGTTCAGAGTCAGGGAAGAACACTTTCTGGAGAAGGATGCAGTGGAAGTCACACAGCAGTGAGGGTGCTCCCGGCTCCTGGGAGTCAGGCATGGTTAGCACGGACACTTTGGCTGGGGTTCATTCTATCCCAGGGATAAACAGTGACCAGAACCAGCCACAACCATGCTGAGACCACAACCATACTAAGACCACTCTCCACACACATGAAGGTACCGGCAGAGGAACAAAGGCATGAGGGTCCCGGGGGCTGAGATCTCCAAGCCTGCTCGGATCAGGGCTGAGCATCCTCCACCCAGATCCTCCTCCTCCAGTAGGCAGGGGTCACACCCACCAACTGACCCCCAGCGCTGTGTAATCCAATCAACGGCCAAGACCCAGAGACTATAAAACCTAGCTCCCAGAAGCGCACGGCTGGAGAACCTGGCAGGCTATCGAATGTAATCTGCCCACGCGGCAGAGTCTGGCAAACTCCCCGTGGCGTACCCAATATGCCAAATACCAGTAACAATGATGGGTCTCATTCTCCTGACCCTGAAAGAGCCTTGAATATGGCACTTTTTAAAATCTCAGGGCTAGGATGAAGGAGACTTTACTGGTGCCTGCTCAAGGCAATCGACTAACAACAGGATGATGTGATTGTGAAACAGTGACAAGGAAGCACGTCTGCAGGCAGGTCCCGAGACAGGTGCCGTACCCTCCTGGATGAAGTACTTGAGCACCCCTGTGAGCTGCGGGTCCTCGTTGATGTTGAGGAGGTGGGGGCAGGTTTGCGTCAGCTGCCGCTCCTGGGGAGACACAAGAGCGGGCATCACACGACCAGCATTCCAGAACTCAGCCTGTCTTCAGAGCCACTCTAGTGTCCTTGGTCCCACAGGGGAAACCAAGGGCAGGGATGAGGTCCTGGCAGGCCCCTGTGTTCCTCTAGACAGGCTGCTCCGAAGACCCGTGTTTCTGACTTTCTTTCCCTGAGCTGCCCTTGCTTCACTTCAGCTTCTTCCTCTGCCTCCTGGAGTCCAAAGGGGTTACATTCCCCAGGCTGGCACCCGCCCCTCCTGGGGGCAATCAGTCCTATCTCCACTGATTACAGATCTCTCTTTGACTAGGAAGCTTTGATTGCGCAGGGAGAGGCCTGTAACAGTACGCAGGGAGAGGCCTGTAACAGTACGAGCCAAGGAGAGCGGAAGCAGAGAATTACAGTCCTTCCAGTGGTTTCTGACCACAATGAATGTAGATCCTGTATCGAAGTGCTCGGAAGGGTGTCAGACACAGCACCCCCTCACCATGCCCCACTCACCCTGGAGCCAAACCCAGGAGATGAGCAGGCCCTGGGCTAAGCAGACGTGCAAATTGCAAATTCACATTTCCTTCTGTGTTTTTGAGGGAACTAGAGGGTGTTGTGTTAAGCAAGTAAGTCAGAAGACCGGAAAGTACTGGGTGATTTCATTCATCTGTAGTAGATAGAGATAAAACTGCATGGGGTGTTTGATCATTGTATAAGTGAAACCCAAGCACAAAAATGTGTAAGTCTGCAACTGTACCTCATGATGTCTCACTATTAAAAAATTTTATAATAAAAAAAAAACCAAAAACAACAACAACAAAAAAAACTGCCTGGGGTGGAGTGATAACACAGTGGGTAGGATGTTTGCCTTGCATGCAACTGACCTGAGTTCCATACCCAACTCCAAATATGATTCCTGAGCACAGAGCCAGGAATAAGCCCTGAGCACCACCATGTGTGACCCCAACACCCAACCCCCGCAAAAAAAAAAAAGAGAGAGAGAGAAAGAGATAAAACAAAGGAATAGATAGTACTGAGTAATAAATGATGGCAGACCTTTGGCCTTGGATTAAAAGACTCAGATTACCAAGCAGCAGGGGAGGGGACAAGGAGGAGGGAGCCTAGAGGACAAAAGGACAGTGGTGAGTCTTGGCCCTGCATTCATGGTTTTGATGCGATTACAGCACCTCACCACCAAGAATGTAGGGCCAGAAAGATGATACAGCAAGTAAGGCTTTCCACACCACCAACCTGAGTTTGGTTCCCAGTACCGCATAAGGTACTTACTCCTGAGCAAACAGCCAGAAGTAAGCCTTGAGCACAGCCAGGGGTGGCCCCAAGATACAAAATATAAATGTAAACTAAACTATAATTTTTAAAAAATGAATGCAATTTTTTTAAGGTCTCAAACCCAGTCACCTCCTTTATGCAGAATATTGAATGCTTCTGTATGTGTATAATGGAAATTTATAATAATGTGTTTTAAATTTTATAATTTATACCATGTACTTTATTTTTTAAGTAACAAATCAATTTATTGTTTTAACAACATTAAAATGTAAAGCATGAGTATGTAAATTATACTTTAAACATAGTTAATAATATAGACATTTATTTATACAAATCTTTTTTTCTCCCAAAACTCATATGTATCAATGGTGTGTCCATCTTAATAACACTTTCTTTATTAACTTTCTTTTCTCTAACCAATGCAAAGTTTTTCAGGGGATAAATTTATAGATTTATCTAGCAATTTTCCTATTCCATGCATAGGTTTAAATTACACAGTATTAGGCTCACTCTTCAAGCCTCTGTTCTCTTTTGAACATATATCTCATTTGCTTGTCTCCATTTCTTTTTTTTAAATTGTTTTATTTCTAATTATTGTTAGTTTAATAAATTTTCTTGAGAAGATACAAGTAATTTTCTTAAAACACATATAGCATGTACTTTAAAGAGATGATTTTGCTGGTGTGTGGAAAGTTCTAAAAAAAGATGCCCTCCCTCTCTGCACTTAGGATGAACTTCCCTGTTCCATGCTAAGAAAAAACTGATTTTAAGGAACCCTATGTAACCATACTGACAAGATACCACCACGTGCGTTTGCCCCCACATTGCTTGAGCATGAAGCAAAGCAATGATGAGTTCACAGCAAAGCCCTATAAAAATAGGCTCTTGGATCCCTGAGCTTTGTTGAATGCCTCAGGTGCTTGCCTAGCTTAGACCCCCTGGTCTGATCAGTCGGTATAATAAAGACCTCCTTGTTCTCACGCCATGGATGGTCTTGGTGTGCTTGATTAAGCAAACACCCATTACAACATATGCTCCAAGCACCCCGTTATGCCTATGCCTCTGGTGAAGCAGAAAAATTAAAAGCAGAACCTCTGAGTGACCCAATCTAAGAGCTGGGTCAAGAGGAATAGGTCATACATTGCACAGTTATGACAAGGACAGAACAGGTGAGAAAGTCTAATCAGATTGTTTGAACAGGAACAGGGCCCTAGAAACAATTAGTAAATGTCTGTGTGGCACATAAGATAAATCATATTAATTTCTGATTCTATATGTTAGCAACCACTTCATATGTTAAGCAAAACCTTTTGTAACTAGCATATAAAAGCTCTGGATGGACAGTGCGTCTTTTGCAAACCACAACACCCAAAAGGAGAGAGAGAACAGAGGGGAATGCTTGCCACAGAGGCAGGGTGGGATGAGGGGATGGGGGGTGGGAGGGATACTAGGATTCGTGGTGGTGGGAAATAGGCACTGGTGGAGGGATGGGTATTTGATCATTGTATAATTGAAACCCAAGCACAAAAATTTGTAAGTCTACAACTGTACCTCATGGTGTCTCACTAATAATAAAAAAAAAGCTCTGGATGAACTGTGTTCTTACCCTTTTGGCGATAACCAGATTGAGTCTACATACATAAATAAACTGGGGTGGGGCCCTCTCTCTTCTCTCTCCAAGTGCCATTCTATTTCTTAGACAGATTGCTGTGCAACTGGAACCCTTGTGCCTTAATCTGAGAAGGCCCTCTGCTTTCTCGGATCCCCCCACACTGATGGGGCTCATATCTACTTTAGACTTCGCAAGGACTGAGAAGGCTGATGGTCTCCCACCACTCCCCAAGGTTAGGGTCACAGAGTACAGGGCCCAGACATGACTCCTCTTCCTTTCATTCTCCCCAGTCTAATTAGTTACCAACAGCCTAGAGTCCTATCCCCAGCCAGGCTGGCCAACATTCACCAAGCCTTTCTATTTTTTTTTTCTTTTTGGGTCACACCCAGCATTGCACAAGGGATTACTCCTGACTCTGCACTCTGGAATTATTCCTGGTGGTGCTCTGGGGACCACACAAGATGCTGGGAATTGAACCTGGGTCAGCAGCCGCATGCAAAGCAAACGTCCTACTTGCTGTGCTATCACTCTAGCCCCGCCTTTCTACCTTTTCCCCCTCTTTCTTCCCCTCATCCTGGACTTTCTGTCCCTTAACTCTGTTCATAACTTTATTATACATCACATGTTACATTTCACATATCATAGTTCATGTATCATGCACTTGCTGACTGAAAAAGCCCTCTCCCAATTCTTCACCTGCTTGAGGCCTCGTAGTGAGGGAGTGCAGCTTACCTGGGTAACGGCCTCGCAGTGCTGCTGCCACTCTTGCCAAGCCCGTTCTAGCTGCTGTGCCCAGGACATCTGATCAGTGTGAAAGCCCAGCCCTGGATCTGCCAGCAAACAGCCCTGCTGCTCTAGAGAGAGGGACGTATTTCAGCAATAGGTCTGCAGGGTTAAAGTGAGGTCCAGGATTAAAGGGACAGGACAGGGCTAAGGTACCTTGCAAGTACTTGCAAGCACCTTGCAGGCAGTAGACCCTGGTTCCATCCTTAGTGCCATATGTTTCCCTGTGCATTGACAGTTGTAGCCCTGGAGAACCCAAGCACCATTGGGATGGACCAGGTAATACTTAGCACCATAAGCACTGAGCAGTTCTGCATCCTCAGGCTCTTGCTTTAATTCAACAATCTGGTTTGCTAACAGTTGTTGGGAGGGAGATCCCTGGGCGCCCCTGACCACTACTGGAAAGCCAATACAAACACAACAGACAGAATAATCACCGACCACCTCCACTGTCCTCAGGGAGGGGCTGTGGAGCAGGAGTGAGGACGTGAAGTGCATTTCTGGATACAGGAGGCGCTGTGGTGACTTCTAGGAAGAGTGGCATGGAGTACCAGTCCGGGTGGCCACTGTCTCACAGTGCCTAGCTCACAGCAGTGGCTCCCGATCTTGTGTGGTATCTCTGGGCACTTTTAGAAGCACTGCTCTGCAGAGATGGATTTAAATGATTCTGTGAGGTCTGGTGACTGGACTCTAACTTGCAGTTGGGATTGAGTCCTTTCTCTGTCTCTGTCTCTGTCTCTGTCTCTCTCTGGAAGGCAGGAGGTGGGCATTACTCCACACCCAGCAATACTGGTGTGGGGAGATGCGGGAGGTGGGGGAGTGGGGGCGGGAAACGGACCATGCAGTGCTGGGGGTTGAAACAGGGTCCTCTTCATGAAAGCATGTGAGCTGTCTCTTCACCAGCACTGCCTTAGAAGAGGAGACAGCTGCTGACCTTTGCTTCAACCCTTCACTGCAGGAGGCCATGGACAGAATGAATGTCAGCGTGTAAGAGAGCAGGAATTAAAGACTCCACCTGGCTCTCCACATACAAGTTTCTCCCTTGCTCTCTTCTCTTTCCTTCCTTTCTGCTTTTGGACCACACATGGCAGTGCTCAAGGGTCACTGCTGGTTCTGTGCTTAGGGAATCACTCCTGGTGGTGTTGGAGATTGAGCTCGGATGGGTGCGTGCAAGACAAGGGCTCTCCCTGCTGAACTATCTTTGCGGCCCCACCTCTCCTATCCCCTTGATCTTTGCTTTTCTTCCAGTGCTAAGGAAATTTCCTCTGAATTGTCTGTTAAACTAGGAGCCAGTCATAAAAAGAACAGAAACAGTGTCTCCCCAAGGCGGTTACATACCTTACATTCCACACCAAGGGCATTGTGAAATGTCCTAAGCTTTGCTGAGGATGGGCCAGCATGCTCCAGTGACTTCAGCAAACCAGCGATGTGGGTGGCTATGACTGGTTGCCTCCTCTCCCACACTCACCCCTTCCTCCACCAGCCTGAGACCCAGCTAGAGGGTCGGGTGGACAGGTCTGCCCTTGGATAAACCTAAATAAAACCTATTGAGCTGGAAAACGGCTTCATGAGATGGAACATGTGCCTAAGCATATGGGAGCCCAGGATCAGATTCCTGGCACTGCTGGACCTAAGCAGGAATGGCCCCTGACCTCTGAGCACTGAGCCAGGAGTAGCCCCAAGCACAGCCCAGATGGGTTCCAAACAAACCAAAAGAGAAAAAAGAAAAGGAAAAAAAAGAAACAATGAAACAAGACAGAAACCAATTTTTCTCACACTTGCCTCTGTCTCTCTAATATTAGTCTTCAGGAAGTGAGAAACTGAACCTTGGATTTGGAAAGAAAATGATCACATGCAAAGCGGTAAAGTAGTTGGGGCAGAAACAGCAGCCTCTGGGGTCAGAGCAATAGTACAGTGGGGTGGCGCTTGCCTTGCATGAGGCAGACCGAGGTTCAATCCCCAGCATCCCATATGATCCCCTGAGCACCACCAGGAGCAATTCCTGAGTGCAGAGCCAGGAGTAACCCCTGAGCATTACCGACTGTGACCCAACCAAGGCCCCTCCCAAAACCCCCCATAAAAAAGAAACGGCTGCAACAGAAACGCATGTCCTGGGCAGGAGAGAGCACAGAGGTCAGGCTCTTGCCTTGCATGCAGTCCACCTGGTCCCCCATGCATGGATCTCGAAGTCCTGGTCACAGACAGACATGACCCCCCACCCCACCCCACTGTGAAACTCATGACTTACCACAGCCTGGAGCTCTACATATACCTCGAAGTAGTGTTGTTTAAAAAAAAAATTACAGAATCAAATGTCCTGGGGCTTGGGGTCCCCCCCTCAGCTCCTCTCAGATGTCCCCACTCTCTCAGGCACCCTACTGGTTCCCTCCTCTGTTACTCCTACCCTCAGCTTGCTCCTGACTCAGTTTACCTGCCATGCTGGAGCTCCTGCACCCTTGCAGAAGCTTGCTGCTGTCTGTCCTGGTCTCCCTCCTCAGCGTTGATGTGTTGACCACAGCCTTGTTCTGGACCTTTTTAGCTCTTCCGTGGGCAGAAACAGAGATGCACTGAGGCCCTGCACAGTTGGGGCAGTCCCCAGAGCACTGACCGGACACCAGCATGCATGGACCCGAGACTGTGAGTGTCCACATCCCTTCCAGCCCCCCGCTGGGAGAGGCCCTCCCATTCCAGGTCCCACCAGGCCACTCAGACCCAAAGGGGACTTGGGCAGCTCCTACAGTTCCAATGGGCCCTAGCAGCTCAGCCAAGGCCCAGCCCCAGAGCCCAGTCCTGAGCTGCCTGAGGGCACGAACAGTCAGTTCTACTGCTTTGGCGTTGAAGACTCTGAAGCGGCTGAGAGGATGGAAAAGGCTGAAGCTCTGCTCTGCACAGAGGAGCCCCAGGTTGGACCCCTGAGCACTGCTTGGGGGTATCCCTGGCCCTGAGCAGCCGAGATGCGTCAGCCCTCAAAGGCTGCCGTGGAGGGTACAGTGGTCTTAGAGGCTAACTACTTCTTCATTCCTATTGGCAAGGTGCCAGGGTATGCAGTGGATTCCAGCACTGCCTCTCTGCACTCTGCAGTGGCCAGGTGGGGCCATATCCAGGCTAAACATGACTTGCTTTTGATCTGACATGCAAATGTAGCTGACATCCTGTATTTTAATCTGAGGAATCTATCCACCTGGCGACTTCTCCCGAACCCCTCGGGAATCTGAGAGACAGAGGCTTCCCAGACAGATCACACTGATGAGACAGAGCTGGGCCTAAAGTCCTGGTACCGTTGTCATTCTTTACTGAGCATCATGTCTCTCGTGGGTGGCGGGGCAGGGAAGGATAGTGGGGCAGGGGAGGAGGATGGCTAGCAATGGTTTGTCTGCTAAGCAGAAAGAAACTAACCCATTTTTTAGATTTTTCTCAAGGTAAAAATTCAACTTAAAGATCTGAGCAGGGCTTTGGGTGGATGAATGTGAGGGGCTGAGGAAGGATAATGCAACATCTGTGTGAAAATGTGGGGCTCACCCCTTCAAGGGGGACACAGGGCAGACAGACTGGTAGGGGTGATCCCTTGGGGACCTGGTGACTAGCTCCCTTGAGCTTGAGCCCCGTGACGGGCAGAATTCTGCCAGGAATGATTCCTGTGTGAGTGCTTGTGGCCTTCACCCCAACTCTGAAAACAGGGCGTCCTCTCCTCTAGGGAGTGGGCAACTGGGAGTGACAGAGGGCAAGGTCCTCTTGTGGCCTGCTGGGGGAGCAGAAGGAGCAGGGCCGTATGGGGCGAGCTTTCCTTCTTTTATTTATTTTTATATCATTTTTAGGTTTGGGGGACAGCATCTGGCCGTGCTGAACGGTAGGTGACATGCACGGCAAGCACCGCCGTACTCTCTCTCCAGTCTCAGGTTCTCCTTTCTTACAAGGATCAGAAGGGCTGAGACTTGCCTTGTATACCTGAAGGTCCTGGGTTGAACCCCTGGCACTACTTGAGGGAAAGAAAAGTCAAGGCCCCAGCTCTGGACATCCGCCTGGCAAAGCCGGCTGAAGGAGCCTGTGCCCTCCCAGGGACTCCTCCTTGCTAGGAGAAGCTGCAGACCTTCAGGCCTCTCCAGAGAGTGCAATCTCGGTGGAAGCCAGGGAAAGCCCCAGAGTGAAATGCCAACTTCAAGGTTATCTCTTACACTTCTTCTCCCTCTGTTATCTGGACAAAAATTCCCTGCCCGAGGGGCCACGATGAACTTCAAGGGTTGGAACACATGCATGGGAAAGGCCTGGGTTCAAATGTCAAAACCTCATGGTGCCCTGAGCACCTTCAGAAGCTGTGTTGGGAGTAAACCCCCGAGCACTGCTGCAAGGTTGGAGAGATAGCACAGTGGGTAAGGCATTTGCCTTGCACGTGGCCGACCTGGGTTGATTCTAGCATCCCATATGGTCCCCTGAGCACCGCCAGGGGTAATTCCTGAGTGCATGAGCCAGGAGTAACCCCTGAGCATCACTGGGTGTGACCCAAAAATCAATCAAACAAACAAACAAACAAAAGCAACTACTGCTTACCACTAATCTTGACTGAGTCCCATGTGGCAGGAGGAGAAATTGGTGAGTGGTCATTGCTGTTTGGCAGGAAAACCCAGGGAAACTGACAACTAAGCATGCAAGCCTGGCATCGCTGCTCCCCCGTGTGCCCAGAAGCTCCCCTTCCTTCCACACCTGAGTTTAGCCAGGCTGGCTTGGGAGGGGAGCAGCTGCAGCTCCCCACACAGTGCTCTTTTTCACTTTATTTCCTCCCACCCCATTTTTGTTCTGCATTTTCCTGGTTCCCTTTCTCAAACACCATCTAGTATAAGGTACCGGAAGAGTGTGTCAGGGTTTAGAGCCTTGAACCACCTGGATAAGCCACATTCATACATGTACCTTTCAGCATATCTTAATGTCGACAAAGTTTCTGCATAGCAGATGTCAGCTGGACTTATGGCTGCAATCTGTAAAAAAAAAAAAAAGAAAAAAATTCCTTGCAGATTTTCCCTTTCCCTTAATGCCCCCTCCCCCTTCTTCTTCCCCTTCCACTTCTTTGGTTTTGGAGCTGTACTCAATGGTGCTCAGGGTTTACTCCTGGCTCTGTGCTCAGGGATCAATCCTAGTGAGGCTCGGAGATCATATGTAGTGCGCAAACTGAAACTCCAGATCAGCTGTGTGCAAGGCCAATGCCTTACCTGCTGTACTATCTTTCTGGACCTAAATTTTGTTTTTATATAGGTGGTATTGTACAACTAATATTCATGGAATATTTTGTACTTAAGTACTACTCAACTTTTAAAGCTCACCACATAATAACAGGCAGCTGGAGGATCTGACTTGCTGCTGACCTCGGTGCTGAGAACCTGGCACATTCATTGAGGGACCTAAATGACAGTTGAGGGCCAACGCTGGGGGAACTCACCTGTAGATCATCTGCCTTGTTTGATCGTTGGAGCCCTAGTAACACACACACACACACACACACACACACACACACACACACAACAATTAAATACACAGTCACTTGGACTAATCAAACTTACTCAACAATAGTTGGAAATGATCATGCTGGACAAGAACTGAGTGTTAAAAGTAGGTAAAGGGATATTCCTGATAACCTTTCAGTGTATTTCAAACAATAATGCCCAAAAGGGGGGAGGGAGTAAGAGAGAGAGAGAGAGAGAGAGAGAGAGAGAGAGAAGAAAAGCGAAAAGCACCTGCCATAAATGCAGCCAGGGGGTGGGTGAGTGGGGGGGAACCTTGTGACACTGGTTGGTGCTGGGAAATGTACATTGGTGGAGGTATGGGTATTGGAATACTGTATATCTGGAACCTAATCATGAACAGCTTTGAAAGGGTCTATCTCACAGTGATCCAATAAAAAATTTTTTTAATAAAATAAAATACCTCATTACTAGAGATCCACTTGTGTGGTTTTAAGTCTATTTACTGGCTTTGAATTAGTGTTCTGGAACTCAAATGAAAACAGAAATTTTGATGTTCTGAGCAGGGTCATTGGAGGTGAACAAGAGAATGTCTACAGGATGACTTCAATCTATGACCTGGAGGCCTTTCGCTTTATCTTTGTTTTGATTTCAGCCTGTAAAGTTTGTTTAACATTTTTGTTTGTATTTGTTTTGGGGCCACATTGGTGGTGCTCAGAGGCTACTACTGTCTCCGTTTTCAGGAGATGCTTTGGGCGGTGCTCCGGGGACCATGCAGTGAGTACCAGCCTCCAAATACAAAGCATGTACTCAGCCCAGAGTTATCTCTCCAACTTGGTAGAACTCTTAAAGCTTATATCATCCTCATCTAATCACCACAGACATCTTTTCAAGTTGTTATGCTTCTTATCTCCACTCTAAGAATGAAGAAAATGAGGTATTTGAATTGTTGTGCTGAATTGGAGTAGAGCTACCGATCTCTAGAGTTTGGACATAGCATCACAGACGCTTGTGTTTGGCTCTGGACATCATTTAGTGGCCTCCCTCCCTGACTGCCTACCTCACCCAATATTCTTTATGAGTATTGCAACAGCTCAGGCGGGGTCTTGCTCTGTAGACCTGGAGTCAGCCTCTCATCCAGATAACTTGGCACAGCAAATCAGATGTGTAAAACTAGATTTCAGGCCCTAACATTCAAGGTGGCATCTCAGGACCTTCTGTATTCAGGGTTCTGGGGGATGTCTCATTGAGGCCCAAGGTTCTGGACACTAGAAAAGACTTTTTAAAAAGCACAGTGTTTGCTCAGAGTTAGATGCATTTAAAAAGCTAGAGGGATCCCGCCTCCCCCAGATGGAACCCCGGTGACCAGAAGCCTCTACAAGCACAGCTCAAGTATGCGGGAACTAGGATTTTTTCTCAAATCTGCCGGGACTACAGCTCCCAGGTAACCTCTGATTCCGGAAGTCACGCCCACAGCCCGCCCCCCAGCGCCATCTTTACAACATACAGGCTAAGAGAAGGACCACATGGAGGGCGGGAACCACAGATCCCGGAGAAAAAAAAACAGGTTCCAAAAAGAGCCGAGATCACCGGCAAGTCCCAGATGGGGTAGGTACCGCATCCCGCCTCCCCCAGATGGAACCCCGGTGACCAGAAGCCTCTACAAGCACAGCTCGAGTATGCGGGAACTAGGACTTTTTCTCAAAACCGACATCTCTCTATATACAAAGTGATCAATGGGAAGTAAACCACCCAACCTTTCTCCCTGAAAATCAGAGTTAAGTTAGGAGCACGGCCACAGCCCCAGAAACACAAGGACTTAATGCAGAACCCAGCAGCTTGGAGCAGAAAAGTGAACGGACTATGCGTTAATCCAGGTCATCATGTCTGCCTGGAGGGGAAAGGGTGTTGCCCCATTCGCCCTCTCTTCTCTGGAAAGAAGGATGGAGGCCGCATGGGAACCTTGTGGACAGCAGGTATGAGCCGGGGGTGTGGGGGCGACTAAAACTTCATGGGAAGGGGGGCGTTCTGGTCCGTCCTTCACGCCCTACCGAGGTCACCAGTTGTCCCCCACGAGCGGCTCCCCAGCACGGCCACAGCCCCAGAAACACAAGGACTTAATGCAGAACCCAGCAGCTTGGAGCAGAAAAGTGAATGGACTATGCGTTAATCCAAGCCATCATGTCTGCCCAGAGGGGAAAGGGTGTTGTCCCATTCGCCCTCTCTTCTCTGGAAAGAAAGATGGCGGCCGCATGGGAGCCTTGTGGACAGCAGGTATGAGCCGGGGGTGTGGGGGCGACTAAAACCTCATGGGAAGGGGGGCGTTCCGGTCCGTCCTTCACGCCCTACCGAGGTCACCAGTTGTCCCCCACGAGCGGCTCTCCAGCACAGCCACAGCCCCAGAAGCACAAGGACTTAATGCAGAACCCGGCAGCTTGGAGCAGAAAAGTGAAAGGACTATGCGTTAATCCAGGCCATCAAGTCTGCCGGAGGGGAAAGGGTGTTGCCCCATTTGCCCTCTCCTCTCTGGAAAGAAAGATGGCGGCCGCATGGGAGCCTTGTGGACAGCAGGTATGAGCCGGGGGTGTGGGGGCGACTAAAACCTCATGGGAAGGGGGGCGTTTCGGTCCGCCCTTCACGCCCTACCGAGGCCACCAGTTGCCCCCCACGAGCGGCTCTCCAGCTCGGCCACGACTCCAGAACACAAAAACCAATTTATTAACTATCTGACTTTCAGTAGAAATACTTCCAGGGTCAATAGGTAAAATAGCAGAAATCCAAAACCAACATTTAATTCTTGAACCCAGCTGTAGAAAGCAAATCACTTCACAATGCTTTTTCAGCATGTCTGATTTGGGGGGGGTAAACTCTAAATAATAGTGGTGAATCTTTTATTGAAACAATGAATCTAATCAAAGCAGATAGAGTGTTAACTAGAATTCATCTGCCTCACAGGAACTGGGAGGGGTAGGGGGTGGGGTTTTATTGGGGTTCTTCATGGTAAAAAATAAGTATTGGTAAAGGGAAATGTGTTTGATATTTGCATGACTGAGACCTAAACCTGAAAGCTTTGTAACCTTTCCCACAGTGATTCAATAAATAAAAAAAAAAAAAAGCTAGAGGGAAGGGCTGGAGTGATAGCACAGTGGGTAGGGCATTTGCCTTGCATGCGGCCAACCCTGGTTCGATTCCCAGCATCCTATATGGTCCCCTGAGCACTGCCAGGAGTAATTTCTGAGTGCACGAGCCAGGAGTAACCCCTGTGCAAGGCCGGGTGTGATCTAAAAAGAAAAAAATAAAAGATAGAGGGAAAACAAGGCTATATTTGACTATTGATCTGGAGACCCAGGGCCTAATCTAACAGGGAACATTTCTCTCTTAATGAGCATAGCAGCTCGTAGGTCTGTGAGAAGATCATACAGATTCCTCAGTATGATCATAGAAAAGGGGGGAATGTGAGAAGGAGCTAGCTCACCTCTTCTCACCCTGGTCGTAAAGATTGTAGGGGGCAGCTCTAGCCATGAAGGATATATGACCTAACTGAAATAATTGGCTCACAGTACCATTTGGTGGAGGGCAGCTCTGGCCATAAAGGATATATGGCTTAACTGAGTTGTATGGATACAACACACCCATATTTTGTATCCTGTCTACAGGATACAAAATATGCTTTCGTAAGGTATGGGAAAACTTTACTTTCTTGATGTAAGGGAATTGGGAATGTTTTCTTAATTGGGAATGTTTTCTTGATATGTTGTTCTTGTATGCCATTGTTCGTCTTGAGATGGTTAAAGTTACTTTTGCCTTTGGAATTGTTTCTCTTTGAGCTTGCTCCTGAGGCCTGCACTCCTAGGATGGCTATATAAACTCTTGGCTGTAAGCACTTGGAGTTGAGCTCCGACCTGCAGAGTCAGGATGCCTCGGCCCCAACCAGCTGGAGTAGTTAGCTGGAGTAATAAAATCTCAATGTGTGGTTTGCATTCCCCCTACACTCTTTGTCTCTCTGAATACTGAGGGGTGGTCTTCAGTCCTAACAGGTCAACTCAGAGCTGGTGGCAGAGTTTTCTGATTTGCTTCTTTCTTCATCCGAAGCTGAAGAGCATTGAGTCCTGACTGTAACTCATTTCACACTGCCTGCCCAGGTCCCACACTCAGGACTGAGGGCCTGGCATCTTAGCTGGGTGACAGTGTTTGGCTACTTTCTAGATGAAATGCTTTCCTTGTATCTGACACACAGTCACATTCACTGCTATTTTGTTTGTTTGCTTTTGTTTTGGGGCCACAGCTGACAGTGACCAGGGCTTACTTCTGATGCTGCACTCAGGAATCATTCTTGGTAGGGCTTGGGATAGCATATGTGGTGCTTGGGATAGCATATGTGGTGCCAGAGTCAGAACTAAAGTTGACTGCATGCGAGATGAGTGGCTCTGGCCCCATCATTTCTAATTTTTTCATAAAATGACTACTGGCTGAGAATATTATGACATGACATTGTGAGCTTTGTTTTTTTTAAATTGTATTCTTTTTTATGAAAAAATAATAGTTTTCTTATAGAAAATCTAAAAACTATTGAAAGAATAATTTAAATTGAACAATATAATATCTTCACTTAAACACTGTACCATAATAAGTTCCATGAGTTATAAGATGATATGTGCACATTAAGAATGTGCTTTGTAACCTCAAAGTGCTACATCAGATGTAGAGAGAGAATGCATTTGCTTTTGTGGTGGGGGCAGGGGCATGGGCACACATCAGTGCTATGTTTAGTGAGGGGCTATGAGGGATCAAACTCAGGGCTTGCACATAAAAGACATGTGAGATACATTATTAGCACCATATACTGAAAATAATTTTGCTTTAAAGTTTTAAATTTCTATTTCAGTGCTCAAGGGCTACTTCTGGCTCTGTATTCAGGAGCGAGTGACCCCCTGTTGTGCTCAGGAGACCATATGAGGTGCTGGGGATGAAATGGGCTTAGCTGCTTGCGTGGCAAGTGCCTTACCCCTCTGCTCTGGCCCTGAGAATACTTTAAAATGACAGCCAGGGCAATAAGTGTGTCAGCCTAAACTATAGTAAGAAAGACACTTACCAAGGTGGTTCTGCTGTTCCCTCCCAGAGCAGACTGGAGCAGTTTGGTGAGAACAGAGTCTCTGTAGGGGATATGTAAGACTCTCTTCCCAATGGCTGCATCTGCCAGAGCACTGAATGCAAAAGAAAACACAAACCAACAAATTAAATGGATGCACCAAGAGGAAATCCGGCTCCCTGGAGATGTCAGTATCACACTCCGAATCCTTTCTTGGACCCTATCACAGGAGGTGATGCTAAATAAAGCCCAATTATTGAGATCACTTTCTGCATGGAAAGACGCCAGAGCAAGAGAACCAGTCACATGGACTCTGGTTCACTTCCAGAAACCAATGCCCCAACACTGTGGTAGAGCCAAGGAGACCCTCCACATGTAGCAGTCAAGGCACTAACCACGGAATGCTGTAGGCTACAGAGTCTGCGTGCTGATGTGCTCTTTGTATGGAGGAGGGCTGTGATCTGGGGAGAAGGATGGCTAGCAGAAAGATCTGAGGAGTGGGTTTCGGTTCTTCTCAACAAAGTGGGTAGATGCATGAAGTGGAGCAAGGGAAATCTTTTTAACAAATGGTGCTGGGAAAACTTATTAACCTTAGTTAAGAAATAAAGCATACTTCTATCTCACCACACACACAAACATTAATCCAAAGGAAATGAAGTCCTCTATATTGATCACATTTTTTTACAGAAAGAAAAACACTTTTATATTGACCTCAAAGGAGTCTTCAATGGGAAAATTCCACTGGCAAAAGAAATAAAAACAGAAATAAATGGGACTACATCAGACTAAAAAGTTTCTGTACTTGGGGCTGGAGTAATAGTACAGTAAGTAGGACATTTGCCTTGCACGTGGCCAAGTTGGATTCGATCCGGCATCCCATATGGTCCCTGAGCACTGACAAAAGTAATTCCTGAGTGTAGAGCCAGGAATGGCCCCTGAGCATCACCAGGTGTGACCCAAAAAGCCAAAATATTTTTTAAAATTCTGTACAGCGAAAGATAAAAGGTCTAAAATCAAAAAACTGAATGGAAGAAAATATTTGCATATCATACCTCTGACAGTGAACTCATACCCAAGATATGGAAAGTACTCACAAAGCTCATAACAAAAAATAAAAACAAAATGCAGAGTTGCTGAACACTTGCTCAAAGATGACATACAGATGGCCAATGGGCAGTGCAAAAGTGTTCACCTCCCTTGTTATTAGGGAAAGACAAATCAAATGACAATGAGATGTCACCTCACACCAGAGAATGGCCTATATCAAGTCCAGAAACAATAAATGCTGGTGGGCAAAAAAGGGGCTGTATTCTTTCACTGTTGCTGGGACTGTTGTTGGGTCCAGGCTATGAAAAACAGTTTGGAGACTTCTCTGACAAAAATTAAAATCTCATATAAGCAGCAATTCCATTCCTTGGTATCTAGTACAACAACACAAAAACATCAATTCATTAGCATATATCTACACCCATGTTTGTTGCAAAACTATTTACAGTAGATGTGGTTAGAACACAAGTGCCCAATAACAGATGAGTGGATAAAGAAATCATGGAATAAATAGAATGGAATATTTCTCTGCATGAGAAAAGATAAAATCATGTAATTCACTTCAACATGAATGGAAATGGAAGGTGTCATGCTAAGTGAAGTGAGTCACAAGGAAAAAGGCAAATATCTTTGTGTGGGGGGATATCTTGTTCATATGTAGAATATAAAGAAACCAATCAAGGGAATAGACAATGGCCAATGGAAACATACCCTGAGATTCTGCCAGCAGAACCGAGAACTGAGGCTGCCAAGGAAGGGTGTTGTAGGAGAAGGACCTAGAGCCAGTGGTAGAGGGCTATCAGCACTCTGGTGCCGAGTAAGGAGCAGTAACACTGTATGTCCAAAATAATCATACTGATATTATTGTAAATCAAGATACCTTAATTAAAATTTGATTACAAAAATCAATTAATTGGCTTAAAAGATATTTAGTGAGAAAAATCATAAAGCCATGATCACAGAAAGTGAACCTAGGACTATAATCAATAAAATTCTTGATACCCGACATTATTTTTATGGTGCAAATCCCTATCCATTATTATTTACCTGATAACATTTCCTAAATTGGTTAAGCTTAAGTTAACTCGTGACCCTTCCCTCAGTCTGTCTCCTTCCGATCCTGAAGATTTTTGCCTTTCACTTCCTGCTAAATCCACCAAATTGATACTGGATTGCTTGGTGAGACCTCTGTCCAGGAAGACCTATAGAAAAGCACCAGAGGACATACTGTTAGCAGTGGAGGCAAGCTATGCATGAAGTTGGTCTAGTTTACATTTTTGTTTGTTTGAATCTGGCTGTGGTCAGGGCTTACCCCTGGCTCATGGATCACTTCTGGCAGTTCTCAGAGGACCCTGTGTGGTGCAGGACATGGACTGGGGTCGGACGCAAACAAGGCAAGTACCTTAACCTCTGTACTCTCTCTGACCTCTAGTTTACATTTTAAATATTCCTTCTAATTGTATCTCATGCATGTAAAAGATATAAAATTTATCAGTTAAGAGGCTGTCCTCTATACAAAGCCATTTTTACAAGAAGCCATTACCAGGCTCCTAGGTCTTAATTGCCCTTTTTTGGTTTTACAAAACTATTTTCCAATTACTGTCCTGTCAATAGTTATTACTATGACCCCAGCTTTTAAAAATTAAGATAGTAGGAGGAGTTTCTCCTGGCTCCAAGCAAGGCTGAGTCATCCAGGGCACCCCAGAGGGGGGTCAGGGAGTGGGCAAGTGAGCCCAGCACATGCCCAAACAGAGCCCCAGCAGCTGAAAACCTCCAAATTTCACAATCGCCACCATGGTTCCGGCTGGACTCTACTGCTCAGATGAGCCTCATCCAGAAATTAATCTGCTGAAAAACTCAGGTATGTGGGTTTGTGACTGAAATCTCTAAGCTTTCACAGAGTCAGGGGTGGGTTACCTCCCCCAAAACTCCCTGTACTTCTGGAAGCCCTGGCAGTCAGACACAGGTCCCAAAACTACTACCCAGTTTAAAATTTAACTCCAACTGTATCACCCCGTCAAAAATTTTGGATTTCGTGGAGTACAGAACTGCATTTGCAGCATGTGACATCTCAACCTCTACAACACCAGTAAACCAGGGGTAGCACACCAGATTGGATGGGATGTAATGTAAAAGGCAACCAATCTCGATTAACAAAATATAAAGAGAGAAGGCTTAACTGGCAGCATCTTAGTAGTCTCTTATACAAGGATTTAATAGCTCCATGGCGAGACACAACAATCTTCACTAACTTTCTTCTAAGGAAATATTTTTGATCATCCTTTTAGCAAATTATTTATAACAAGCAATATAAAATAAATTATTGAGGGCGTGCTATAAGGGCAGACTTAGGGGTGGCTTGGAAAATTGAAAATAATGGTGGTGGGAGGCTACAATAGTAGTGGGATTGGTGTTGAAATATTGAATGTTTGTTACTAAACAGATGAATTAATAAAGTTATAAAATAAAATAAAAAATAAATGTTTTGAAAACTATAAAAAATTAAGATAGTGGGATATCTGCAAAATAGCTCTCCAGGCTGATGTAGCTCTGGAGTGAAAGCAACACAGATATTAGGATACACTGATAATTACAGATTCAGTGACTGGCTACAGATTCTGAGCAAATAAAACAGGGATAGCATCATTATTGGGATATTGTCAGAGAAAAAGATAGAATGAACTAATTATGTCTGGCAGAGTATTATTATGGGCATCAACAAACGGATTCCAATGCTGAATCTCCTAACACAGGGGTTGAGAAAGATAGTCCAGGGTTAGGCACTTGTCTTGTACCTTGGGGACTGTGGTTAGCATCTCTGGCATCCCACATGGTCCCCAAAGACCTACCAGGCAGGGGTCACTCCTGAGCAAAGCGGCAGATACAGCTCCCTAAGCACCACTTGGTTAGCTCCCAAACCAAATAAAAGGAAAGATAAATGATTCTAAATCTTCTCACTAATTTTTTCCAGCCAATTTTTCCCTCTTGCCTCTAAAATATCAAGTTAAAAAATTACCTGGGCATGCTAAATATAAATTGTGTGGATTTTACTAACATGATAAAACCAAGAGAAAGCTACAAAGTTGACTAACTTCTTTCAAATGCAATATCTTATTTGAGCTTTCCAACATGACTGTGGACTATTTTCTCAATTTATAGAAAGAAGAATAACTATTTCCCAAAACTTTAAAGCTGATTATGTATCTACTTCAGTTTTTCCCACTGCTCTTGCTTAGAGCAGGAAAGTCTTGCCTTGCTATCATTTCATTTATAGTTCTTTGGGGACATGAGGGAAAAAATAGAAGCCAACTGTAGTTTTATCAAGGCTTAGTCAATAAGCATTTCTGAGTGACAGTAGTAATGCCAAAGATCATTTTCTGAAAGCCACGAGGAGTATTGAAGAGGAAACTGTGGAATAAAAGACTCTAGCTGGTGGGGAATTACATGGATCACCTGATTTCAAAGACTTTGTCTTCTCCCTTCCTTGTATTGTAAAAGTACTTCAGTACCTGTTGGTCCCCAAGGTTCACTCACAAACCTGACAAGAGGTCATTATCATAGATTGTGGACCCATTCTTCCATCTTCACAATTTGCTTCTGAATCAAATTGGACTCAGAATTTGCCCCTCAGAGCACAAAATTTACTTTGGAAAGAGCAGCTCCACGGTTTCTTCTGGGATCTAGTAGACCTTGCTACTACCCCATGACTAGCAATTGACTCACTTAGACTGCATGGAGCACAGATGCAGTGGGGACAGGAAAAGAGTAAATGCCGTGCTTTTTCTTGTTTCTGACCCTGTGGTTAATTCATATGTCGAACCATAAGGGATTCCATAATACTCGTCAATCTACTGCATTACCAGGAGCCCTTCCCACAGACTCCCCTTGATGGAAGAGTGGATCAGTGACCTTCATTCCAGTCTCACCTGCTTGAACCGAATGGTAAAAACCATATGAGAGCGACTGCTGCTGGTATTCATGTTGGTGGTAGCTGTCGTCCTTATTCTTGCTCCTTGTTCCATCAGCTTTTCAATTTGTGCATAGTTTTCACAGGGCACTGACTTCAGGCCATCCACATAAAAGCCCAGCTGCTGATCTTCCCTTACTTTTAACCCTCCAGGTTTCTTGGTCCTAGACAGCAAATCTCGTACCTATAGAACAAATAATAAGCCATGCAAATGTTTTGAAGGCAGAAATTCTTGTTTACTTCGCAGCAATATCTCTGCCTGCAAGATTAGAAGTTCTTTACAATATTAGATGTATTAGATGTTCAATACACGGGATGATTGAATCTTTCATTTCTGTAGATTATGAACTTTCTCATAATTTAACTAAAAAATACAAAAATGGCAAGTAAGGAAACAAACCTGGCATAATTAGTGAAGTTAGAAGTATATTTTCCCCCTTAGAACCTAAGTTTTACTGTATTTAAGCACCTACAGCATTCCCACCAGATTTCCTTTGGGTGGTTCCATACCTTTCTCCTAGTGAATGCTATCATAATCCCCAATCCTGAATAATAAGGAACTCAGTGAACAGCAGCTTAGAGAACAGTGTGACTGGAGCTCAGAAACAAAGTTAAAAAAGTCCTAGGAGTGGCCCCCAAACAAAAAATTTGCATTTAAAGTAGCAGAGAGAGAGAGAGAGAGAGAGAGAGAGAGAGAGAGAGAGAGAGAGAGAGAGAGAGAGAGAAGGGATCACTAAGACAGTGATAGTTGGAAATAATCATTTATGGACAAAAACTGAATGCTGAAAGTAGGTATATGGTAACCTTTTATTGTTGCATTGTGAACCATAATACCCTAAAGAAAAGAGAAAGACAGAGACAAGAGACTGAGAAAGAGAGGGGAAAAGTGTCTGCCATAGAGGCAGGCTAGAGGGGATGCTTGGAGGGAGGGAGACTGGGAAGTTTGGTAGTGGGAAATGTACATTGGAGAAGAGAGGGATGTTGGATCATTGTAAAATTGAAGTCCAGTCATGGACAAGTTTGTTACCGTGTCTCTCATGGTAATTCAATTAAAAAAGAATAAAAAGGAGACATGTCTGCCTTGATTTAATTGTGCTGCCACACATGCAAAATGCCACATGAGTAAGCTGGCTAAAACCCTGGACTACCTTCAATAGGAGCCTGTCAAGCTCCCTGTGGCGTATTCGATATGCCAAAAACAGTAACAAGTCTCACAATGGAGATGTCACTGGTGCCCTCTGAAGCAAATCGATGAACAATGAGAGGACAGTGCTACAGTGCTACAGTGCCACAAATGTACCCTGCAGAATCCTATCTCCAAAGGAAACTCCACTAAACAGTATTTGCTGCAGCCAAATCTAACTAGAGAATGGCTGTCGATATTTGGGCTTTATTATTGGAGATTTGGGTGGTATCGTACTTAGATCATAGCCTTGGTTGGAAACTCATATTGCCACTTGCTCACAAAAATTACTCTTCCAAGGTGAAGTAAGGCTGCACTGAGAGGTGGGGAGGGGTGGGTAGAGGGTCTGCATGGGTGTTCTGTGGTAGGTAGTGCAGAGATTGGAGCTGGGAATCGGGAATCAGGAGACCGGCATTCTCAGTCCTGGTTTTGCTTTCAAATCAGTAGAGTTTTTAAGTATCTTACGTTCCTAATTTCCTGCTTATAATCTGGAATAGGTATGTGAGATATATAGAGAGAAAGGGAGAAAGAGAGAGAGGGAGGAGAGAGTGAGAGAGAGAGGGAGGGAGGGAGGGAAGAGAGAGAGAGAGAGAGAGAGAGAGAGAGAGAGAGAGAGAGAGAGATTAAACAGTTCTGACAACTCCCCAGCATTACTATTCAGTGTTTTTAGTTCTAGAGTCAAGACAAGATTACCAACAGATTGGACTTGGGGCAAAATGAAGCTAATGTGAACAGCAGGTGCCAGAGATGTGGAGATGTCAGGTAGAGAACTTCTCTGCCCAGTTAGAGAAAATCTTTGCAAGAACTTCCACAGTCATCCGTGGAAGTGACACCAATGACTGAATGAACTTATTAGAAGAAAAAATGGAAGTATGAGGGCCAGAGCCCATGGTGCCACCCCATACCAGCCCTGCAGATCATTAATGGAGGTCCAAACTGGTACCCGCTGTAGACTTTCATATTCACCTACCCTCGCTATTGTGAGAGTGTCCTAAACATTCCTCTTTCACATTTTTTGAATTCAGCTACATGTTGCTGGTGGAGATCTCATCTGAAATTCCATCTGATGATCTCATTCCCCACATAAAATCTTTCACAGAATTCTCCACTGCTGACGGAAAATGCCCCTGAATTTTGGCCATTTATCTCAGCTCCATCCTCTTCTCAGTCCCACCTCGCACCCACCTGTATAACCAACTTTGGCAACAAAGGTTGTTCACTGATCTCCTACATGTCCAACCCTAGGATGTATTTGGGGGTCTGCTAAAATTAATCCTGCTCCCTAAAATGCCCATTTGCACCTCACTTGACTCACCGCCTCAACAAACTAACCGAGATGCTTCTCATATCCTAGTTAGATCTCTCTGTTGATAAATACCCAGACATCCAGGATAGTTACTTATACTAGTTTGTGAAAATCCCTTAGTTACTCCCTCCTCTATGGCTTCTCTTTTCATCATTCATGTAGCACCTATAAGCCCTGTCTGAGTGGGTGTTAAATCTTCCACTAAACCTCTTCAGAGTCTAGGATAACCTCTGAAGTACTAGAGGTGTCTAATCTGTTTTTAATTTATGAAGTGCCCAGTGGAAAAAACACAAAAGATTTAAATAATGAAGGGGCTGGAGTGATAGTACAGAGGGTAGAGCATTTGCCTTGCATGCAGCTGACCCATGTTTGATTCCCGGCGTCTCATATGATTCCCCAACACTGATAGGAGTAATTTCTGAGTGCAAAGTCAGGAGTAATCCCTGAGCATTGCTGGGTGTGACCCCTCAAAAAAGATTTATATAATGAGACGCAAATGTGTTCTTAGGATAGCCACTATTCTTATTTTAAAGATGAGGAAACATGCCTGCTCCCCCTTGGCGGCTCAGTGACTGCCATCCTCCAGAGGCCATTGGACAGTCAGGTTTGGGCCCGCAGTGACGAGACATGTGGGGTTTCACGGAATGGGGGTGGAGCCGGCCCTTTCTTCCCCATCCCAACGAAACCATGAGTCGACGCCCACTCTGGCTCCTGATCAAGCTGCTTAATGGCCATGATCCCAGAGACTCAGAAACAAATCTCAGAACCCAGCAGGTTTTGGCAGAAACCCCTCCAGATTTAATTGTTAAAATTTCGGAATTCCAAAATCACGCAGTCACTTGACATCATACGTTATTCATAATCAGCAATAGAAAACAAATTGTCTCTGGTTGCCTTTTCATCATATCTGAGTGACGGGGTAAAATCCCAAATAATAATGATGGGTCGGGTGTTGAAATATTGAATGTGATCAAAGTAGAGAGAGAGTAATGTGGAAGTCATCTGGGGTTTTTGGTGGTGGAATATGGGCACTGGTGAAGGGGCGGGTGTTTCATCATTGTATGACTGAGACTTAAACCCAAAAGTTTTGTAACTGCTCTCATGGTGATTCAACAAATAAATTTATAAAAAGGAAAAAAAAATAAGGTGGAGTTCATGCCCGATTCAACCAGCCTAATCAATGGCTGAATAAATAGCAATACTCCTACATAAAAATTAAAAAAAAAAGATGAGGAAACAAAATTTCAAAGAGAGTAGAGCAACACAGAACATCCAGACCCTGTGTCAGACTGTCTTCACTGGGGCAACTCAGAGGGGAGCGGGTTGAGTTTCCCTCCCTACCCCAACAGAATCCTGGCAGCCGAAAACCTCCAGAACCCAACCGCAGCCATGCTCAAGGCTACTCTCCAAAGGCTCAGGCAAGTCCCACCCATAAGGGAACCTGCAGAAAAACCCAGGTATGCAGAACCCATGACTGAAATCTCCAATCTCAGTCAGATTGGGAATGGGCCTCCTCCCCCATCTCCCAAGTTTTCCAGTAGCTTGGCAGTCACACCCACAAACTGCCTCATCAATGACCATGATCCAGAGACTCAGAAATGAAACTCCTGGAAGACAGCAATATAGATCTCACCCACGAGTGAATCTGCTGTATTCTAAATTTTAGAACTCCTGGAGTGCATGGCCACGTTCACGACTGTGCAAACTCTCATACTTTCACACTTCTTATATGCCAAGCTCTGGGGAACATGATATGGGATTTGGGGTAGAAACATTCGAAATATGGTGGTGGGCTCGGGGCACCATAGAAGGGGGCAGGTGAGATCCCTCCCTGCCCCAAGCGACCCAGCTCTAACAGCTGAAGACCTCCAGAATTCAACTGCTGCCATGCTCACGGCCGCTCCCCACATGCTTGGGCCAAGTTTCACCCACGAGTGACCTTTTCCTGGACCATGCAGCTGCAGATACTTCATAGGACACACCCTATACATACTCCAAGAGTACTGCACCACATTTGATGGGATTCAAAGTAGGAGGCAACCAACCTTAGAGGGAAATACATTATTTCAGTTCTGCTTGGGGCAGGAATTGGGGTTTGGTATTGAAACACCCGAAATATGGTGGTAGGAAGGTGTAATAATAGTGGGACTGGTGTTCAAATATTAAATGTAATCAAATATTGTGAACTACTTTATAAAATTAAAAAATTTTTAAAAATAAGACATATTATTTGGGGCTGGAGCGATAGCACAGCGGGTAGGGGGTTTGCCTTGCATGCAACCAACACAGGTTCGATTCCCAGCATCTCTTATGGTCCCCCAAGCACCGCCAGGAGTGATTCCTGAATGCGGAGCCAGGAGTAGTCCCTGAGCATCGCCGGGTGTGACCCAAAAAGCAATATATATATACATATATACATATATATGTATATGTATATATGTATACATATAATATATATTAATAAGTAAAAAATGGTGGTGGGAAGGTGCAATGGTGGTAGGATTATTAAATGTAATGAACTATTATAAACAACTTTAAAATAAAATAAAATAAAATTTAAAAAGTAAAAAGTTATTCTCTGAAAGAAATGAGCCCATTTCTCTTTCAAGTCCATCAATTAGAGAGAAACAGAAATCTAACCAGAGACCTGAACATTATAAACCATTTAAATCAACCACCACTGTCAAAGTGACCGATGACTCGTGGAAGCAGACAAGAAACAAAACAGTCTATGGAGGAAAATACAGATAGATGTAAAATTTTTCAATAATATTTATTCATTGATATTTATTTACCAATAATAATCAGTGTGAGATTTTACATAGTGCTTGGGGCTACATTGTGGGGCCGGAGAGAGTACAGTGGATAAGGCACTTGCCTTCTATCAGATGACCAGCTTTGATCTCTGGTCCTCTGGAGTGATCCCAGAACACAGAGCTGGAGTGATCCCTGAACACAGAACTAGTAGTAGAACCTGAACACCACTGGGTGTGGGCCCCCAAACAAATAAAAACTCCCACTATTAGCATATTGTCTATGCTCATAAGAAGCTTGTAATTCCATGTAGTACCTTTGTCAATGAATCCATTCAGCCATTGAATATAATAAGTGCAAAGGAGAAGGGCAGAATGAAAGAACGCTTGCAATCTACTATCAGCTAGACAGAATTTTTTAAAAATTAGAATTAAAAATTGAATACATCTTAGGGCTAGAGAGATATTACAGGGGTTAAGGCACTTGCCTTACATGAGGCTGACCTTGGTTCAATCTCCACACTGCAGAGTCCTCTGGGCATTGCTGGGAGCAACCCTTGAGAACAGAGATGGGAGTAGCTCCTGAGCACTGTGGGATATGACCCCCCACACCCCCAGAAAAAAATGAACAAACAAAAATATCTTCATCTTATTTCAAATGTTCTACAGGGGACTGAAACAATAATATAGCATGTAAGGCACCTGCACTGTATGCAGCTGACCCAGGTTCAAACTCTGGTACGCAATATGGTTCCCCAAGGTCACCCCATGTAGTGAGCCCTTAGTGTAGATTCAGGAATAAGCTCTGAGTATGGTCAGAAATGGCTTCCAAACAAAATAATAATAATAATAATAATAATAATAATAATAATAATAATAATCACTGTCACTGTCCTCCCGTTGTTCATCGATTTGCTCGAGCGGGCCCAGTAACGTCTCCATTGGAGACTTTGTTGTTACTGTGTTTGGCATATCGAATACTCTCGGTAGCTTGCTGGGCTCTCCAAGAGGGGCGGAGGAATCGAACTCAGGTCGGCCATGTTGGCTGCGTGCAAGGCAAACGCCCTACCGCTGTGCTATTGCTCCAGCCCAATAATAATAATAATAATAATAATAAATAATAATAATAATAAATGCTATACAAATGAGTAAATTGAGCTGTGACTGATTTTCTGGAGCCCCACAGCTGCTCTCTGAGAGAGTTGGGAACAAGAGCTCTAGGAAGTGGCCACTGTGTCTGTGACTGGTTCAGCCCATCTCCTGTGTAGGCACAATGATCAAAGTAAGAATGTTTTCACATTTTTGGGCCAGAGCAATAGCACAGTGGATATGGCATTTGCCTTCCATGGCGCTGACCCAGGGTCAACCCCTAGCACCTCAGCACTCTGAGCCTACCAGGAGTGATTCCTGTAGAGCACAGAGCCAGCAAAGAATAAGCCCTGAGCAGCACCCGTGTGATTCCCCCGTCACAAGTAAATTTTTAAATGTTTTCACATCTTTAAATTCCTTAAAAAACTATAAGAAAAATAGTTTTCCATAGGAAGATTAGACATAGGTTAAGTTTTGAAATGTGTAAGTGAAGTTCAATTGTCTTTATAAGCAAGTCCAGTTTGCCAATATAGCACCTATTGCTGTTTCTGGCAAAAAGGGTAGAATTGAGCAGTTGGGACTGAGACTATGGCTCTAGTCTAGAAGATCTACTATGTGACCCCTTGAGAACAGTTTATGGATCTCCCTGCCATACCAGCTGACTGGAGCCAGCTGCCTCAGGATGTCCAATGGGCTGACATTTGAGCTGGATCTTGACATTTAAATGGTTTCATTCCTTTTTATTTTTTGGTGCTTGGGTCACATATGGCAGTGCTCATTGGCTACTCACAGCTTAGTGCTTGGGGATCTCTCCTGGCACGTTTAGGGGACCATACAGTGCTGGGAATCATGTTTAGTCCTCCTGTATGGAAAGCATATACACTCCAGCATTTTTTGGTTTTCCCCCCCTTTTTTTGTAATTTTATTTATGGAATCACCATGAGAGCAGTTACAAAGCTTTCAGGTTTAAGTCTCAGTCATACAATGAAACATCCATCCCTTCACCAGTGCCCATATTCCACCACCAAAAACCCCAGTATACACCCATCCCACACTCTCCCCCTACTTGTGGGGCAGATGATTTCCACATTACTCTCTCTACTTTGATTAAATTCAATATTTTGACACCAGACCTACCATTATTATTTGGGATTTTACCTCAACACTCAGATATGCCGAAAAGGCAACAGTAGACAATTTGTTTTCTATTGCTGATTATGGATAACATATGATGTTGCGCGGCCGCAGTAGTGGCCTTGTGATTTTGGAATTCCGAAATTTTAACAATTAAATCTGGAGGAATTTCTGCTCAAAACTTCTGGGTTCCGAGATTTGTTCCTGAGTCTCTTGGATCATGGCCATTAAGCAGCTTGATCAGGAGCCAGAAAGGCCATTCGTGGGTGGCGACTCAGGGTCTCAATGGGGCGGGGAGGAAAGGGCTGATTCCACCCTCATCCTATGAGACCCCGCATGTCTCATCACTGAGGGCCCAAACCTGACTGTCCAATGGCCTCTGGCGGATGGCATGCCACCAAGCCGCCAAGGGGGAGCAGGCGGAGGGATAGCACCCTTTCCTCCCTGGGGTGGCCCGGTGACAGTAACCTATTGCGGGGTCCGGATGCATTTCTGCCAAAAGTTGCTGGGTTTCAAGATTTGTTTCTGAGTCTCTGGGATCATGACTGTTAAGCAGCTTGATCAGGAGCCAGAGAGGCTGTTCGTGGGCGGCGACTTAGGGTCTCATTGGGGTGGGGAGGAAAGGGACTCCAGCCTTTTTGAACCATCTCTCTGGCTCCTTTAAAGGGTTAAGGGCAGAGAAAGGGAAATGGTGCTGCAGGCGGAGTACAGACAGGCGTAGGAGAGGAAGGCATGTCTGTGCAGCTGGAGCAGTGTGTGAGAAAAGGGACATAAAATGAGCTGAATCCACTGAAAAATAAGCAGGCCCAGGCAGGGAGTCATTACTAGGTTAAAAAATGTTAACTTTAGCTGTAGATTCGGAGTGAAGTTGCTTTAATGTTTATTGAACTGGAAATGTCACCAGATTGTCAGAAAATAAAACCAACTTTACCTGTTCATTGTAAATTTCCAGCATACTAAATGTAACCTGTGTAGAAAAAGAAAAGCATAAAGTAAATATTCTCTAGAAACAATCATATTTTGGGGAGAAATGAACAACAGGGGAGCCTGGAGAGATAGTATAGGGGGTAAGCCTCTTGCCTTGCTAGCAGCCAACCCCCATTCAACCCCCAGGAATCACATATTGTCCGTCATATGATACTTGGAACCTAAGTAATCCCAGGAGCCACTTCTGAGAAGAGCCAGGAGTAGCCCTTAAACACTTCTTGGTGAGGTCCAATCCCCTCAAGTCCCCACCCAAAGAAAAAAGGAAACAATATGAATATCAATAAAAGGAAAAATTTAAATCTAGTGAAACTCATGTGCAATATGAGATTCTCAATTAATCTTAATGATTAATGAAGGAAATTCTTGAAACAAAATTTAAAAGACAGTATATGAGTGTGAATGAGTGTATGTGCGTGTGTGTGTGTGTGTGTGTGTGTGTGTGTGTGTACATGTGTGTGTTTGTGACTACATCCCCTGGCTTCTTAAAAATAGGAAAGGTTATTTTTTTTATTGCTTGTACCTGTCCTCAAGTTGAACACAGATAGAGTAAAAGACAGGTGTTTACATCCTATGGGTGGGGAACACTGCTTCAATGCTCACACCTGTTAATGTGGAGGTTGGAAGAATACAAATGGCTTTAATTTAGTGAGAAGACTCTGAGATACTGACAGTCATCATCACACCCTACCTCATATCCACAGTTTCCAACTAGCTTCAGTCCCATGTTTTAAATAAACACAAGGCTGGAGAGATAGTGGAGAGGGTAAGGGGGTTAGTCTTAAACATCGCCAACCTGGGTTGAACCCCCGGACTCACATATAGTCACTTGAACCCCACCAAGAGTGATCCCTCTGAGCAGAGCCAGGAGTAAACCATGACCACCGCTGGGTGTGGGGCCCAGATCAAATAAAGTAAAGTGAACAAACGACTGTAACATAGAAGAAAACCTCCAATGTGAAAGAGGGGCTAAAATGAACAATAGAGAAAAACTACTGTGGTTTTTCTCTTGTACTTCTACATTGCCTTCTGTCGTGGTGGGTTCTACTGAGTTGACAATGCCAAAACGGTTTCCTAGAAAGAGAAAAAAGCCAACACAATTTTAAAATACAGAGACAGAAGCCAGGGGATGTAGTCAGTGGTAGAGCACGTGCCTTCCACTTACGATCCTCTGCGTTTGATTCCCAGGCATCCAGAGGGGGGAAAAAAAACTAAATTATGGAGTTAGATACTGCAGCAAACAGCTAAAAAGTTTCAGTGGGTATACTAAGGAGCAATAGAGCAGAAATAGAAGAGGAGGGGTGACACCTTTCAGCTCCAGTTCTCAAGAGCTCGAGGGACAAAATTTATATTTCACCCACTTAACATGGACAATCTGATGCTCTCTCTTTTTTGTGTGTTGGGGGGTGTGCTTGAGCCACACCCAGCAGTGCTCAGCGAGTGTTTCTGGCTCTGTGCTCAGGAAATGATTCCTGGCAGTACTTGAAGGACCACGGTCAGCTGTGTATAAGGCAAGAGCTGTGTCTCTCTACTATTCCTACAGCTCTCCGATCTCCAGTGCTCTTTTGGCTTGGTGGTGTTTCCTTCTCTGCAGTTCGGCTTTCTGCAGTTTCAGTGACCTGCGGTCAATGAGATCTGAAAATACTGTGTTGGGTACTTTGAGAGACCACATTTATGTAATATTTAGTGCAGTGTATTGTTAGCATTGTTTCATTATATTACTGCTGTTGTAAATTCGTGCATTTGTGTGGAGGGGAGGGATTGGGGACTACACCGGCAGTGCTTCGGGTGGGTTGCAGAGGTAATCAGGGACCATGCAGGGTAGGGGATCAAGCCTGGACCTCCTGGTGCCAAATATGCACTCAACAGTTGAGCTATTCTCTGGCCCAATTCTTGTGAATTTCTAGCAGTGCCTGACATAAACTTTATAGTAATTATGTATAGGAAAAAGTATAGTACATATATGGTTCAAATTAACCATAGTGTGGGCGTGCACTGGGGGGTCTTATGTTTTCTCCCTCGAGATAAGGGGGCACTGCTGCGTTCACAGCCATATAACTATCACCTTATCCTAAATTTAGAACATTCAGCCCCACTAAAAAAAAAAGTAATCACTGCCCATTCTCTACCTTCTCCCTTCTCTTCCTCTCCCCTTCATGCTACCCCTGGCAACCTGATCACCTTTCTCTTTCTAGAAACTTCCTGCTCTCGTCCCTTCACATAATTAGAATCAAATAGTAGATGATCTTTTGTAATTATTTTCTTTTACTTTACATCATGTTTCCAAGGGCCATCCATGTTGTCGCATGTGTTATGCCATGTTCTTTTTATTGCTAAATGATATTGTTTACTGCGTAGATCACATTTTTATCATAAGTTAATGGACATTGGGTTGTTTCCACCTCTTGGCTGTTGTGAATATGCTGTGGTGGAATATTCATATATAAATTTTTGATATATACTTTTCTTTCTCTTTGCTATTTGAGGTTTTAGTTATACTATAAGTCTGGAGATTTTATAGCAGGTAGGCACATACTTTGCACACATCCAGCCCAAATTTGATCCCTGGCACTACATATGTTCCCTAACCCTGCTAAGAGTGATCCCTGAACACAGAGCCAGAAATAAGTACTGAGCACTGAGGGGAGTGGCCCCCCAAACAAATAATAATAATAATAATAATAATATTGATAATGTTATACTTGTACTAATGCTAAAATTTTGATACAGATTAGAAAGATGTACTAAGATTATGGTATTTAATTGGGTTAAGGAATTATGAGTAATTCTATTCCTTATAGTAAACATGACACTTTTTAAGTCTGGGCAAAAATTTTTTGATAAATAATAGAATTTGTGTGCCAGAGAGATAGTACTGAAATCCTGCCATCCCATGTGGTCCCCCCAAAACCACCAGGAGTTATCCCTGAGCACAGCCAGATGTTGCCCCACCACAAAAAAAGGATAATTCATTATGAAATTTTTGCTACTTCTGCCGTTTATAGCAACATTATATTCACAGATATTCCTTGCAATTATACCCAGCTTCCCAGTGCAGTGCCCAGAGCTCTGCTGTCAGGGCTGCTGGCACAGCAGTAGAGAGTTCGAGAGCTCAGCAGCATGAGGGTGTGAGCCCTCACTGTGGCTGTGTCCCAGTCATGCAGGCAACCCCAAAGTCGCACCACCTGTGTGACTCCAGTCATGCACACACAGCAACAAAAGGAAGCTTCTTTGCCCCCACAGAACCATAAAAATTATACAGTTTAGTTTCAAATTATTTTAAGATCATATAAAGATTTTGGTAAAGAAAATTAACATTTCTTTGGGACTGGAGCAATAGCACAGCGGGTAGGGCGTTTGTCTTGCACGCAGCCAACATGGTCGACCCGGGTTCGATTCCCAGCATCCCATATGGTCCCCCGAGCACCGCCAGGAGTAATTCCTGAGTGCATGAGCCAGGAGTAACCCCTGAGCATCGCCGGGTGTGACCCAAAGAGCAAAAAAAAAAAAAAAAAAAAAGAAAATTAACATTTCTTTAACATAGAGATATTGATAGCTTCTATTCAGTGTGGGGAATTTCTAAGATGAAATAAAAGTTCCTTGAAGAAGTTTCTTTGGGCTGAAGAGATAGTACAGGGTTAAGGTGCTTGCCTTTTACAATAACAAGTCCTGTTTTGATCCCCAGCACCACATATGGTTCCCTGAGCACCTCCCTGAGTGACCCCTGAGCACTGCTGGGTGTGGTCCAACCCCTTTCCCTCAAATTGGAAAAAAAAAATCTTTTTAGGGGCCCAGGGATGGCTCAAACAAAAACCATCTGCCTTGCATCCATGAGACCAGAAGTTTGATCCCAACATTACACAGTCCCAGAGACCGAGCTGTTTGGGATATACCCCTATCCTTGCAGGCACCACACCAGAAGTGTGTGTTATCATTAATCGCCACAACCAAGTGTAGATGTGATCCCTGGTCATTGCAGTGACATAACCGTAGCAAAAGAGGAAGGGAAAGGACTTTTTAAAAAAGGCATTCTAGAATAATACCTGGTATTCTTGGTTTCTCTGTCGGTTCTCAATTGCTTGAAAGAGCTCCTCACAAACGTTTGGGATGATACCCTTGTTTGCACCAAATCCCATCATGGAATAGCTTTTTCCAGAGCCAGTTTGGCCATAGGCCAGGAGAGTAGCATTATAGCCTTGCCAAGCGCTGTCCAGAATTCCCCTGCCAAGATCGTTGTACACATCTCTCTGAAAAGTTCACAGGCAACAGTTCAGCACAGTTCTTATATTCTTGTCTTGATCAACTTCTTCTCAGTCTTTTTTTTTTCCATCTCAGTCTTAGGATTTGTAAAACTTGCCATTGTCATTGTCATTGTCATAGAACCAATGCAATAAGCTGCTCACTATGGATCACATCAGGTGTATCTTCAATAGCTAGTGTCCATCTTTGATGAATCTAAGTATTTTACAACTCTGCCAAAATCATGAATTTGGTCTTTAACGTTCAGCAATCAGACAGAGATAGTATAGCGGGTAAGGCTCTTGCCTTTCATGTGGGAAATCTGGCTTCAATATCTGGAACCATGTATGGTCTCCTGAGCCCCATCAAGAGTGATCACTGAGTACAGAGCCAGGAGTAAACCATGAGTACAGCCAAGTGGCCTCAAAACAAAAGAAGAGGAGGAGGAAGAGGAGTAGGAGGAGGAAGAAGAATAGGAAACGAAGAAGGAGGAGGAGAAGGAGGAGAAAAGGAAAAAAGGAAAAAGAGAAAAATTGTCTAAGTATCAAGGAAGCAAATGATCAAAGTGTTTTTTTAACTTTATTCTTAAATTCAAACTACAACATCACTAATTTTAGCTGATAAGTTTTTTTCAAAAGACCTAATGGTTCTGAAAAAGGGAGACATAAAAGTAGTAGGTGAAAGGTGAGGAGATGATGGGGAGAGAGGGTAAACTCTTATTTGTCAGATGGCTACTTCCTGAGTATTACTAGAAGTCCCTGAGCACAGAACCCAGAGTAATCCCTGAGCACTGCCAGGTGTGCACCACCCCTTCCCCAAGAGAGGAAGACATGGATGCTGGAACCCACAACTGCTTGAAAGAGAGGATATGGCCTGATCGTCATGATCTGGCTATGACCATTGCCAGCAATTAGTTTTTTCACCTTTTTAATCAAAAGAAATTACAGCTGGGGGTGCATGGAGGACCATATGGGATGCTGAGGATTGAACATGGATTGGCCACATGCAAGGCAGATGCCCTACCGGCTATACTATAACCCCAGACCCTCAGCAATAACTATTTTACCTGAGCTGTTTCTAAGGGCACAACATCAATATTATACCAATAAAACAGGAAGTAAGCATGACAGGTTTGATTTGTTTCAGTATCTGTCACTGTCACTGTCCTCCCGTTGTTCATCGATTTGCTCGAGCGGGCCCAGTAACGTCTCCATTGGAGACTTTGTTGTTACTGTGTTTGGCATATCGAATACATCACGGGTAGCTTGCCAGGCTCTGCCGTGCGGGCAAGATACTCTCGGTAGCTTGCCCGGCTCTCCAAGAGGGGCAGAGGAATCGAACTCAGGTCGGCCATGTTGGCTGCGTGCAAGGCAAACGCCCTACCGCTGTGCTATCTTGTTTCTGGGAAAGATGTATATACTAACTTAATACTCCCAGGTTTTGAATTTGTCATTCTCATGGATATGGAGTATTATCTTATGATATTAATTTGCATTTCACTAATCACTGAATGAAACTGGACACTTTTACACTATAGATATGTATGATTTTGGGGAAGGACCCATCAGCAGTGCTTAGGGCTTACTCCTGGCTCTGTGCTCAGGAATCACTCATAGCAGTACTCAGGTACTGGGGATTGAACCTGGGTTGGCCATGTGCAAGGTAAATGCTCTACCTACTATAGTATTTCTCCAGCACTCATTGTATATATATTTTTTTCTTTGTGGGTCACACCCAGTGATGCTCAGGGGTTACTCCTGGCTTTGCACTCAGAAATTACTCCTGGTAGTGCTTGGGGAACCATATGGGATGCCAGGAATCGAACCCGGGTAGGCCACAGGCAAGGCAAACAAACGCCCTACCTGCTGTACTATCGCTCCGGCCCCTCATTGTATATTCTTTTTAAAAATATTTTTAAATTTATTTTTTATTATTTACTTATTTATTAGTGAAACACCATGAGGTACAGTTATAGACTTACAAATTTTTGTGCTTGGGTTTCAGTTATACAATGATCAAGTACCCATTCCTCCACCACCACGGGTCCCAGCATCCCTCCTACCCCCCCCCCCCATCCCACCCTGACTCTGTGGCAGGGCATTCTCTTTTGTTCTCTCTCTCTCCTTTTGGGTCCTGTGGTTTGCAAGAAAGGCATTGTATACTCTTATTGTGCTTTTGTTTTGTGGTGGGTGGGGTGGTCTACACTTGGCAGTGTTCAGGGCTTACTCCTGAGATTACTCCGGAGGTTTACTCTGAGTGTAGGGATCATTCCTGGAAGGACTCAGGGGAACCATATCAGGTGTCATGATCAAATCTGGGTCAGCCGTCAGCAAAGCAAATGCCCTACCATCTTTCCAACACCTAATGAGCATTTTAACCTCTAAGTAGATGTGATTTGAAAATCCTTTCTCCTCTTCCATAAATTACCTTTTATTTTGTTGATAGTTTCCTTTTATACACAAAAGTATTTTGGTTTGATTTTTGCTTTTGGTGTTACGTGTTTACCCCATATTTTCTTCTATAAATTTTATTGTTTGTGGTTTGTTAGTCAAGTGTTTACTCTATATTCGGTTTATTTGTATGTTTTGCGCAATTTTATTATATTTTTTTTGCAAGAGCTGTCCATTTTCCCCAACACTGTTTATTGAATAGACTATCATTTCCCCCATTGCATGCACTGGTTTCTTTGTTGTAAATTAATTGACTACATATATGTGGGTTAATTTCTGTTCCCTCTATTCTGTTCAATTGGTTGACGTGACTAATATTTTTTGCCTTCCCTGCAATTCTCAGGGAGCCAGGGACCACTATCAGTGATACTTATTCAACAAACAAGGTTGGTGGTTCTGTGGATGCCACGTTGTGCTGTGGATAGAACCTGGCGTAGGCACGTTCATGTTCCCTAAACTGAATACTATCTCCTTAGCCCCAGTGTGTTTAATTTTCAATCTAGACTGCTTTGATTGGTAGCACTGTAGCACTGTCCTCCCATTGTTCATCGATTTGCTTGAGCGGGCCCTGTAATGTCTCCATTGTGAGACTTCTTGTTACTGTGTTTGGCATATCGAATATGTCACGGATAGCTTGCCAGGCTACTTGGGGGTATATACTACTTGATTAGTATAGCTTTGTAATCAGTTTGAAATGTTTGCCTTCAGCTTTGCTCTAGCTGATTTGGCTACTTGGAGGTACTTGGGGGTGTCACAAGTTATGATAGTTTGTTCTGTGAAAAAATGCAATTGAAATTTTAATAAAGGATTACATTAATGATAATTTTTGGTGTAGGACTGTTCACCTGCTTGGGTAAACTTCTTCTCTGGTATTTATTTTTTTAGAAAAAATATGTGTTTTTTAGAACACACTTGGTGGTGCTCAGTGTTTTGTCCAAGGATCATGCCTGGTAGTACTCTGGGGATCTTATGTAGTGCAGGGAATATAACTGGGTCAGCCACATGCAAGGTAAGCACCTTACCACTATACTATATCTCTGGCCCTAATTCTAGCATACTGAAGTACTTTTATTATTTGAACAATTTATTGATGCAATATTATATTAACATTAATGAAACATATATTAATGGTTCTATGAGTTTTGATAAATGTGTTTAGCTATACAGCAATTACCACAAATCATTTTAACATATAAAAAAGTCATTTACAGAAACTCCTCCATGCCAATTTTATCCTCAGGTTCCTCCTCCCATCTTTAATAGCTGCCTATCAATGATATATCTAGATATACTTTTTTGGGGGGGAGAGAATGTTTGGGCCACACCCAACAATGCTCAGGGCTTACTCCTTGCTTTGCACTCAGGAATTACTCCTAGTGATGCTCAGGGGACCATACAGAATGCCAGGAATTGAACCCATGCAAGGCAAGCACCCTACTCATTATACTATCTCCCCAGCCCCTACATACATATTCTTAACCTAGTACAATGCTTTGAAAGTCATGCATGCTTTCACATGTAACCATAAACTCTTTTTACTGTTGACTTGCATTCTATCTTATAAATATATCACAATTTTATTATCTAATTCCAAGATGAAAATATAATTGTTTCTATTTTTGTAACTATTAAATATGAAGTTGCTATAAAAATGTGTATGTGAGTGTTTGAGGGAGAGGGGCACATTGGAGGTTCTTGGGAATTTCTCCTGGCTCTGAGCTCAGGGATTACTTCTGGCAAGGTGAGGGGTATGTAGGTGCTAGAGATCAAACTGAGGTTGCTGCATGCAATGCAAGAGCCCTACCTACTGTACTAGGGCATCCGTATATAGTGTTTTTTAAGGACATGCATTAGTTTTGTTGTTTTGGGAGCACTCAGTGGTGTTCTGGGATGCATATTTGCTGCTGGGGTTCATGATGACAACCTCGTGCAAGGCAAGTATTTATTATTTTTTGTGCATGTTTTTTAGTCACAATTGGTAGCACTCAATTAGGTAGGGTTTACATCTGGTGGTGCTTGGAAGACCATGCTGTCCTAGGTGGGGATAAAATCTAGGAATAGACACATTTTGACAAGTGTTTTATTTTTGTTTTTTGGGGGCCACACTTGGCAATACTCAGGGGTTACTCCAGGTGGTCTTGGGGGACCATAGAGGGTACCAGGGATCAAACCTAGGTCAGTCAGCAAAATGCCCTACCCACTGTACTATCACTCCAACCCCTAATAATGTTTTGTTTTGTTTTGTTTTGGACCGCACCAAATGATGCTCAGAGCTGAATCCTGGTTCTTTGCTCAGGAATTACTCCTGATGGGTTCCAGGAACCATATGGGATGTGAGAGATTGAACCGGGATTGGCTGCATGCAAGGCGAATGTCCTACTCACTGTATTGTCACTCTGAACCTCATTTTTTTCCCTGCACTTTAATTACCTTCCTCACTTTATTTACCTTTCCCAAAGACTGATTGATGGCACCGGCAAAATTTGACTATTTTTTTGGTCAAACTTTCTTTTTTATTGAACTGCTGTGAGATAGACCCTTGCAAAACTGTTCATGATGAGGTTTCAGTCATACAGTGTTCCAATACCCATCCCTCCACGAATGTACATTTCCCAGCACCAGTGTCCCCAGGTTTCCTCCCATCACCTCTCCACTCCCGAAGTCTGTCTCTATGGCAGACATTTTCTTCTCTCTCTCTCTCTCTCTCTCTCTCTCTCTCTCTCTCTCACTTTCTCTGGCCCTCACATTTTGATAGATGTTTTAACTTTCACTCAATCCAAAATAATTACTAATTTTCTTTGTTTACTTCTTGACCTATGGATTATTTAGAAGTATATTATTTTTTAAATATTTATAAATTTTCTGTCATTTAAGTTTAATTCTACCATGATCAGAAAACATACGTCATTCAATTTTAGTTATTTTTCACTTACTAAGACTAGTTTTAGGATCCAGAAAATAGTCTATGGTAATAAAAATTCATGTTCACTTGAAAAAGATTCTGCAGTGCTGTGAGTGGGTGTGGAAAAAGTGTTCCATAACTGTCAGGATAACAGTTTCTTATATCATTTTTGGTTATTTTTCTTGTTTTATAAAATATAATTTTTGGTTACTTGTTCAAACCATTTCTGAAAGGAATAATAAACTCAACAACAATAATTGTAGATTTATCTGTTCCCCTTTAATTTGTGTTAGCTTATGATTCATGTACTTTGAAGTACTATGCTTACCCATTTAGAATATTGTCTTCTGAATTAATAATTATGAAATATTCTTTGTTCTGAAGTCCACTTTGTGTGACTATAGCCTCTGTAATTTTCTTTAACTTTTATTTATTTACTCTCAGTGTTAACATGGTACCTATTAATTCGGTTGGGTTTCTGCAGTCAAGGAATAGCTTCTTTTCCTGGAAAATCTGATCATTTATGTTTTGTGATCAGCATGTTGGTTTACATTTGATACAATTTTGATAGGAAAATTCAACCTCCTATTCTTCTACCTGTGGTCAACCTATAACATCTCTTTGTTCCCCATCCCCTTTTTCTTGCCACTTTTTGATAGAGAGTTTTATAATCCCATCTCCCATGATTTATCTCTTATGTGTTAGACTGATATTTGTATTGCTCTAGGATAGTGCATTCCAAGGTGTCAATGAGATCTTTAGTGAGTTTGCTCAGAACTATTTGTATGGGTGATAATGGGTCAAAGAACAGATAATAAAGGCTAGGAAGAAATACAGAGGCCCAGTGACCTGTGGGACAAACTCAAGCATCCTGTCATTGGAGTCACAGAAAGGATTGAGGGAACAAAAATGCATGAATTATAGTAAAAGATCCCCAAATTAGGTGAAAACTATAAGCCTATAGACCCCAGAAGCTACTGCACTTTTGTGCCATTTTGTAGACCAGACCTGTTTTGACGCAGATTTTGTGACATCTGAATGCACTAATTGCCTGAGTCCCTAGACTAAACTGAGAGCAACTTTATGATGGAAGAGTACATATGAAAAAGACTAAAAACCATAAGCTCTCATATCCTGAATGATACACAAAGTTTTGTTGCTATACAAAGTGTAATGGACTGGAGTGATAGCACAGCGGGTAGGGCGTTTGCCTTGCACGCGGCTGACCAGGGTTCGATTCCTCCACCCCTCTCGGAGAGCCTGGCAAGCTACCGCGAGAGTATCTCACCCACACGGCAAAGCTTGGCAAGCTACCCGTGAGGTATTTGTTATGCCAAAAACAGTAGCAACAAGTCTTACAATTTGTTGTGAGATGTTACTGGTGCTTGCTCAAGCAAATTGATGAACAGGAGGACAGTGCTACAGCGACAGTGCTACAAAGTGTGATGTTGCAGGATGAATCCTGAGTTTCACTGATGTAAGGGCAAGTGCTCTACCACTGACCCCCACCCCTGGCCCAACAGAGGTCACTACTAGCAATGCTTTTAAAGTTATTCCTTTTTCACAGTGCAACAGTGCAGGAATCTCAGTTGTAGTGCCCCAAAGTCACCCAGAGCTGGGGGCCAGGGCATATCCAGGAAGGACATATTGCTAGGGATGATGCATGGGGTCTACCACTTGAGCCACATCCCCAGCCCATTTTCCTTAGTCAAAAATTTCAAAACAGGTCAGTGCATACTTCTTTGCAGGTGGGATGATTCACACCTAGTGGTGCTAGGGATTAAACCTGGTGCTCCCACAAAGCCTGGACTCTATCCCTCTGAGCCATCTGCCTGACAACTCTCCTCATCCCATCAATATGTGCACTTTGGACTCCCTCCTATCTGGCGTTAAAAAGAAATATCCTTAAAATCAAACCCATATGGGAACATATATCATTATTATACTCATATAAAATTATTGTAGTTATATTTACAATTGATTAAAAACCCCAAACTTCCATTGAAGTTGTGCTTTTAAAATTTTGTGCTTTTTACCTGGCCTGCAAATTTACTGCTAGAGTCTGCTGAAATAAACACACCATCTTTATCCTTTTGAAATCCGCTGTGAGACCAATATGCCAGGTCAAAAGTAAAGGTCTTTGTGTGTTCAGGATTCTTAGGATCCTGAATAGTGGTGGTAGTCCTTGAATGCATGGAAATCACACATTTGCTCCCAGAATTCTTCTCTCTCTGAAATGAAGTTGAAAATTCAAAGACAAATAGCTTTTTATCATTCATGTTGTCCTCGAAGTCTCGATACATAGTTAAGAAACTAAGACAGGAACTTAATAGTCATTCATTTTATTATTCTTAGCAGCATTTAGACAACCAGTTATTCTCATATATCCTCAGAATTTTTGAAAGGCTTGTTTTCAGTCATGTTAACATCCTGAAGATAGCCTACCTACCGTCCAACAACAGTACATTAGAAACTACTGCAAGGGAGAGATCAACTTTCATCATGATGGTAGTAAGGATGTCAGGGATCCCCTTGTGAGACTGATGAAAAAATATCTATCATGTATAGTCTGGAAAAGATCCTCTGGGCCATTTGATGAAGAAACACCTATGCAGTTAGAAATGATAATTCTGAGAATCAAAAAAGACTTTGTTGGGTTGGGGAGATGGTCCAAAGGGAATCATGGGATTTCAATTATAGTTTATGCTAAGCATATGGGAGCCCTATATCAAATCTCCAGCACCTCCATGGTCCCTAGTACCCTGAGCATCTCATGGGTGCTAACTCCAAAGCACTAATGTATGTCCTCCAAATCAAGTTTATTTTTGAGATTCTGTGATTTACAACTGTTAGTGGTTTTTTATGCACATAAATTTCAACACAACTGTCATATCACCAGTTGCACTTCCCTCTCCCAAGGACCCCAAAGGCCCTCCCCTCAAACCCAACCCTGCAAATTCAGTTGCATGAATTATTTCTGTTGTGTATCCTTTGTTCCTAACTTAATGTGAATCTTTATTTTTCAGGTTTTTGGGTCACACATGGTGATGCTCAGGAGTTACTCCTGGCTCCACACTTAAGAATCACTCCTAGCAGTGTTTGTGGCACCATATGGGATGCTGGGGATTGAACCCACGTGTGCAAGGCAAGGGCCTTACCCATTATCCTATTGGTCCAGCCCTTGTCTATCTTTAAATCCCATATATGAGAGATTATTCTATACCTATCCCTTTCTGAGTTCACTCAGCATATATCCTCTAGTCCCTCCATGTTGCTGCAAACTGCACGATGTTTTTTTCTTTCTTAGAGCTGCATGTATTCCAGTTTTTTGATCCATTCATTCATATTTGGGCATTTGGGTATTTCCCTATCTTGGCTATTATACTAAGCACTGTGCCTTACCCATTATCCTATTGGTCCAGCCCTTGTCTATCTTTTAAAATAGACACAGGTATGCATATATCCTTTCAAGTTGTTTGTGTTTAAGGGGATAGTTGCCAAGAAGTGGTATCTCTGAGTGCGTTTATCCTATTCCCATTTCGGGGATAAATTTTCATATTGCTTCCTGTAGAGACCGAACCAGACAACATCCCCATCAACACTGGCTGTTTCTAGACTTTATGTGCTATTCTCAACTAATGTGAGGTGATTATCTCACTGTTGTTTTGATTTCTACCCTCCCCCCTGCCAGCTCAGCAGGATGCTAGAGTGGGAGCCAGAGCAACAGTACAGTGGTTTGGGTGCTTGCCATGCATGCAGCTGACCGAGTTTTGTTATCAGAACCACATGATATACTGCCAGGTATGATCTCCGTCCAGGGCCAGGTGATGTGGACTCCAAACCCATTGCAATTGAAGCACTTTTTTTCCTGGAATGAGCAGGACCTCAGCATTTCTCTACCCTCATCTGTCTACCTGTTCCTGGCAGTAGGCCCATGGAGTGTGAACAAATAGGTGGGGGTTCCCTCTTCCACCTAGTTCCCACTAAGATGACTTTGGGTGCAGCATAGTGAGAACGGTTCTTTTCCATCTCAAGCCTGTTTACTGAGGTATCACGGTTCACAGCAGATTTGGTGTTACTGTATTCTTGCAGTACTGCTGCTTGCTAAGAGTTTTAGCCCTAGCTCCTGAGATGTTGGCTTCATGTCAGGAGACATGAAGCTGAGTTGGTATCAGGTTCCTACTCCACACTCACCAACAGAAAGGGTTTCACTGAGAGCAGCCTCCCACATTGCCTTACTCCCAAATCGAGTGCACTGTTTTAGAAATATTGATGGGACATTATCTACCTAATCTCTTCCCAAGGGCAGAGAACTGAAAACACTGAGTAGATTATGACAAAGGGCAGTTGGGAAGATACAGACATAGGCTATATTATAAAAGTAAAGTAAAGTAAAGGCCGTCCCGTTGATCATTGATTTGCTCGAGCGGGCCCAGTAACATCTCCATTGGAGACTTTGTTGTTACTGTGTTTGGCATATCGAATACGTCACGGGGAGCTTGCCAGGCTCTGCCGTGCGGGGGAGATACTCTCGGTAGCTTATCGGGCTCTCCGAGAGGGGCGGAGGAATCGAACTCAGGTCGGCCATGTTGGCTGCGTGAAAGGCAAACGCCCTACCGCTGTGCTATCGCTCCAGTCTCTAATTTTGGGAAGCAGGGATGGAGAAATGGGGACTAGGTAAGTGGGCTGGGAGGATCCTATCTGGAGTCAGAAAAATATCAAACACTGATCTCATAAGCTATTTCTTTCAACGACTCATAATCTGATTAAATAAGCATAGCAGTTTATGCACCAATCAGTTTTTATGGTTTTCAATCATTGACAAGAATCCATGGAAAATTGTATTACTTAACATCTGTCCACAGGTATAAAAACATCAAAAACCACTGCACTACAGCATCGATGAATGCAAGAGAGCTTTCAACACTCAACAACAACTGCTGTATTTTATACTTTCTGAATTTTAGAATAACCTGACATACCTGGTCCTCTCAAGGTTAACAAATTCCTAGCAATAGTAATCACCTTGCCTTTTGTGCAAATCAGTCCAAAGTCTATATCCCAAACACCTCTCCGTTGTTTAACACACACAAATCAGTATCTTCACTGCAACCCTAAAAACCCATGCTACTTAAATACTGTAATCCTTGTGTCTGAACTTGCCTAGCATGGCTTACCACTCCTGCCTTTTCTTTTTTGGGGGGACTACACCTAGTGATACTCTGGGGGTTACTCCTGGCTCTGCACTCAGGAATCACTCCTGGTGGTGTTCTCAGGACCATAGGGATGTTAGGGATTGAACTCGGGCTGGCTGCATGCAAGGCAAACACCCTACCTGCTATACCTGCCCCAGTCCTTACTCTCTTCTGTGGAAATCCTAAGGCCATGCATTCATTATTCCTACCTGACCTTTCTTGGGGGCTGTAATTTACAACAGCTGTCTCTGTCACCTTACTGTATATAGTTAGAACAAATCTTGGGCACATTTCAAAATAATTTAGACCCAAGGATGTGGCTTAATGGTAGAGTGCTTGCCTTATACACATGAGACACCGAAATCTGATCCCTGGCACCGCCAGTTTCTATCCCCAGTAGCCCAAGAGTGCCTCTAACAAGTGTGTGTGTAACCTTAGGCACTGCAAACAAAGCATACACCTCACACAACCCCAATAAGAACTTAATGTTCAGTAAAATAGAAACAAAAAAACATATGCACTTCACAATGAAACGTTCTCATTAAAAAAGAAATCTCCCCTAACTTATACCATACTCAGTCGTAGGGCTGAATATTAGCTCCTTGCTTCATGAAAAATATTTCTACTCGACATTTCTATTCAATATTATATTGCAGATTCTAACCAAAGCAACTAAGCAAGAAAAATAAAAAGTATCACACAGAAAAGGAAGTAGTAATTTGAAAATGACATATTCTTGTATATAGAAAATTTCATTTAATTCATTAAATAACCAAAGGACCCAGTTAAGGTTGTAGGATATAATATATAGAAAGCAATTTTATTTTTATGTGAGGTGAACAATCTAAAATTGAACCTAGCTGAAAACAATCTGAAATTATTTCATTTCATCTGAAAGCAAAATTAAGGGCTGGAGCAACGTACAGTGGGTAAGGGACTTGCTTTCCAAGTGGCTGACCCAGGTTTGATCGCTGGCATCCCATGATTCTCCAAGATGCCAGGAGTAATTCTGGAGTGCAGAACCAGGAGTAACCTGACCTTACTGGGTGTGGCCTAACCCTCTCCCACACATACACACACACAAAAAAAGTGAAATGAAGAAAATTATAAAGCATCAAAAAGAATATCCAAAAATAAATTTAAAGATGTATGAATAGTCTAAAATCAAGAATTTAAGGGAAACCCTTAAATTTGGAAAAATGGCCCTTGTTCATAGACTTCACATGATTAATATGGTAATACTGCACTTCCTAAACTGATGCACAATATTTAATACAGTAAAAGAATTCCAGCTGAAGAGATTTCTAGGAAACGACAAGTTGATTGTAAAATTTATATTGAAATGCAAGGCGCCCAGAATAATCTTAACCATCTTTAGAACTCACATCCTCCAAGTATCAACCTTAGAACAAACCAACAGTGATCAAGGCAATGTAATACCAGACAAATAATAAGACATACGGAATAATGTAGTGGAATTGAGAGTCCACAAATAAATCTAGATGTCTACAGCTGACTGCTTTTCAACACTGCTGCCAAATGAGAAATCAGCTTTGTAACAAACCCAACAGTCACATGCAAAATAACCAATTTGGTCTCTTACCTTATAGCTTACACACATAAAAATTGACTCAAAGTGCACTAAAGACCTAAATGTAAGATCTAGAACTGTAAAAGAAAACAAAAGAGTGAAGTATTCAGGGGCTGAAGAGATCTCAGATAAGGCGCATAACTTGTACATGGCCAAGGTCAGTAATGCATATGGTCCCCCTATCACTGCCAAGAGTAACCTCATAGCACAGAACTAAGCAGAATGAGGTATGACTCCTTCATACCCTTACCTAGTAACATACACATACACCTAGAAAAAATGGTCATAAAAAAAAAATTTCCAAGGACATGATCATAGTGAAGACAACCAGAATGGCTGAAACTGAAACCTAACATAAGGAATGTATAAAACACATCAGTAGCTCAACATAAAATTCATCAAACAGTCCAATTTAAAAAATGAGAAAGGAATGAATATTATTTCTCCAAGGAAGATATACTGATGGGCAATAAGTACATATAAAAAGTTGCCTGGTAGCATTAATAATCAGAAAATGCATGTCAAAACTAAGTAAGACAAACTGTATTAAAAAAAAAGGCATTTAAGTTAGGGTGCTGGATCAAAGAAGAGCCTCCATACACTATTGGGGAGAATATAAAAAAGCTGCTTTAAAAATAGTATGACCGTTCTTCAAAGAAGCATAATCATGATTAAGCAATTCTATAGCTAGGTTCATAAACAAGATAGAACAGTTCAGACATGTAAACAAATCTAACAGCATTACTAACAATACTGACCAGATGAATATTCAATCTGACATGTACAAAACTGAGGAATTAGCAAAATGGTGTGTGCCCGTACAGTAATACAGTCATCATGAAATAGAACTTTAATGTTACAACACAGATCTTTAAAAAATACATTCTTTCAGGCTGAGGCAATAGTACTGCAGATAGGGTGTTTGTCAACACAGGTTCAATTCCCAGCATCCCATATGGTTTTCCAAGCACTGCCATAAGTAATTCCTGAGCGCAGAGCCAGGAGAAACCCCTGAGCATTGCTAGGAGTGATCCAAAAAGCAAAAAAAACAAAACAAAACCAACCCCAAAACCCCACTATTTCAGAAAGCCAGTAGCAAAAGATTATCATCTGATAAGCCAAACAGGTAATATATATGATTTAAAATGACTGTTTAAAACTGAAGATTTAAATGACTGTTTAAAACTAAAGATTAGAAGAAGTAGCTCAGTTGTGGAGCAAGTGCCTCGCATATGTGTAACTCTGGACTCAATTCCCCAGAATTGCAAAAGAAATAAAATTGGGAGAATAAAGCTGATGAGAGGAGCTAAAGGATGAAGCTCTTCAGAGGCGATAAAATGTTCTAAAACTTTAGATTTAGGGGCACAGATGGCAGAGGTAAAGTGCCACCTTGCATGTAACTGACCCCTTTGATCCATGGATTGCAGGGTCCCTTGAATATTCAGAAGTGACCCCCTCCCACCAAATGAATTGGGAGTAGCTTCCAACCACCACCAAGTGTGCAAAAAAAAAAAAATGCAGTTACTCTACCAACATTAAAGGCTAGTGAAAAACACACCTGAAATCAACTTTCTGTGGGTTAGGTTTTCTGTTTTCCTTTTGGGGATACAACATTTAATTAATTGATCACATTTCTTTTATTTTAAATCATTTGTCTGAGAAGTCAAACTATACAGAAAGTCTTTAACTCTGTGACACCAGAAAGTCTTACAATTTAATTATCGGTTAGTCTGGTTGCTGAGATATTTTCTGTAATATAGGTGAACAATGAGGGAAAAATAGCAACCAAAAGTATGCAAAGCTATATTAAATATAATTGGGGAAAAGGGGAGAAAATGTCAAGTTGTTTAAGTGGGAAAGAAGACCTCATGTATGAGGTCATCACTGCATTATGTCCCTTTATTAAATGTCACTGGGGAAGAGAGAAAAACTATTGTTGTATGAGAGGAAAAGAAGACCTCATGTACTAGATCATCACTATATTAAATCCCTTTCAGATCAATAATTATCAAATGATTGCTATTTTGTTTATAATGTCTTTAATCTAAATATTTATATATAGATATTATATATCTCTCTATAGTCATCTTAAATGCTTCTATCCTCAGAAAGTCTTCAAAATCTAACCCCTTCTTTCCTCCCCAAATTAACTATATTTGATATTTCTCTCAGCACCAGGGTTTACCTTATAGCTATTATCAATGCACTTATGTAAGACTTCAAACTGATTAGGGTTTTTCTTTAAAACAAATGATTTTACTTTGTGTCTTTAGGATAGTCTTTTAGTACAATGATTCATGGAAGATAAGTTGGTTACATGGGCTATTTGTCAGAAAAATCTTAAAATTTAACCAATGCATTAGTAAAGATATGATTGTTAACAAGGTCCTAGAATAGATAAGAAGCTATATTTTATCCTAAAATGTTGTAATCATAGTTTAAAGACACATGATTTGGAGATTCATTTACTTATGACCTACCATCACCAAAGGAAAAATGTATACCACACATTCACCATACTGCATTGGTTAAAAAAAATTATTAAAACTTGAGAGTACATTTCTCTTGTCAATTTTTTTATTTGAACTTGTGCAAAGGAATGAAATTCACTGAATTATATTTAGTTCTTTAAATTACTCATTTAACAAGTTCATTTAAATAAGTTTAATATTCCATAAGAGACAAGCAGCTTAAATACAAGTTTGATTACTATCAATAAAAAAGTAATAAAATCCAAGTCATAGTCAAATTTCCAAAAAGGCAACATAACATCACTAACCTGACTAAAAGGCCGCACTCGTACTGCTACTTTCACACTGTCAATACCTGGCATAGGCATTTTCATCATTTTCCCATCATTTGTGTTGTTATTTGGTAAAAAAAAAATACTGCAGAAAGCACTTTTATGCTTCACACTAGAACAATAAAAGCTTAGCCAACAAAGCAATTTGTTTCCAGATGATCAATTATTAATGGTTTATTCATTACACACTATCTATTACATGTTATAAATTATTTTACAACACTCATTTATTGATGATTTTATAGCCAACATTAAACATCACCAACTGCAGTCATACCAGTATTTTATTTTTTCTTTCCCAAGTCTAATGACCCCCTTTCCCATCCTGAATAGTCTATACTTGAGGTCCTATGAAAATTTGTCAATTTAAAAACCTGAATAGTTAAGAGATCTCTGTGATTCTGTAGCTTTTTCCTTCACAGCAAGACTAATATACTAACATATACAAGGCGTACCAACTATCCATGAAATAGATTTGTTTTGCATTTCCCTTCCTTTTTAAACCCTTTCATATGCAGCTGCTAGTGGGCAGTGAACCGGTCAATCTAACCTGGATAATAAGTCTCTGAGTAATCGAGACATTAAAGACAAATAACTTTTAAGCTTGCTGAACAAGAAATGCCAACATTATAGTTAACCAATGCATTACTTGAAATATTACTCATTTGAGGTAGATTATACAAATTCGTTAAACTACAAAATAAGCGGCAAGATAACATGCCCATAATCAAATTCCAACAAAGTTTAACAACTAATGACAAAAATATACATGAGTATAAATCTTAATCACAGAAGCAAAGTGCATAAATTATAAAACAGCAATTTAAAGAAAAAACAGTTCAATCATCCTCATTGTAAGATTGGTCTAATAATACTTTTAACTATAGAGAAAGAGAAAAGGAGCAAGGCCAACCAGTATATGAAATCATTGAAACATAAATCCCCTTTCAAAAATCTAACAGACACAAACTGTGAAGTATATATACTTTATTTAACATTCCATAAAACCTTATTTACATATTATATAAATGTCTTAATATAAAATAGAAAAAACTACCTATACGAAAAGAATCATACCCCGTATGGAGTTCTATACTTATTAAAGACCTTCTGTTTACAAAAATTTACAATCATTTATATAAATTATTTTCTTCCAAATTAGACATTTTAATAATCCACACAATTTTGATGACTTTACAAATAGGTGTGCATTAAAAAATCTGTAAAATTACAGCATTTTTCTGCGTAAAACTTGCTTTGGAAAGGAAGACGGCTTTTTTCTGCTCCTTCCTACAGCTTTTCCAGTTACTTCTGCAGTTTTTCTTGGTTTGCTTTTTCCTCCATCAACTGGACTTGCCAAAGGAGATATTAGCTTAATTTCTACTGGAGGAGGTGACCAAGAACTTTCTTTTTCTGTGTTCCTGAAAAAACCAAACAATATATATGTTAAAAATAACATATATATTAAAAAACTTCCTATTTTCTTTAAAATTTTTAATAATTTGTTCCAATCTTCCTTTCATTTCCTAAAAGATTGATCACTTTTATAAATGACAGAGACCCACCTCCCACCAAGCTAAAATCACAATGAATCGGTACTTATAAAATAATCAAAAAGAATTTTCCTGTTAAAAAAAAATATGACAACAACAAACATAAAATACAAAATACAGTTACTTGTGCCAAACCCCACAGCATCAAACTGGGACTTAATACTAACCTAATCATAGTTATAGTCTTTTCCCCCAAGTAGAATTAGAGTGAGGTTCTTGTGGAGCCTTTTCTAAGCTCTCTCTCTCTCTATATATAAAGCTTATATATATATATATATACATATATATATATATACACATACATATACATATATATATTTGCATTGTGGGGTCACACCCGGCGATGCACAGGTGTTACTCCTGGCAGTGCTCAGGGGACCATATGAGATGCTGGGAATCGAACCTGGGTTGGCCGCGTGCAAGGCAAACCCCTACCCTTCAGCTCCTCTAAGCTTAATATTTAAAACAAAACAAAAAACCCCAAAACAAATACAGTATTAAGAGACAAATGAATAAATATTATAGCATAGAAAAAGTCATACTTGCTTGCTTGTTTGGCTTTTGCAGACCTGATTCTTTTCACTTTTTCCTTTCCCCCAGTTTCTACTGATTGAGCATCATCAACCTAAGGGTAAAAATTTCAGATCTTGTGAAATTTAAATTCAGAAAGATCCACTCTCATTCAAAAAACATGTGAAACAAAGCTTTTGAATTTAAACTCACCTAGTACAGAAAATATGAGGGCTGGAGAGAGCTCAATGAACCGAGCAAAGACTTTTTGCATGAGGGCGGCCCAGGTTTGATCCCCGTTACTTCATGATTTCCCCAGTACTACTGGCAGCTACCCCAAACACAAAACTGGGAGCAGCGCCTGGGCACTGCTGTGCTTTGTTTCTCATTCCCAGATAGTTATCACTGTTTTGTCAGTTATACAATTTTGAATGTTTCCAATGTCTTTATATCCCCATTGCTTTGACTGAATTCCAGGGCACTCATCAACTAAGAATTAGATCACTAGGTACCCCTCCCACCACACTCTACTATTAAGTCATATACATATATACTTGACCCAATCAGGAGTTATTTTTTAATCCCCAGGATTTTTTTTAAATAGAAACTACTCAAAATATGCATAGGTATTTGCTAGTTGTTGAACAGCAATTTTACTGTAATATAATGAATTCGTCCCTTTGCATCTGCTGTTTTTCTTTGCCAGGAATGCTCATATCACCTACCTTCAATATCTACAGAGGTATTTGAATCTAACTGAGTCTTATGGGGTGGAGAGGTGTATGTGAAAATACTGTTAGTAGGGCACTTGCCTTGAATGCGGCTGAGCTGGGTTCTTATCTCCAGCATCCCATACGGTCCCCCAAGCACTGCCAGGAGTGATTCCTGAGCACGTGAGTACAGTTGGGTGAACTCTCTCCGCCATTCACTCAATCTCTAAATGAGTCTTGCCACACTGTGAAGTATGCATTTGTAGTTTTGGCTCTTCATAGCAATATGACTAAGCTACTTAGTCATATTTTCTTTTAGGTTTGAGGCCATAACAAGGAATGCTCATGGGCTACTCTTGTGTCAGTGTTCACTCCCCAGCATTGTTGGGGGTGGGGAGGGGAAAAGATGAGGGTATCATGTAGTGTTGGGATCAAACCGGGGCCTCCAGTAAGGAAGCAAAGTTTGTGCTTCAGTTCTTTGAGCCATCTCCCTGGCCTGGCTGAACTATTTTTGTGCACACTTTTGCTCTTGCATATGCTTATGAACGCCAATAAACCTAAGTGTTTCCCTTAAACTCAACCCCTGATCTACTTTTAGGCATATAATCAATTATAAGACAGAGTCAATTCAAACAGTCAAGTGAGAAAAACTTAGCAAAAAATTATATCATGACACCCAAGTTAAAAACCTTTCCTTTATGCATGCTTTGTACATGAGTTGGGGGGGGGGGGGCAAGGGAGGTTCCTTGGTTTACTTCCTGTCACAGCATCCAAATATCACTGGGAGTGACCGCTAAACACAGAGCTGGGAGTAGCAGCTGAGAGCAGGGAGAAGACCCGGAGTATGAACCAAAACAAAACCCAAAACAAACCTTTCCTCTAATAGGTATTTTAAACACAAAACTATCTTAAGGGTAGGGTCCTAAAGTACAGGTTAGGAATTTGGAACTTTTAATATATAAATGTAAGCTACTCTTAAAGAAGTTAATTTAGGCAAATACAGGATGTAACTCTGTAGTTCAGCAATTGAGTACTTGCTTTTCGAGCCCTTGAGTTGGTAAATGGTCTGGGGAAGGGGTGGGAGTGGGGGAGCAAAAGATATTTATTTCAAAAGATGGAATATTGCTTTAAAAAATAAAAAGCAGACTAAACAAGCACACAGATAAAAAATTGTGTTTCTTACCAATTTATCTACAAGTTTGGGTGTACTGGTTGTGTTTTTCCTCCTGGTCCTTAAAGCAGGTGAGAAAACAAATTGAGAAGATAAATCGGAAACCAATTCCTTCAGTTGTGCTGGAGTCGCTGTATTTTTAGCTAAAGAAAGGTGGGAGGAAGGGGATGGAATTAAAAATCACTGTACCACTATATATACATATCACATATACACACACGCACACACACATATGGATCTATATATGAAAACTTTGAACAAAAGACTAATGGATATCAAAAAGAAATAAACATCTCCCAAACTTAGAAAACATTATACATCCAAGTTCGAAGGGCATAACAGCAAAAATTCCAACATCTTTTGGCAGATAATAGAATTTCACTATCACGATTACGATCACCCTGTTGTTCGTCGATTGCCTCGAGCAGGCACCAGTAACGTCTCCTTTGTCCTAGCCCTGAGAAATGCTCTTTCAGGGTTAGGAGAATGAGACCCATCATTGTTACTGGTATTTGGCATATTGAGTACGCCATGGGGAGTTTACCAGACTCTGTCATGCGAGCAGGATACATATGGTAGCCTGCCGGGTTGTCCAAAGTAAGAACGAGATAATAAGATGTCCACATTTGCAGCCGTGCGCTTCCAGGAGCTAGGTTTTATAGTCTCTGTCCTCACCGGGGCCCCTTGAAGGGGGCGGGTTGAGTTTCCCTCCTCGCCCCGAGCAGAGCCCTGGCAGCCGAAGACCTCCAGAACCAGTCACAGTCATGCTGAGACCACTCTCCACATGTCCAGACAAGCCTCATGCATGAAGGAACCGGCAGAGGAACCCAGGTACGCGGGACCCAGGGCTGAGATCTCCAAGCCTGCTTGGATTGGGGCTGAGCATCCTCCACCCAGATCCCCCATCTTCCAGTAGGCAGGCGTCACACCCACCAACTGCCCCCGGCGCCAGGTAATAAAAGAATTTAAGAAGCAGATACTAAATTGCGCAATTCTAATAATTTTATCTTTATTATTCAATTAATTTCCTCCTTCATTGCATTTTACCTTTGCATTTCCAGTTACTTATGGACAATCGTCCAGAAACATTACAAACAACAG